TGGTGCCTCTCGCTTCAGAAAAGGTAAGATCAAGCCTGAAGCCGGCGCCGCGGCTCACTAGGATAATCCTCCACCTTGCGGCGCCGGCACACCGGGTTCTAGTCCCGGTCGGGGCGCCGGATTCTGTCCCGGTTGCCCCTCTTCCAGGCCAGCTCTCTGCTGTGGCCCGGGAGTACAGTGGAGGATAGCCCAAGTGCTTGGGCCCTGCACCCCATGGGAGACCAGGAGAAGCACCTGGCTCCTGCCTTCGGATCAGCGTGGTGCGCCAGCCGCGGTGGCCATTGGAGGGTGAACCAATGGCAAAGGAAGACCTTTCTCTCTGTCTCTCTCTCTCACTGTCCACTCTGCCTGTCAAAAAAAAAAAAAAAAAAAAATCAAGCCTGTGTGCTTTGCCAGGTGTGGAGTTGTACAGCTGGGCAGACTCCATTGCCCGGTAAGGATAAAGGAGCTGATCAGTGCAGTCAGCCCAGATCTCTCGGATGGAAAATCGGGGACTTCCGCCAGGTACATTACACTAGAGAGGACGGCCAGGGGAGTGGAGGTATTCCACTACACTCGGTTACATCCCGAGGAAAGCCTATTAGAGCCTGCACATTCTTAAACACAGAAGCCGTCTTCTCCAGGCGGAGGAGGAGGGCAAGTCCCCAAGTAGAACTTGAGGGGCACACCTCATAGCTCCACTGGGGATGGGCAGGGGGCTCTAAGCATGGAAGGGGAGCGGGGAGAGGGGCCCAGTGGCCTGGGAAGACACTTCCAGGTCTAAGAATCAACATTAACACCTGGAAGAGAGGATTTGGAATGCTCTCACCGAAAAGAAATGGCAAGTCTTCAAGGTGGTGGGTATGCAAATTCCCCTGATTTGATTACTACGCAGTGTACACATGTAGTGTAACATCACTGCGTGCCCCATCAGTGTGTGTAATTACTACGTCATCTAAAGTAAAACAAAAAAAAAATCAGCACTACATCACCTTGCTCGTGGAACCGGTCTTAGGTCCCCACCAAAGAAATGGCCCAATCCTTCCTTTGGTTCCTGCTGCATTTAATCCTGGCTGGATGATAAGGAATTTGATTCCCCTCTGTCCCTGGCATTTAGCATTGGGCTGAGCACCTAGCTTGGGCTCAATAACTGTCCAGAAAATGAATGAGTGAATGAATGAATGAATGAATGAATTCAATAGCTGGAGAAACTGGTTTGAGGGGCCAGAGCCGTGGCCCAACAGGTTAAGCCACCACCTGCGACACTGGCATCCCATGTGAGTGCTGGTTTGTGTCCCAGCTGCTCCACTTAGGCTCCAGCTCCCCGCTTGTGCACCTGGGAAAGCAGGAGATGATGGCCCAAGTGCTCGGGCCCCTGCTACCCACATGGAAGACCCAGGCAGAGTTCCAGGCTCCTGACTTCAGCCCGGCCCAGTCAGCCCCAGCCATTGTGGCCATCTGGGGAGTGAGCCAGCTAATGGAGGCTCTCTCTCTATGTCTGTCTGTCTCTCTGTGACACTGCCTGTCAGATAAATAAATAAATCTTCAAAAAAAAAAAAAAAAAAAAAAGAAAGAAAAGAAACCAAGCATGATATTTCAATTATTTTCTTACTTCTTTGTACCAATCAGGAATCAAATGATAAAATGAGATCCTAATTTTCATCCTAGGACATGTCCTGTCCTTTTTATGACTTGGGCTTACCTTGGTGTTCTGGTTGTTATTCCTGATAATTCCCTCTGCGGCCACCCGGGCGGAGCTCACCTTGTGCTATGGTTGGGAAAGTGAATCCCCCACCTCCTACACTCACTCACCTGCCTCTGCCTGCCTCCACCTGACACGTGAACCTGTTGGTCCCTCCATTGGTCAGCAAGAGTTCATCGAGGACCAAGTGCCATTGTTCTCCACTGAGAGCCAAGAGATGCCCAGGGCACTGGCCTGAGCCTGGAACCCAGCCAAGGCTGGTAATGACCTCAATTAGAGGTCATAACACTTCCTTTTTCTTTCTCTTTTTTTTAAAGATTTGTTTATTTATTTGGAAGGCAGAGCTAGAAAGAGAGAGAGAGAGAGAGAGAGAGAGAGAATCTTCCACCCATTGGTTCACTCCCCAAATGGTTGCAATGGTCAGAGCTGGGCCGATCTAAAGCCAGGAGCCAGAAGCTTCTTCCAGGTCTCCCACGTGGATGTAGGGGCCCAAGGACTAGGGCCATCTTCTGTTGCCTTCCCAGGCATGTTAGCAGGCAGCTGGATCAGAAGTGGTGCAACTGGTACCGGAGTTGGTGCCCACATGGGTTGCCGGCACTGCAGGCAGAGGCGTTACCCATTATGCCACAGCTTTGGCTGCCATAACACTCTTTTTAAAACCACAGCCATTTCCCTTAAGAAACCCAGCTTTATATTTTCCAAGCTTTTCATAGAAATCTCACATGGGGACCAGCGGGTGGCATAATGGGTTAAGCCACCACCTGCAGTACCAGCATCCCATATAGGAACCAGTTCGAGTCCCAGTTGCTCCACTTCTGATCCAGCTCCTGCTAGTATGCCTGGGAAAGAAATGGAAGATGGCCCAAGTCCTTGGGCCCCTGCACCCCTGTGGGAGACCCGTATGAAGCTCCTGGCTCCTGACCTCAGCCTGGCCCATCCCTGGCTGTTGTGGCCATTTGGGGAGTGAACCAACGGATGGAAGACCTCTCTCTCTCCCTCCCTCTCTCTCTCTCTCTCTCTTTCTCCCCTCTGTCCCCTCCCCATAACTCTGCCTGTACAATAAATAAAATAAGTCTTTTTTTTTTTTTTTTTAAAAGAAATCGCACCATGACTACTGTTAGAGATAGAAAAAACCTGAAGTGCTTTTCCTTTTCTCTACTCTCACTCACCACTCAACACAACACCTCGGATGCTGGATGTCTGGGCAGGGTTTCCCCGCACACCAAGACGCAGTTCTGTAGCAGACAGCAGCAGGTCCCCTCCAGCTGAGTTTTGTGGTCTGCCTGAAGGCAGTGTCAGGTGCCACAGCTGAGGGCTCAGTCCTGGAAGACCGGTCCCCACCCCCAGTCAGACGTCAGTTACAAGTCCGAGTTGTAGCCTGCAGTTCTGCCTGACCAGCTACCCTCTGGGGTTCTCACCACCCCCTCTTTAGGGTTGATTCATTTGCTAGCCCATCTCAGAGAAGTTAGGGAAATGCTTTGCTGATGTCTATCCATTATTACAGAAGAATTACAAGGAACAGGTGCACAGGGCAAGATATGTAGGAAGGGGCGTGATGCCGCCCTGCTCTCTCTGGTGTGGAGCCTCCACAGCACCTGCCTCTTCACCAAGTGTCCTCCTCGTGCCCCCAGGACCTCACTGTATTCCCTGTTCCTTCCATGGAAATTAGTCACCTTATGTTTTCAATGGCAGGTGTGAGCGTGTTTTTTAGGTTTCTGGGTTGCACAGTTGCAGAGGGAACACGGGGCAGACAAATCCACATCACACAACCTGGCTGTGTACAGAACAAGGAAACCGTGGCTGCGGAACCAGAGACAGGGCTACAAGTGGGACCCAAATGCCCGGAGCCCTTTAAGAAGTGAGGGGTCGCTGAACAGGGGACTCCTGAGTGGGGCCATCCCAGGTGCCCGATCACAGATGGCCTCCTTCTAAGCCCCTGCAAGCTGAACTTGTCTCACCAGTGTTTCTGCAAACCAGCTGTCCCCACCGAATCCATGGAACTCTTCCCAGGCAGATTTTGGGTCACAGCTCCCGGTCCCTTTGCTGGCTGAGCTCAGGAGTTGGGAAGGTGGAGATGCCACCAGCCTCTGTCTTCTCCGATGTTGGGAGGAGCCGTTAGAAACAATAGACCAGAGATCTTTTTGTCCTTTGGCTTTCTTGTGGGAATTGATGATGGGGCGGGAGGAGGAGACAGGGCACCACTGTGGCTGGGAACCTCCTCACTCAGACCTTAGAGACCCCACTACATCGAGGCTGTAGGCAAGTCTCCACCCTAATCCCCAGGGGCAGGCACCTGTGCTGCAGACCTGCGTCCCAGTGGTCCTGCAGGCTGCGCCGTCTGCCCCTCACCTGCAGTAAAGCGAGGCGTTAGGGAGGAAGACGGAAATCAGCCCGTGTGTGCGAAAGGGGCCCGGGAGAAACAGAGCCCCTGGGGGAAGGAACGGAGCAGCTTGAGGGGCCCAGCTTGGAAGCAGCCCAGTGTTTTACGCTACACAATCCTGCCTGTGCCCTGATAACCTTAGAGGTGTTCCCAGTCTCCCCCCTCCCAAGAAAGCACCCAGGAGAACGCAGGCTGATACGGGAGGAATTTCACCTGTGTCATTCCCAGGAGACCCTTCGTCCAGAGGAGGGTGAAGCGAAGGAGAAACGGCGGGAAGACCTGGACCCCACCGCCTTCTAAGCCCCAGTTTCAGTTAGACTGCTCGTCCGCCTGGCCTGGCAGGTGCCTTGGCTCCATTACACTTCGCAACCTTGCTTACCCCAGTCTAAATGACCGGGCACTCTCTCTCTCGGATGTCTGGAGAGGAGCCTGTCCAAACTGATGGGTGCCGTGCCCTGCCCCATTAAACTCTGCCACCTGGCTTACCCCTGCTCTCTGTCTGAAATTCTCTCACTGCAGACAAGATCCTCTCTGCTAACAAGCATGGATACCCGTGCGGGTTCCTGCAGCTCCAGACAGATCAACCTGCGTCCAGGAGAAGGACTGGGCTGGTGGCCTTGAGAAGACACCTGCACAACCAGCTTTTACTACGCCCTTATTATCCATTACCTAAAGTGTAGCCACATTAGCTTGTTAAGCAACTATTAGTAATAATAAGCAATGCTAGATGTCGTTGACTTTATAATGTGTATTATGTTAGACGTGGAGCTAAGTAATCCAGTAACTGTATTAAGTTGATGATTGAATGACCCAAACCACTGCCCATTCCTGGCACTCGCTATCGTATACTCCCCTTCCCTCCATCTGGCCAGATGTGACCCTACCCTGACACAGGTCCAGGAATGTACAGTGATTGCCTATGCCTATAAGGTTCAAAGCTTTAAATAACAACCAGCCACTACCCCGGAGTCAGCAGCGATGCTGGGACTTATCAGAAGTGTCAACTTGATCTATAGCATTCCCTTAAAGCCTGCTTGTACACGATAATAAAAGCTTTGTAAGAATTAGGCTTGGGGCTTCTCGGGTGCATCCTCTCCTGGAGGCACTGAGAGGCCCGGGTTCGAACTGGTAATAAAAACGACCCTGCTAATTGGCTTCAACTTCGGTCTCTGGTGGTGTGATTTTCGGGGGACCTGGACTGCGGGCATAACAAATTTTGGGGGCTCATCCTGGGATTCACCGAAGCCCACCCAGACACCTTGTTGAAGGGTCGTGGAAGGACCGGTCCGGGTGAGTTTGCCGGCATTGTCTTTGTGTAGTCGACTGTGTTATCTGAGTTGCCTATAGGTTCTGTATCTGGGCCGATGAAAAGTCCTGGCGGACACGCTATAGGACTGGCGGCGGGGCCATTGGGAGACGTTCCTCAGACCCCATCTGGGACTATCAGTGTAAATTGTAGTCCATCTTAGCCGGCGCCGAGCTCACTAGGCTAATCCTCCGCCTTGCGGCGCCGGCACACCGGGTTCTAGTCCCAGTCGGGGCGCCCGGATTCTGTCCTGGTTGCCCCTCTTCCAGGCCAGCTCTCTGCTGTGGCCAGGGAGTGCAGTGGAGGATGGCCCAAGTGCTTGGGCCCTGCACCCCATGGGAGACCAGGAGAAGCACCTGGCTCCTGCCATCGGATCAGCACGGTGTGCCAGCCGCAGCACGCTGGCCGTGGCGGCCATTGGAGGGTGAACCAATGGCAAAAGGAAGACCTTTCTCTCTGTCTCTCTCTCTCACTGTCCACTCTGCCTGTAAAAAAAAAAAAATGTAGTCCATCTGGTCGGGCAGAGACAGCCCAACGCGCCTGCGATCTGTATCTGTGTGTCCGTGTGGTCGCGTGTTCCGCCGAAAGCGTTCAGTTTGAGGCTGTTAGTTTTCAGGTTACTGCCTTTGGATGAGAAAAGAGAACAGCCACTCTGCACGTTCCTGCTTTGTTCCTTTACCTGACTAACCTCACCTTCCTTCCAAAAATCCCCCTTTTTAACCCGGGATTGTAGGTCCACGATGGGGCAGACGCAGACCACCCCCTCACCATCATAATGAATCATTTCAGAGACGTGAGGAATAGAGCTTCTAGTTTAAGCGTGGAAATCAGGAAGGACACACTCCCACTCTCTGTAGGTCAGAGTGGCCAGCTTTTGGTGTTGGATGGCCTGCAGAGGGCACTCTCGACCGGCCAGTCGTACGGACGGTTAAAGAGAAAATCTTTCTCTCAGAACCGGATGGCTACCCAGATCAAATCCCCTACATTCTTGTCTGGCAAGATCTAATAAATAACCCGCCGGCCTGGCTGGCGCCTCTCCTACCCGCAGCTAAAATTCTAGCCCTACAGCGCACAGGAGCGGGAGAGTCCGCAAAACCCGCACCCCCAAGGGAGGCCGCTGCTAAACCCCGAGCCACCAAACCCTCAGCTCCTCTTTACCCGGTCCTGCCTGACAGTTCAGATCCCCTACCCCTTGACCCTCCTCCATACCTTCTCGCTCCCCTAAATCCTAGGCCTGCAGAGCTGGTGAATGAGGAAGCATGGGCAGCCCCACAGGAGGGAGAGAGAGAAGCAGGGACTGACTCAAGGGGGCCAGCAGAAAGGACGAGGGGCCGCACCCAATGAGCAACAAGCCCGCGCCATCCCGACTCCACGGTGGCCCTACGATTACGAGAAATCGGGCCGCCCGATGGCACCGGGAACCCTAGACTTCAGTATTGGCCCTTCTCCACCAGTAACCTCTATAATTGGAAGACTCAAAATGCCCGTTTTTCTGACAATCCCAAAGATTTGATTTCTCTTTTAGATAGCGTTATGTTTACTCATCAGGGATGACTGCCAACAACTCCTCTGAATCCTGTTCACCACGGAGGAACGAGAACGAATCCAGTTAGAAGCCAGGAAATTGGTTCCTGGCGACGATGGTCAACCCCCCGCCAACCCAGATTTAATCAATGATGCTTTTCCTTTGACCAGACCCCCAGAAGATGGCTGGGACTACAACACGGCAGAAGGTAGGAGACAGCTGCGGGTTTATCGTCAGACTCTAATGGCGGGTCTCCGGGCAGCGGCACGCAAGCCCACTAATTTGTCCAAGGTATATGCAGTTAATCAAGGAAAGACAGAGTCCCCTTCAGGGTATTTAGAAAGATTAATGGGAGCCTATGGATCCAGAGGCCCCCGAAAATCAGGCAGCCGTAGTTATGTCGTTTGTAAATCAGGCTGCTCCGGACATTAAAAAAGAAGTTACAAAGATTAGAAGACCTGGAGGGAAAGAGTATTCAGGATTTACTAGGATTGCTCAGAGGGTTTTTTTTTTATTTATTTATTTTTTTTTATTTTTGACAGGCAGAGTGGACAGTGAGAGAGAGAGACAGAGAGAGACAGGTCTTCCTTTGCCGTTGGTTCACCCTCCAATGGCCGCCGCTGCAGCCGGCGCACCGCGCTGATCCGATGGCAGGAGCCAGGATCCAAGTGCTTTTCCTGGTCTCCCATGGGGTGCAGGGCCCAAGCACCTGGGCCATCCTCCACTGCACTCCCTGGCCATAGCAGAGAGCTGGCCTGGAAGAGGGGCAACCGGGACAGAATCCGGCGCCCCGACCGGGACTAGAACCCGGTGTGCCGGCGCCGCAAGGTGGAGGATTAGCCTATTGAGCCACGGCGCCGGCCTGCTCAGAGGGTTTTTAATAACAGGGATGCCCCCGAAGAGAGGCAGGTGAGGGCAACAGAAAAGATGACGAGAGTACTGGCGGCCACAGTTCAAGGGAAGCAATTGCAGGGAAATTCCACACGCCCAAAAGCACCCTATAAAAATTAGATAGAGACCAGTGTGCCTATTGTAAGGAGGTCGGCCATTGGGCTAGAGACTGAAAAAGAAAAGAGCCAAGCCAGGCCGATGGCAGGAGATGCCCTCCACGCAACCCCCTGCTGTACTAGTGACCCAAGATTCTGAAGATTAGGAGGGACGGGGTTCGGATCCCCTCCCCGAACCTAGGGTAACTCTACAAGTGGAGGGGAATCCTGTCCAGTTTTTAGTAGACATGGGACCCCAGCACTCAGTTCTCACTAGCCCCCGAGGGAAGCTATCAGCCACCTCTTCTTGGGTGCAAGGAGCCACAGGGATCAAAAAGTACCGGTGGACAACTAAAAGAACTGTGGACCTGGGGACCAACAGAGTGTCCCATTCTTTCTTGGTCATCCCTGAAAGTCCATACCCCCTTCTGGGGAGAGACTTACTAACTAAGATAGGAGCCCAAATTTGCTTCCTACCTGATGGGCCAAAGGTGACGGATTCACAAGGTGGACCGGTTTCAATATTAACTCTGTCCCTGGAAGATGAATACCTTATTCACCAACAACCTGAGGAACCTGGACAAGAAATTGACCGGTGGGTCCAGCGTTTCCCGGAGGCGTGGGCTGAGACTGGGGGAATGGGACTGGCTGCCCACCGACCGGCCATATACATAGAGACAAAACCTGGAGCGGATCCGGTCCTGGTTCGACAATACCCTATGCCCCTAGAGGCAAGAGTGGGAATTACACCCCACGTTGGGCACCTCCTAGACCAGGGAGTTCTGCGACCGTGTCAATCGGCCTGGAACACGCCTCTACTGCCAGTGCGCAAGCCCACCACAGGGGATTATCAGCCCGTACAGGACTTGAGGGAGGTTAACAAAAGAACTATTGATATCCATCCAACAGTGCCAAACCCCTACACCCTTCTTAGTGCTCTCAGTCCCGAAAAACAATGGTATACTGTTTTGGATCTAAAGGATGCCTTTTTTAGCTTACCCCTAGCACCTAAGAGCCAAGAGCTTTTTGCCTTCGAATGGGCAGACCCAGAAAGAGGCATCAACGGACAACTAACTTGGACACGGCTGCCACAAGGGTTTAAAAACTCTCCCACCCTATTCGATGAAGCTCTTCATGACGACATGAGTGAGTACAGACAGACACACCCAGATCTAACCCTCTCACAATATGTAGATGATCTACTGATAGCAGCACGGACCCTCGAGGAATGCACCCGAGGAACGGAGGGCCTCTTGCACACTTTGGGGAGCCTGGGCTACAGAGCACCCGCTAAAAAGGCCCAACTCTGCAAGACCGAGGTAGCATACCTGGGGTACCTATTGAAAGGGGGGCAACGATGGCTGACCCCTGCATGCAAGGAGACTGTGCGCCAAATCCCCCAACCGCAGTCACAACGACAGGTTCGGGAGTTTTTGGGGTCAGCCGGGTTCTGCCGATTGTGCATTCCTGGATTTGCCGAACTGGCCAAACCTCTGTACTTAGCGGCCAGGGATCAACGACATTTTCTGTGGATGGAGGAGGCCGAGCAGGCCTTTCAACGGATAAAAACTGTGTTGCTTTCAGCCCCAGCATTGGGACTCCCCGACGCCTCCAAGCCCTTCCAGCTGTTTGTAGACGAAAACAAAGGAATGAAGGGAGTTCTAACTCAACGCATAGGCCCTTGGAAGCGGCCAGTTGCGTATCTATCAAAAAAACCTGATTCTGTAGCTGCTGGATGCCACCTTGCCTCAGAATAATAGCAGCTACTGCTCTAATGGTCAAAGATGCAGAAAATTGACCACGGGGCAGGGATTGATCATGGGGCAGGAATTGACCATGGGGCAGGAATGGCATGACGCCCCATGCCATTGAGGGCCTACTCAAGCAGCCTCCCGACAGGTGGCTCAGTAACGCCCGGCTCACCCACTACCAAGGACTGTTACTAAATCCTCTCGGAATTTTCTTTCAGCCACTGACCGCCCTTAACCCGCCTCCCTGCTCCCTGACCCGGACCTGGAGGCCCCACTCCATGATTGTGCTGAGGTGTTAGCCCAGGTGCACGGAGTAAGAGAAGACCTACGAGATCAAGCCCTGCCCAACACTGAGGTAACCTGGTTTACCGACGGGAGCAGCTTCGTGCATCAAGGACAGGGGTATGCGGGGGCAGCGGTGGCTTCAGAGACTGAGGTAATATGGGCCGAGCCCCTGACAGCAGACACCTCGGCACAAAAAGCAGAACTTATAGCCCTAACCCAAGCCTTAAAACTAGGAAAGGGAAAAAGACGTACAGTCTACACTGATGGCCGGTACGCCTTTGCCACCGCCCATATACGTGAGGCTATATATCGGGAAAGAGGTCTCCTGACAGCAGAGGGAAAACCATAAAGAACAAAGGAGAAATCTTAACTCTCCTAGCCGCTTTATGGGCGCCAAAAAGATTGGCAATTGTGCATTGCCCGGGCCACCAAAAACCTATAGACCCCGTGTCAAGGGGCAATTATTTTGCTGATCAGACATAGCTAATAGCTATGTCCCCAATTCAGGCCATAGTCGTGTAATTCCCTGATCCAGTATACCGAAGATCTACAATGGGTAAAAACACTCCCTGGGGCACAGCTTCTTGATGGGTGGTGGAGAGACTCTGAATGTCGCATAATACTCCCCGAAAAACTAGGAGAAAGAGTATTACAAAAAATCCACCACAGCACCCGCCTAGGCACCAGGAGGATGCAGGACTTACTGAGACAGACGAAACTACGAATAAAAGAGGCCCCCAGCAAAATTGACCAAATTGTTGCCAAATGCAAAGTCTGTCAACTCACTAATGCAGGAAAGAACGCTCAAAACCCAGGAGCAAGACAGTGAGGGGACAAGCCGGGATTCTATTGGGAAGTAGATTTCACTGAAGTAAAACCGGGAAAATATGGGTATAAATATTTACTAGTTTTCATAGACACCTTTTCAGGATGGGTCGAGGCCTTCCCTACAAAGAGCGAAACGGCTCAGACAGTGGCTAAGAAACCACTGGAGGACATCCTACCCAGGTACGGATTCCCAGTGATGACTTGTTCAGATAACGGACCTGCGTTCGTTTCTGAGGTGAGTCAGGGGTTGGCTTCCATACTAGGGGAGATTGGAAATTACATTGTGCCTACAGACCCCAAAGCTCAGGACAAGTAGAGAGGATGAACAGAACATTAAAAGAGACTCTAAGCAAACTGACCATGGAGACTGGCGCAAACTGGGTAGCCATCCTCCCCTGCGCTCTGTACAGAGTCCGTAATTCCCCCTTTAAGCTGGGACTCACCCCATACGAAATACTATATGGTCAGCCACCTCCCATAATACCTGATCTAAAAGAAAACTTAATTAAGCAAAGTGATAATGACTTTGAACTTCTGTTTTCGCTCCGAGCTTTACAGAAGATCCATGAAGAAGTGTGGCCCAAACTAAAAGACCTGTACGGAACAGGGCCATCTCCGACACCTCTCAGCTACAGGCCAGGCGACTGGGTGCTAGTAAAACGTCACCGGAGGGAAAACTTGGAACCCAGGTGGAAGGGACCCTTCCAGGTCATCCTAACGACTCGACCGCTCTCAAGGTAGACGGAGTGTCCTCCTGGGTCCACCATGTCCACGCCAAACTGGCAAACCTGTTCCCAGACATCATAAACCCCCCCTGGATGAATGGGCCTGGAGAGTCGACAAAACTCAAGCCAAGAACAATCCTCTGAAGCTTAAACTGCACCGCATTCCCCAGGCGGTAAAGCACTAGAACAATGAGGCCTGACCTCATAATCCTACTGATTCTTTTTTTTAATTTATTTTTTATTTTATTTCTTATTTTTTGACAGGCAGAGTGGACAGTGCGAGAGACAGAGAGAAAGGTCTTCCTTTTGCTGTTGGTTCACCCTCCAATGGCTGCAGCGGCCGGCGCGCTGCGGCCGGAGCACCGCGCTGATCCGAAGGCAGGAGCCAGGTGCTTCTCCTGGTCTCCCATGGGGTGCAGGGCCCAAGCACTTGGGCCGTCCTCCACTGCACTCCCTGGCCACAGCAGAGAGCTGGCCTGGAAGAGGGGCAACCGGGAGAGAATCGGGCACCCCAACCGGGACTAGAACCCGGTGTGCCGGTGCCGCAAGGCGGAGGATTAGCCTAGTGAGCCGCGGCGCCGGCCCTACTAATTCTGTCTACTTGGTGGGAGGGTGACTTTGGACATCATTCCTCACCAACCTCCACCAGGCTCCTGGACCTTGAGTGTGTCGGGAAGAGTCATTGACCGCTATAATGGCACGGGGCAGCCCACGTCACCGTAGATCGCTGCACCCTATGGCAGGAAGTGGACACGAGGCTCATCTCCAGGCCCGGAGCTAGGACATTTACCTCTCCAGCCAATTGGCATTGGATTCCTGGGGTAAAATTGGTGGGGTGCGGGCAAGCTGGTGTAGAGGCCGACCTACAACAAACTAAATGGTATGTCTGTCCTGCCGAAGCTTCCCCAGACTGTGGGGGGGCAGGCGATTATTACTGCTATCACTGGGGATGTGAGACAATAGCCTCATGGTTGACTCCTAGGGACAAAAATCTGGAGATGGCCAGAGTGGGTGGGTCAAGTCCTCAAGTGGGAAGAAGAAACCCAATCCAAATTAAGGTAAAAACGTGGCAAGAAATACAGAATTCCCAATGGGTTAAGGGAAAAACATGGGGACTGAGACTATATGTCTCCGGGTCTGACCCGGGCATTCAGTTTACAATCCAGTGGCGGTCTCAACCGAGCCACACAATTGGGGTGGGGCCGAATAAGTTCCTTATTCCCGAGCCTGAGCCCTCGCCAACCCAAAGACCCAGACCCAATCCAAGTCCTCCTCCCCGAGTGAAAAAGGGCAAGGACCGGCCCATTATGACCAGCCGAGGCAAAGGTTCAAAATCAGGAGGCGCGCAAAGACAGGGCCCGACCTGCCTCGGCCAGTAACAGGAAAAAGTCAGAACCCCAGCAATCTGGTCCGCTGTGGCGACTCTTAAATAGCGCATATATAGCCTTGAACGCTTCTTTCCCTAACTTAACTAATTCCTGCTGGCTGTGTTATCAGGCCTCGCCACCCTATTATGAGGCGTCAGCTGTGACAAGTCTCTCACTCTCTGGGACAACCCAAGAGGGCTGCCGCTGGCAGAGACAGATGGAATCTGGGACCACCTTACAGGTCGTGCGGGGTCGGGGAACATGCATATCCACAGTTTCTACTGGATCGATGTGTAGCCACACTGTCCTCAGCACCGCCTCCCTGTTCTACCCAGCGCCAGGAAATACGCGGTGGGCCTGTAATGCTTCGGGAGTGACTCCGTGTGTGTCAGGGACAGTGTTACAAAGTAATAATGAATGGTGCCTTCTAGTTAGATTGTACCCTCGAATAATATATCATCCCTATGAAGAACTCCTGTCCAGCCTAAAGCCCACCATGTCACTCAGCAGAGAGCGCCGGGAAGTGGCAGCCGCTTTTATCACTGTAGCTGGCCTGTTAGGGCTCGCAGGGACAGGGCTGGGAGCCACTGCAGTAGCCAAGCAAGGAAGCCAGTATTCAGCTCTCCGACTGGCGATAGATGAAGACTTAGCGAGAATTGACCGATCTATCGCTGGCTAACCAAGTCTCTCTGATCCCTGTCAGAAGTTGTCCTCCAAAACAGACGAGGACTGGACATGCTGTTTCTACAGCAGGGAGGACTGTGTGCCGCCTTGGGGGAGGAGTGTTGTTTCTATGCCGACCACACAGGGTAGTAGAGGACTCCATGGCTAAAGTACGCGAGGGGCTAGAAAAAAGAAAAAGAGAAAGGGAACAACAAGAAGGATGGTTTGAATCATGGTTTAATTATTCTCCTTGGCTAACAACCTTATTATCGGCTATAACTGGCCCTCTACTTTTGTTAATAATAATCTTAACTATAGGCCCCTGTGTGATTAACAAACTAGTAACATTTGTTAAAGACAGGATAAACACGGTTCAGCTTATAGTGCTGCGGACACAGTACCAACCCTTAGATGAACAGGAATTATAAAGCTTAAGACCTGTAAAGGAGCCAAGATTGGCTCCAAATAAGTCCCATGTGAAAGGGGGGAATGAGAAGTCACCTGCACAACCAGCTTTTACTACGCCCTTATTATCCATTACCTAAAGTGTAGCCACATTAGCTTGTTAAGCAACTATTAGTAATAATAAGCAATGCTAGATGTCGTTGACTTTATAATATGTATTATGTTAGATGTGGAGCTAAGTAATCCAGTAACTATATTAAGTTGATGATTGAATGACCTGAACCACTGCCCGTTCCTGGCACTCGCTATAGTATACTCCCCTTCCCTCCATCTGGCCAGATGTGACCCTACCCTGACCCAGATCCAGGAATGTACAGTAATTGCCTATGCCTATAAGGTTCAAAGCTTTAGATAACAACCAGCCACTACCCCGGAGTCGGCGGGGTAGCGATGTTGGGATTTATCAGAAGTGTCAACTTGATCTATAGCATTCCCTTAAAGCCTGCTTGTACATGATAATAAAAGCTTTGTAAGAATCGGGCTCGGGGCTTCTCGGGTGCATCCTCTCCTGGAGGCACTGAGAGGCCGGGTTCGAACTCGTAATAAAAACGACCCTGCTAATTGGCTTCAACTTCGGTCTCTGGTGGCGTGATTTTCGGGGGACCTGGACTGCGGGCATAACAGCCTCTCCTGCCTTCGTCCTGTCCCCAGCAGCACACAGCCTCCAGCTCCACACTGCTGGACTTCCTGTGTGCATGGAATGCCCAGGTGACCCAGGAAGACAGAGGCCTCTGGAAACAAAAGATTTTTCACCCAGTGCTCTTTTTCAATAGAACCCATTGAGGAATTCTTTCCACATGGGCTCCTTGTCAGGTGACTGCAGACTGCTTGTATGCTGAACGTGACAATGGGGGACTAGTCTGCCCTTGGTTTCTCCCTGGGAATGGCTCAGGAAAGAATGGCCATTGTGCATTCAGAATTGTGTGGCCACAGTAGTACGGCAGGGCAGGTCGGTAACTCAGAAACGTCCCCTCTTGTCCCAGCCAGGCCCGACAGACCCCAAGGACCCAGCCTTTCAGAAAACTGCTGGGTTTCTGGGCCAGTCACGTCTTCGAAATGTTTCCTCATCATTCAGCGGTTTCTTGCTTCAGTTTAACCTTGCTGAGCACAGAGATTGGGCACAGGACAGGATGCGCGCGGCCAGGGGCGCAGAGGATGAGAGCCAGCCCATCTTGGCGGCACCCGGGGACAGCCAGGCCCACGCTTCTGTGTGTGAACGCATTGTCTCCACCGAGAAAAATAACACCTATGAAGTATTTACATGCCCCAGCGACCTCATGACCTCGCCTTAGGATCCACCACCTACAGAAACCTGGCGCTGATCCGCAGGGCTTGGGGAGGACTGTACCTGTAAAAGGCTCAAAGAAAGAACCCAGTTGGTTTGCAACGAATCCGTCCAACAAGCAACTGTTTCATTGCAAGCATTCTGCTCCGTGTTCAGGAATCAGAGACGAGTAGGCTGAATGTTGGCAGGCGGGTTCTGGAAATGATTGGGGCGGCCACACTGCAGCCTGGGGCAGCAGGTGACAGTCACGCCGGGGAACACAGAACAGGGACCCAGAGACCAGCTTGGCGGCACTGGCAGGGGTCAGGCCGGGCTTCCCAAAGGACATGATGCTGGAGAAAGGGCCTGGAGCATGACCCGAAGCCGGAAAGGTGGGAGGAGTGAGATGCACCAGAGAAGCATGGGTGTGACCGCGCTCTCGGTGGGAGGTGAGCTGGATCACACTGGGCAGCCGGTCACGGTCACGGCCGTTGGCACTTGCAGACTTGGTGCCTGACAAAGATCGCTCTCACAGTAGGGTGCAGGGTGGGTGGGATGAGGGGTTCTGGGCATGGAGCATCCTGGCTGTGACCTAAAGAGAGAAGAGAATACCTAGGACTTGAGACGCGATTGAAGTAGGCGGCAGACAGGGGGCACCCTTGTGCCCTGCCTGGAGTCACGGAGACCAGGAAGCAGAAGAGTGCCAAGCCCCGAATGTGTCCTCCTCATGTCACAGGCTGGGGACTTGCTCTCCACGGCCATGGTGTTGGGAGGCGGGACTTTGAGAGGTGCTTAGGTCTTGAGGGCTCTGCTCCCATGATTGATGGAGGGAGGTTCGTGGTCGCGTGAGCGGGCTGGTTACAGACGCCAGTTTCAGTCTCTCGTGCCAAGTGACACTTGGGCCACCTTAGGATGCAGCCCGAGGCCTCTGCTGGGTGTGGCCTCTTGACCTTGGGCTTCTCAGCCTCCGTCTCTGCTCTTGATAAATTACCCAGAGTCAGGTGTTCTGCAAAACACATGAAGCTGGGAAAGCAACGTATGTTCTCAGCTGTTCCTGAGCGCTGGTGCAAGCGGGCGGCAGACGAAGTCCTGGGCCCCATGAGCGTGCCAGCGCTGCCGGCCAGAAGGAGCAAGCCCGTCCCCAGCATCAACGGAAGCAGCTATGCATCCACAGCTCAGCATCTAGAACCTTCCTTGGGGGTTACATGGTGGCCCAAGGTGGGGCATCCCAGAATCTCCCATGGTCAAGGAGAATGGAGACTATGACAATGGCAACTTTGAGCAGCCACATGTGGCTGACCACAAGGCCTCTGCCGTCCAAGTTCATGGCAGGCATCAAAAATGGGGGGGTGGGGTGGCCCCACCGGGACTCAGCCCCTGTGGCATGTAGAATGTTATCTAGAACAAACACTGGGCATCATGACGCTGCTACCTGGAGCCACACACTGCACTTGACACTACCTCAGCTCTCGCTCGCCCGTCTGTTTAACTCAGGCTATCGCTGTAATGAAGACCCATCTGGCACTGTGGCTCTGTAAGTAAGCCTCGGCCTGCAGCACCAGCATCCCATATGGCACTGGCTTGAGTCCCGGCTGTTTCACTTCTAGTCCAGCTCCCTGCTAATGTGCCTGGGAAAGCAGTGGAAGATGGCCCGAGTGCTTGGACCCCTGCCACCCACGTGGGAGACCTGTATGGAGTTCCAGGCTCCTGTCCTAGCCCTGGGCATTGAGGTCATTTGGAGAGTGAACCAGTGGCTGGATCGATCGATCCCTCCCTCTCTCTCTCTGTAACTGCCTTTCAAATAAATCAATAATCTTTTTTAAAAAGAAGAAGACATAGACCTAATTCTGTGTGTGAGAAGGCATGGGTGAATCTTCTTGTCCATCAAAACGAGGTTGGGAGGTCGGCGCCGCGGCTCACTAGGCTAATCCTCCGCCTTGTGGCGCCGGCACACCGGGTTCTAGTCCTGGTCAGGGCGCCGGATTCTGTCCCGGTTGCCCTTCTTCCAGGCCAGCTCTCTGCTGTGGCCCGGGAGTGCAGTGGAGGATGGCCCAAGTGCTTGGGCCCTGCACCCCATGGGAGACCAGGAGAAGCACCTGGCTCCTGCCATCGGATCAGCGCAGTACGCCGGCCGCGGCGGCCATTGGAGGGTGAACCAATGGCAAAAGGAAGACCTTTCTCTCTGTCTCTCTCACTATCCACTCTGCCTGTCAAAACAAAACAAAACAAAACAACGAGGGTAGTGAAGACAGGCTGATGGTACCCTGCAGATTTTTTTAAAAAAGATTTTATTTACTTATTTGAGAGACAGAGTTACAGACAGAGAGAGGGAGAGATAGAGAAAAAGGTTTCTATTGGCTGGTTCACTCTCTAAATGGCAGCAATGGCTAGAGCTGGGCTATTCCAAAGACTAGAGCTTCGTCTGGGTCTCCCATGGGGGTGCAGGGACCCAAGCACTCTGGCACCTTCCGCTGCCTTCCAAGGCCATTAGCAGAGAGCTGGATGAGAAGAGGAGCAGCCAGGACATGACATGAACTAGTGTCCATACAGGATGCTGGCACCACAGGCAGAGGCTTAGCCCAGTATGCCTGAGTCAGCCCCAACCCTGAAGTTTTTATCTCTTGCAAGCTGCCTAGTAACTGCGTCCCCACTTTTTTTTTTTTTAATGATTCATGTATTTACTTGAAAGGCAGAGTTACACACACACAGAGGGATATATACACACACACCAGAGGGTGGAGGGGGAGAGATATCGTCCATCTGCTGATTCACTCCCCAAGTGGCTGCAGAGCTGGGTCGTCCGAAGCCAGGAGCCAGGAGCTTTTTCCGGGTCTCCCACATGGCTTCAGGGGCCCAAGCATTTGGGCCATCTTCCGTTGATTTCCCAGGCCATAGCAGAGAGCTGGATCAGAAGAGGAGCAGCTGGGGCTGGAACCTGCACCCATGCCCGGCACTGCAGGTGGCAGCTTTACCCTCTACGCCACAGCGCTGGCCCCAGTCCCCACTTTTGATACACAGTATTGTCAAAAGTTCAAGGAAAATGTGTATCATGAAAAAAACTCCAAATGGATTTCAATTTTTTTTGGCACCAAAATAATCTTGTGTTTAATTTCATTTTTCCACAAACATTTTTAAATCTCCCTGTCCTCACTCTCAGTGACCCTGAAGGCTTTGGAGACAGTTTCTTTTCCCAGTTCCTGCAGAGACATCAGCAGCCTGAGCTAAGTGTTCCCCATCCCCCTACCACGACCTCAGCGCAACGGTGCAGGGTCCGCCCCACCCCCATCCTGTCCCCTCCAGCCCAGGGGCGCACCCTCTGCGGAGCGGCTGGGCCCGGGTGCCATGGTGACTGGTGAAGGGATGCCCCCTGCTGTGCCCCCCACCGCGCTGCTCCCACCCCTCCCAGCCCCTGCAGCTTTCTGGTCTCCAGGCTGCACCCAAGCCCCACAGGGCACCAGGATCTTCCCAGGCACCCAGCACATTCAAGGCTCCTCCCCTTCTTTCCTTGTCACCTTTCTCTGGAAGCTCCTCCCTCCCTGCCACCACCTGAGCGGCCAGGAGGGGGCGCTGCTGCCCTGGGCTGGCTCAGCCAAGCCCAGGAACCACTGCTGGTATGGGATGTCCGGCTCCCTGCGCTGCTGTCAGGCCCCTGGCATGGGGAGGAGGAGGCCGGGCCGGTGCCTGAGTCTCCTCTCTCCCTCCCTGCCCTGGTCTTAGCTCTGGAGGCAGGGCGTGCCCTTGTGGGACTGTGGGCTTCCCTGGCCAGGGCGAGAGGGAGGCCAGCCCTGCACCTGTCAGTAGCTGCACATGGCTTGTCCTGGGCTGCAGGTGGCAGCCAGGAAGACCGGGCTGGAGCAGCAGGTGCCTGATTGAAGAGAGGGCCTGCGCTGCCCCTCAGGCACAGGTGGTGTCCACGCCGGCCTCCCGACCCTGTCCCAGATCTTCCTCACTGTGCTCCCAGCCTCTTCCTCCCCAACACAGTTCCCTCGGGGGCTCTGGGCCGCACCATCCTGTGCCCTCCGTGTTCCGGTGGTGGCGCACAGCATGGCAGCCAGCTTACCTGGGCCTGCCGGTGAGGTCTCTGATACCCGCAAACTACACGCAGCCTCTGCTGTCTGCGCCCCGCCCTGCCCTGCATTTTCCCGTCACCACACCCCCCTCCCCTCCGGACACGAGCGACGCCATCGCTTCTGCAGTTGGAGGAAGTCATGAGTGGGGTTCAGACTCACCTGGGCTGAACTCGGAGCAAGGCCAGGTCCCTTGAGGCATCCTTGACACAGCCTGAATCCAGGGCTCTCTGGAGCAGGTGGACTGCCCCTCGCCACCGGGGTCTGTTCACCTGGCCTTGCCTGGCTCCCATTCTCAGAGGGACCTTGTGTCACAGGACCCCGGTGCTCCGCAGCAGTCGCAGGATGGGGACTGTCCCCTAGGTCTGAGCCTTTAGGAATCTGTGGGCCATTGTCACTCCCGTCTGGCGAGAACCATGACATCTGGGACATCCCCCACAGTGTGTGTGTGTAGGGGGGATCCTTGTCTAGACTCATTTCCAGAAAATACTCTGGATTCTTGCAAACTTGTGGCTGCTGTCACTGGCCCAGCGGCTCGCCTGCTGCCAGCCCAGGTGGCACAGCCTTGTGCCTGGCAACATGGGTCTATGGTAGAATTTCCTGCCCAGGAAGAAATTCTGTGGTTTCCAGTATTCAGGACCTGAGACAAAAGCCTTAACAGTCCCCATGCATGTTTCTTTCGGTATTTCATACACACGTGCCTATTGTTCCTGCAGTAGCAAAGGATTGGTTGTCTAAGATTCAATCCCTCCATCATGATTTTCAGATCAAAGCAACTTTATGCCGGCACACTTTATAACAAGGGGCACCCGCAGCAAGGACGGAGTTTCATGGACCCGAAAGCTCCGGGGCCTTTTGGGCTCTTTCCTCTCCTGGAGCATGTTTTTTTTTTTTTTTTTTTACTATTCTCTCTCACTAGCTACACATTCCTCTGCCTCCAAACCCCCCATCCATCCATCCATCCATCCATCCATTTATCCAGTCACCTGTCCATCATCCCATCCATCTGTCTACCTGCCCCCCACCTACCCATCTACCCATCCCACTTGGATAATAGTGTACCATGTACTTCCTCCCCCGTTGATGTTTTAGAAGGCAAGACAACCAATTTAACAATTACTCTGGACAGATGAATGAGCAAGGATGGGTTAGCATGGCGGAGCCAGCAGGAGACACCGGGAATGAGACAGCAGTGACCGGCAGGGCAGGGCAGATAACGGGGCAGGTAACTTTCAGTGGTGTTCACTGCATGCTTTGTCCTGCGCTAGGGTGAGCAAGACAAGGTGGGTCTGCTCTGTTGGGGCACACGTGGCTGGGGAGTGAGCTGGGCTGGGCTGGGGCAGTGGGGTCATTGTCTAGGCAGGGGGGATGTGTGATGACACACAGAGGAGAGAGGACATGCAGTTAGAAGCACTGACAGGTCCATGTGACCAGAGTGAGCATCAGCCAGGAGGGGTCTCTGATGGCCACAAGAGGGGCAGCAGGATCTGCCTGGCTCCTGTCCACTGTGCGAGTGGTCATCAGATCCCTAATCAGATTCTCGAAAGGAAAAGAAATGCTGAACAGAGGCACCATATCCCAATCACTTGCAAAGAGTTTCTTCTGTCTTCCAGAAAGGTAGCCATGATTAAAACAAACAGGATCGGCAGGGAAGGGGTGCAGAAAATGAAGTGGGTGGGGCTAAGATCCCGACTGCCACCGTGCTAACTTTCGGCAAGTCGCACAGGGAGAGTTTCAGGTGTGAACTGGCGGCATCCTGCTTTGGGAGCAGCAGTGCAGAGAACCTGGGGGAGAAGCAGTATTTGTCACCCAGAGACCGCCTTCTTGCAGGACCACTGTATGGTCAATTATTGACGGGGCTTCCGTCTGAATTGCTGACCTAGAGGTGAACGGTACTTGGTAGGTGGTCCTGAGATTCAGGCAAAAGTCCTTGAGTTCTATACAAGCTGTAGAGGCTGCCTCCCTCCAGCTGGCACTCAGTTTTTGCCACTCAGCTACCCACTGTGGGGGGGGCACTGAACCCTCTGCAACCTACTATTTGATAAAATCTATTTAATGAGTTCTGTGCGTTTCACCCCAAATTCAAGCCCTCAGGGAACCCAAATTGCTTGTGGGCTCTAATTCACACAATATTCTGGAAATCTAAAATCCCGACTGCACGCCGACTGCACGGCTGCATTTGTAAGCCGAGGATTCAGGGCTGTCCTGGTCCCCCTGATCACCACCCTGCGCTTGCACTTTGCTCTCATTTCCAGGGGTCTGATTTCCGGGTTTTGGATGGCTCTAAGCTGCTTATCATGGGGTCAGGCACATATTCTATCAAAACCTGTTTCCGAAACACTTTCGATCAGCGGCAGAGAGCGTGTTCTGCACGGTTCGGCCTGGCTTGTGTCTGTTGTTCTGCATTTTCTGAGCCCCTCTCTGAGAGATGCGAGGGTCCTGGGCGTGTGCTCACTGGGGAGCCTTCAGCTTCATCAGCGTGGCAACTGCTGGCTTGCAGAATTCCAACCAAAGCTGCCTGCCGCCTGTGCCTGCCACAGAGCTGCCCCCAAAACAGATCATCTCAGTGTGTGTGTGGGGGGGCGTTGGTTGACTTGTGATCCTACTCTGTCTAGGATCCCCAGCGGTGGGACCACCAACTTGATTCCCCAGTAGGTAGGGGGCCCCCGCTGGCGGTCTCATGGCAGCCCTCTTCCACCGTTACGATTTAGGACCCCAGGCTGGCACCCTTCTCAGCGCAACTCTCCCTGGCAGGGCTCCTGCTGATTCAGACGGTGGCAAACGACAGCCCCTCCCTGCACTCCTACCTGGGAAGATGTCCTCCCTTCCCCCAGGTAGTCAATTAGTGAAGGTGCTCAATACTTGGGTGTCCCCATTTGATAGAAACGCAGGTGTCCCGCCACGTTTAAACCCCGAACACACCCAGCTATGGCTTTAAGGGATGCAAGCGTTCTTGGGAAATAATGACGGGATGGTGCTTCTTGGAGAAGGGGAGAAAAAGGCGACGGGGATTGGCATTGTGGCCACAGCGTGTTAAGCTGCAGCCCTGGCTGTTGCGGCCGTTTGGGGAGTGAACCAGAGGAAGAAAGATCTTGATCTCTCTCTCTCTCTCCCTCCCTCCCTCCCTCTCTCCCTCCCTCCCTCTCTGTTGCTCCACCTTTCAAACAAGAAAATAAATAAATAAGTTTTTTCATGAGAAAAAAGTAGCATGTGCGTCTTCATGAAGCAATGCCTACTATTAACCATCATCAGGATTAATATCATTGCTGGACTTCAGCAAATAAACACCAAGTAGGATTTTCTGGCATGGCCAGGAAGCTCACCACCATTTGAAATAAGAATTCCGGGGCCAGCGCTGCGGCGTAGTGGGCTGAGCCTCCGCCTAGACTTCTGACTCCACTTTCACGCCATTCGCCCTCTCCTTGGCGATGTTCGGTGCGCGCGGGGGACCCTCTGTGAACCAGAGGGCAGAATTAAGAGGCTCTAAGCCCACGGGAACACGACCTCCACCTCCGAGACCGCAGAGCTGAGATCACAGATCGGTCCGAGGAATAAAACGGCCAGCGGTGTTTCCGTAAGGAGTGTGTTGTGCTGATTTATTAGAGAACGCAGTTAAAAAAAATACTTTGAGGTTCTCCTCTCCAGTTTAAAAGCACTTAACGAGAAACACTTGAAGAGCTATGCAATGCTCTCTCCTACCAAGTACTGCAAACGGGGTTTTGAGAACATTCAATTTCTTGATATGAGCAATCAAAGGATTGAATGCAAATGCATTTTCTTCTCAAAGAAAGAGAACCATCTTTCAAATGTCCAAAGCATGCATCTGTCACTTGGCATTTCAAAATGACACACTCTGTTATGGTATTGTAAGGCCAAAATATAATAGCTATTTACCAGATGTACACATTACAACTAGAAAAAAATTACAAATGTTTACCTAGGGCAACAATTCCGTCAGGAATTAATGAGAAAAGGCACTGCATCCCTCTCATAGCAACACACAGCTACTACCCACTTGACATGCTTTGAATTCAACCCCGTTACACGTCTCTACAACACACACGTCACAGGGAGGTTAGCACATCCGCCACTGCTCTCCCACGGCCTTTTCGCCCGAGTATCCCACAGGCGTGAACAGAGGCCCTCGGCTTTATTTACAAGTTCGTCTCGGTGTTTCGCTGGGGGTGACGAATCAGCGCTCTCAACCGACAGTTCCCAAGGAGGTTTTTGGCTCTGATTCATGTGCGCATGCCACCACGTAAAAGAAACAACGGAAACCGAAGCCCAACCCCAAACACCTAAACCAAAATGTCGCACCCACTCAAAGTTGGCAGTGAAACTGCACAGGGCTTTCGGATCAACTGATTTTTTTTTTTTTTTTGTAAAAGCATGGGCATGTACTCTAGGTGGCAGGCCGCACGGCGAGTGCTGTTGCAAAGGACTGGAGGCTCCGAAAGAGTGATGCATTTCCCGAATGCGTTCCCAGCTTCCCAAAAGACGTAAAAGAACAGTGGCGTAAGTTCATACATACACGAACAAGGCTTAGTCTTGAAGATCGGAGATATACATGCACAAACATTAGACCGGGTGGGGGTGGGGGGGGAAGGAATTGGACGCTACAATTTCCACGTGGCATTGTGGGTGTTTTCACGACCTCTCGGCACTCCACACCTGGTGGCCTGGCGGGGTGCTCCTTCCCACCGGGACAATCTGCCCCGTGGGCTGCTCAAAAACAGAAGCTTCCCCGGGACCCGAGGGTCCGCCTGCCCTCGGCAAAAACAGAACCTACCAGAAAAGAACAAGTACAAAACGCTACTGTGACCGGTTTGCTCAAGACGTCCCCAAACGTCCACGCGCGAGCGCTGCAGACGCAGCGGGCGGCCCCGGTCCTTCCCAGGTGCCAAGCACACGGACTGGGACAAGGAGACAAAGCCTTGATTCTCTTCCGAGCAACAGGAACTGGAATTTCCGCCACGGCGGTCATGGCTGCCACCTCCAAAGTTGTGTCGGGCGACTGGCACAGTAAATGACCCCGTCCCGTGAGTGCGACTCGGGTGCTTCTCCGGCCCTGTGCCGGCTCAGCCCAGGTGGATCGGCGTGAACTCGGGCCGTCTGGTCTGGATAATTTTTGGTTTGGGTCTCTTCATTCTCTCCATCTCCTCTTCCTCCTCGTTCTCTTGGTCGCTCTCACATACGTGCACCACCACGCTGGGAGTGGTGTCGGTGGCCGCGTGCAGCTCATACTTGCCCCCTGGGGACACAAAGCAGTTGCAGGGTAAATAGGACGAGCCCTGGCATGGAGGGGACAGCAGTTAGGGGTCTGCTGAGCCAGGCTGCCGCCTACGTCCCATGGGGTGAGGGACATGGCTGGATACCTTGCGGATTTGCATTGCTTTGGTGGCTCATTCAGGAAAAGACGCGTGTCTACGGTCTGTGGGCTGTGGGTGTGCGACTTTGCTTGCAGTCAAACGCTACGTCCGGGCGTGCAAGAGCTACAGACAGGATGTGCCTTCTTGGTTATAGCACCATGCCCGCCCGACATCAGCTCAGGGAACAGGTGTTGTGAGTGGACCTGCTCAGGAAGATACCTCCAGAGCCTCCCTCGGGGGTGGGGTGCACCCTAGGGACTGGCAGGAGGCCTGAGTGCGGGCACAGATGTGGCTGCACTGAGCCAGGCTGACCCCAGGGCCCTTTTTCTGACACCAGCTTACTGCCCTTGGAAGGCAAGACTGGAAATGGCCTTGGCCTTGGAAGGGTAAAGGAGCCTTGGCTCAGGTGTGGAGGTCAGACAGGTCACTGCAAATGCTGGCCCAGTACCTTCGCAAGCCCTCATCCGTCTCCCCAGCAGCCCTGATGCAGAGAGCTGAGAAGTCAGGACTGTTATCTGCAATATCTCTGCCATGCCGCTGGCCAGGAGGCAGAGCTGAACTGTGCAACATGGAAAACACGGGCAGACTGATTTGGTGACGTCCATTATTCTAGAACAGCCTTCTCCAGTGGGTGCTGGAGCGGGACGGCGTTTCTTGTGACCTCTGGGGCAGTCTGGCAGCTGTGGGCACCCCTGCCCTCCCGTGTCTCACGAGCGGGCGGGCCAGACGCTTGACGTCAGCACCGCTAATGTACCCCGCCCGCAGCTGTCTCACACGGGCTGTGTTGGATCTCGACCTTGACGCCAACAGCGGCAGGGAGTAACGTGACCCTGGCTTTTCACCGCTGACGGCATTTCCGTGTGGACGGTGTTTTTCAGAAGTGGAGACTTTTCAACCTCGACCCAGAGGGACGGGGGCTCGCCCGCCCGCCAAGGGCAGACGAGGAGCTGGCGGCCTCAGTATTTATTTGATTTGCTCCACGGAGGGGGAAGGAGGGGGCTGGTAACTCTCGCCCCCAAATGCTCCTTCACACCTGGCTCCTGGGCCAACGCCGAGTGGACAGGACAGCAGCCAGCGCCCTGTCACTGTTTTCCACAGCTGTACTGAGGGCACCATGAGAAGAGCTTTGGACTCCGTGGTGGTCAGAGTCACCCAGGAAGACCCATTGGATAGATGAGAAGCCTGAGGCTCCAGCCCTGCCTGGAACATTCGCTCCCAGGCTAGGACCCTCCTCTTTCCTTGGCAAACTCAGCAGAGGACCACCCATTTGGGGCCTGGAGGGTAGGGGCAGGCTCTCCACCATGGCCCACAGTCCTCCTCCTGCACCTGTTAGCAAGGCAGGGTGAGGAGCTGATGGATGGGGAAAATGACCTTGATGAAAAAGCCACCTTTCTCAAAGAGACGTCCATTCTCCCTTCCCAAAGCCCAGATGTTCATCCCCAGCCAGGGAGAGAGGACTTGGGGACAGGGTTCGAGCCACCCGTAAGGGCTGGGCTAGGTGGTAAGGGCTGGGCTCCCGTGGGGCCCATCTCATAGCCAGTGACGGTTCCTCGTGCACCTTTCTAGGGAACACCAGTGCCCAGCCGGAAGAGCAAGGATGCAGACGGATGCCCAGGACACGCCGGCACTGACGGCGCCAGGGCCAGAAAGGACAATGGTGACGCCTCTGCTCCAGGGTGAGGGTGGGCACCCCTCTCGGGCCTGCGGCACCACTTCCCCAGGCCTCTCTGCCTCCTCCCCACCCGAGAGGGCTGCTTACCTGGCCCCAGCTTGGAGATAGCGTATAAAAGATCATAGTTTATGACTGGCGTGGCGTCTTCCACTTGCTTCCAGCCGACCGGCGGAGAGGCAGGCGGGGAGATGAGGAACTGCTTGTCTGGGTTGGGCGGGGCCAGGTGTGAGCTGCCTATGTGCAAAGTCTGAGGAGACAGAGAGAGGGAGAGGCTGTGGTGTCAGAGCAGACGGCAGCAGGGCACGGACGACCCCAGGGGCACTTCCAGCAGCCCTGGGGCGCCCTGGAAAGTGGTAGAGAGGCTTCTGGGCTCCAGGTAGGATGCACCCACACCGAGGGCTCCTTCCTGGGGCTATGGAACCCTCGGGCACCGCCAGGAACCGTGCCTGACCTGGGCTGAACACCTTCACAGGAGCCCTTGGTTCGTGACCGGAAACAGCACAGCCACGGGGTCGTGGAGGTCAGACGGGACCTCGGGATCAGTGCCTCCCAGCTCCGCACAGCACGCGGGCATCTCCTGACGTCCACGGCTGAGCCACGCCTCTGAGATGACGCACAGCTCTCCCCAGGCTGAGGCAGGCGCGGGAGCCAGGGCTCCACCCCTCCTCTCAGGCGGCGCCCCCCCCCCAGGTGGCTCGGGCAAACCTACTCCCCAGGAGATTTGAAAACCATTAAAAATACTAAGGGACGACAACCCGTACTCCTGGTTTGGTCTTAGGACGTGTGCCAGGGCTGCTGGGAAGACCTGGCCCGGGAGGTTTGTCAGTCTGGGTTTTCTCTACGCTTCAACATGCACTCCCTCCCCCGCCACCTCCCTCCAATGTTCACAAGGAGCGTGCGCTATGATTGTCCTAAAGCCTCATCCACTGCAGAGAGGGGTGTATACACGGGAGAAAGCCTGGAGGCCCAGAGTCAGGGCCCAGCCCAGCGGTGTGGGGGGACCCTGCCCAGTTTTAATTTACGCACAAATGGCCCCAAAGTCTGCTCTCCCTAGGTGCTGTCGGAGGGGCTTCCAGTCTCCACAAGGAGGGGCCCAGGGGCCGATGGGGACTCGATGGGGAGGAATCTTTTGGAAGCTGTTTCCCTCCTGACAACCTGTCGGCCCCCTGTTACAAGGTCAAGTGGGACTTTGGGGGAGACCCTGAAGGTGGGCAGGAGAAGAGGCAACCCCTCTCACAGCACCGACTTCCCCTGGAGCGTTCCTGAGCACCTGCCACCTGTCTGAGCCACTTTTCCCTTTCCAGCCCATCTGGGTGCACACTTCACTTGCAGGTGCCCCGTTCCCCACGAAACACAGTGGCCTTGAGAACCTGCAGAGTTCTGGTCCGCTCAGGCTGGAGCAGGCTGCAGCCCCGCCCCCAGACGCTCTGCCCCCAAGCAGACCCCACCCACTGCTCTGAAGCCCCGCCCCTGAGCAGACCCCGCCCCCTCCCGCAAGCACACTGAATGACCACCATCTCTCCACCCCAGGCGTGGAGCCGAGGATTCGAGGATGGCTCCTGCCTCTCGCTCGCAGGGGCTTCCTGGTGTTTCCCATCAACGTGGGACGTGACCCGCATGTTAGCGAGAAAGCTGCAGGCACACGAGCCCGGCTCACCTGAGCAAAATATAACTTCATTTCCTTCCCGAGAAACTCGGTCTTGTGCAGCTGGAGCCGGGCGTCCGCCGCGGATAAGGGGTTGCTGAAGTTGATCCGGACCCGCTTAAAGCTCTTAAAATACTGGAAGGTGATATCCTTGTCATAGGTCCTAAACAGGGACTCGAATTTGGCCTGGAAAACGAGAGTGAAAGCAAAAGAAGTCAGACTCTGCCTGGACCTCACCTCGGGGCTTCCTCGCAGAGACCCACCCTCGGGCTGGGGACAGGCCACCTTCCCGTCCCCATACCCCGGCTTTCCTGCTAAGGTCAGACGGCCTGACTTACTAAGTATGTCAATCACCAACAGTCACAGACAACCAAGCTGATGGGAGAGCCCTAGTAGGTTCTAAAAACCGCTTACTATTGTTTCAATCTCCATCTGTTACTTTTAACTCTCTAAAATGATAGTGGTTTAAAAAGCAATGTGTTGCAAGTGGGCCGGAGTGTACAGATGCACACAAAGAGCCTACATTTGGAGAACATACGCTCAGTTTCAGGAAACTGGCACTTCGGCCGCCTCCTGGGAAACGCTCAAAGGAGCCCCCTTGGCTGGGAGGGCAAGGAGGCCACTGCACGGCCTCAGAGAGGGAGGTGGGGCTCAGGGAGTGCTTCCAGGCAGGCTACAGGGCCCTGAGTGTTCTCAAACACCGTGGACAGGCTGTGGGAACCCAAGGGAAAGGCAGCGGAAGGGGGTGACTGGAAGGAGGGGGTTCCCCCGGAGCTGGGGTCCTGAGCAGCTGCCATGTCCAAGGGCGCCATGGAAGCCAGGATGCTGACTATGGGAGGAGGTCTTCCGGAATGTCCACCGCTAGTTTTGTGACTTGCCCAGTAGGGGGCTCTGCAGAGGCACGTCGGGGAGCAGGAGGAGCAGACGCCTGAGCATGGTTTCATCACCGCCTACTACAGCTCCTGCGCCTCTCAGGCATGGTCGAGTTTCTGGCACGGCGCGCCCTGGTAAATCTGGAATTTCACATGACCTCATCAAGTGGCTCTGTGACCAATCATGTAATTTTGGAGTTATGATTCAGAACTGGGGAGAGATGACTTTGATAAAGACTTTTAGGATATAAGTCAGGGCTCAGGACCAGAATCAAAGGAATTCATGTTCTGTGTTAAATCCGGGTTATTATTACACCACTCTCCTGCTAGGAGTCCTCTCTGCTCTGCTAACTGGGAGCCTACAAGGTTGGGGGCAGCCTCTCTGGACTGGAGACAGAAAACCACTTCATCCTCACATCAGGCTAATCTCATGTTCCCTCCTCCACACACAGCAGGTGCCGTACGAGCCCGCACAAGAACCATGGCTGCAGCCAACAACCATCATATGGAATTATGGACTTAAACTTGATTTAAAAAAGAAAACCAACCGCCAAAAAAAAAGACACCCTACATATGTCCCAACATGGCTTGGGGACACAGCATGTACCCCACCCCCCAGCCGGCAAGCAGAGCACCCAAGTCCCATCACACTCGTTCCTGGAGGTCAGCAGGACAGCTGGAGAGCCACCAGTGAAAAGTCTGACGTTTTAATCAAGCGTAGAGGCAAAGCGCAGCGTGGAAAGTCGCTGACTGCTTCTCTACCGGCTGTGAGAGGTGCCGCCCCAGGAGGCACGTGCACCCCGCGCTCCGATGGTGCACCCCGTTTCACCGTTTGCCACCGCTGCATGTCCCCTGGCCAGAGAAATCTGGGGGCTTGGGGCCAGGCCCCTGTCCTTCCTACAAGCATGCACATTGTCTTTAGAACCAAATTATTCTGAACTCTCGCTGTCAAAATCAACCGGTCCCACGTGCACCGTCAGGAGAGGCCTCCCTCCAAAGAGATGAGTTACAGCCCATGCAGGAGGAGAAAAAAACGCTTGGTGCCAAAACTCTGCCTCTCTAGGAGCTGGCCCTGGGGGGGCCTGTCTGTTCTCAAACAACTAGATCTTTGCAAGCTCCTTTACCGATAATTCTGCAGGCAACAGCTGGGTGAAGCTCACACTTCGGATTGATTTCAAAACTCAAAAAAAAAAAAAAAATACAAAAAACCCAAAAACCCAAGAAAAAACACCCAAGAGAGACGCATACCCACCCCAACTATTTCAGGTCTAGTCCCGGTAAGAGGCTTTGGAAAAAAAAAATACGCTCCCAAATCACGTGACATTTAGAAGCCTTACCCTGGTTTCACTTTCGCTGAAGATCTCACTGTTTGCCACACAGGCAATCAGGGAGCTAAAGCTGTAGTTAAAGTTTCTAAAGTGCATCTTGCTTCCTTACAGGGAGAGCGCTAGAGACAGGCAGTGAGGCCCCCAGGCGCGGTCCCGGGCGAGAGGCTGTGTGTAGGTTCTTTCTGGAGCCCGCCCTTATAAAGCACCCAGGGCCGGCCCCCTGGGCGGGAAGAACAACTTAAAAAAAAAAAAAAAACACAGCTTCCAGAGCATCCTGTTTGGACAGCAAATTCCTGAGTCAAGTCCTGCATGCTTGCAAGGCAGACAGGGACAAAGTCTAAGTTTCTACTGGAAAGAGGTGACGTCAACACCTTAGTCATTTTCCCTATGCTAATTAACTCCCCGCTCCGGGAGGATGGAAAAAACAGCTGAGGTTTGCTTCGCAGCTGCTTTACAAGGGCTCTTGCGGCATAGTTTCCACTGGTGGTAATCCCATTCAGCCAGTCGGACACCACGCTCCCTGCTGAATGGGACGACCCTCCTGGAGATGGAAAATGTTACAGCAGAGGAGGGACCAGGGGCCGGGGCAGTAAACAGCAATTAGCTGCCGCCGCCGGCTTCGGGAGACCTGGAAACCAAAGTCCTGGGGAGCTGCTGGGTCCTGTGCTTTCCTGAAAACCTCTCAGGCGCATTTCAGAGTGGGGCAGTAGAGGAAACGTGTGGGAATCTGTCTAGGTCAGGGAACTCTGCTTCCAAAGCAAAGGGTGGCATTCTTTGAAATGAAGCATTGCTTCCCTCCACACCTCCTCCCTGTTGAACTGTATTGGATGACTGTCCCGAATCCCGCTGGCACGCGGTGGCACGGTGGGAAGCGATCCTAGGACTTTTCTCTTGATAACTTCAAGAGAAACTGCCATGTAAGAACCAGGGCTAACGCGACACCGTGATTGCTGTGGAAGGGTTACTGAATTCGGGCAAAGAGACACAAAGACATTTCGGAGACTCTGGCTTCAGAAACGGAGAAGAAAAACACCAAGAGGCTCTGCTCAGAAACTCGGACGGCATTTAAAAAGGGGGGTGTGGTGGCCAGTGGGTGCAGTGGTTAACATGGTGCGTGGGAAGCCACATCCCATATCAGTGCCCAAGTTCAAGTCCCAGCTTCCTGCTAATGCCCATCCTGGGGGCAGCAGATCCTTGAGTCTCTCTCTCTCTCTCTCTCTCTCTCTCACACACACACACACACACACACATGCACACACACACGGGAGACGTGGATTGGCTTCTGGCTTCAGTCTGGCCCAGTGTTTGGGGGCTAGACCAGTGGAAGAAAGTGCTCGCGCGCGTGTGTGTGTGTGTGTGTGCACATGCATGTGCGTATTCTCTTTCCTTCTGTGTCTCTCTGCCTTTCAAATAAAATGAAAATATATTTTTTTTAAATGAGGAAAGGACAAGGAAATGGAGAGCATGCATGCTGTAAATAAAAAGTTAGCTCAGTTGGCCCCTTTGTGTGCCTGGACTGGAGACGCACCCCTGGGAGCAAGACTGCCTGGTTCTTTCCTAGGGGGCAACCCCAGAAACTTCTGGGCACTTCCCGCCTTTAGACCCCAATGGCACACTAGTCCTAGTCCTTCCCGCCAATTTCATGGACTCATGAATTTTTTTTTTTTTTTTTTTTTTTGGTTCAGGGGCACACAGGGACAGTTCTTGAGCTTACAAAGTTCAATGGAACCCTACTATTGACTTTTAAACACGGACTTCAAAGACTCATTAAAGTCAGCCAAGAATGAAAAGAATATATGAAACAGGAAAAAAAAATAACAAAGCAGTGCATTTATCCCTGCACAAAGAAGAGGGCGAAGAGGGCTGCTTCACTTCCGGCATACAGTGCCTTGCTGCCCGCCGCAGTTACGTAAGAAACCACCTAGGGTGCTCGCTTTGCCAGTTTACCCGTGACTTCAACCCGGGAAGACCTGAAGGCACGCACGTCCTCTAAATCACGGGGAGCAGAGGGCATGCGTCAGACACAGCAGAGGGGTCCTCCCGGCCCATGCTTCATGACTCAGGGGACGGGCTGGTAGGCGCTGCATTTCCAGTGAAATGCAGGCAGGATCCGCTGCGGGTTCTGGAGGCCGGCGTAGATGGTGGTGCTGGTGGGGCTGCAGTGTGGGTATGAGAGGTGGTCCTGGTGGGCGGCTAAGGAGCAAGGGAGGGGGCAGGCGGGGGACACGACACTGCTGTGTCCTCCAGGGAAGCCTGGGCATCTCCAAGGCTCCCTCTCCCCACTCCGGCCCCCTGCCGCCTCCTTTCTTTCGCCAGCAGCCCACCTTGGCCAAAGGTGATTTTTAAACTGTGATCGGAGATGGCAGCACTGAACCACAAACATTTACGGCCTTGACTTCATTATGTGAATAAGAAAAAGAAAAAACAGTGAGGAATCTGAAAACCGTTGAACTGTCTTTGTTCAGGGAAAGGGGGACCTTTCACTAGGCTGCCCCCAAAGGCTGACACGTGTGATGAGCTCCATTTGAACCGAATTCAGTGAGCTCGAGCATGCCCAGTTTCAGGGCGGTGGGGTGGGGGGCTGGTCCAGTGGGGGCTGTTATTTTGTAAGGAGGCTGGAATGGATGCCGCCTGGCAAGAGTCACTGGGCAGAGAGCAGGACCCTGGGGCTGCCACCTGAGACTTCCGGGGCTGCAGCATGGGAAGTGTGGGGCAGATCTGAGTTGTCAGCATGCCATGTGGAGTGGCCAGGCTCCTCAGTGGCACCTGGGTCCCACTGCTGGCCAAAGGGTCTCCCGGAACCCCTGTCCCCACCCTCAGAGGGAACACTGCTATCCACTCGCCTCAGTTTCCCCTCTTCTGCTAATCCTGTGGTTCTTGTTAGAAGGGTCTTTGACTCCAGGTCTCCCGGTGTGAGACATGAACTTGGACTTCTAACGGGCCCACACCAAGGAACTCTGTAAGTAGCGCTTTCCCCCACTGAGAATACAAACTGATCCAAGCGGAAATTAAAAAGGTGACTTCCCTGGGGCCGCACCGTGGCATAGCAGGTAAAGCCGCTGCCTGCAGTGCTGGCATCCCACATGGGCACCGGCTGCTCCATTCCGATCCAGCTCTCTGCCGTGGCCTGGGAAAGCAGTAGAAGCTCCTGCACCCATGTGGGAGACCTGGAAGAAGCTCCTGGCTCCTGATCGGTGCATCTCTGGCTGTTGCGGCCATCTGGGGAGTGAACCAGTGGATGGAAGACCTCTCTCTCTCTCTTTCTCTCTCTGCATCTCTGTAACTCTGCCTTTCAAATAAATAAATAAATCTTTTAAAAAAAGAGATGACTTCCCTACTTCCTGTTCCTTGTGGCCTGGGAGACAAGGGTGAGCGTGCTGCCGGAGCGTGAGTGATCTGGAGAAACCAGGGCCAGCACTGTGCTCAGCAGGGCTCCTGGAAAGCACACTCAGCACAGGAAAACTGAAACCCGAAGTTAACACAGACAGGGAAAGCTGCCGTCAGCTCGCAGCTTTAGATGTTTGCGTTTCTTCCACTCAGGCCGTGAAAATCATAAACGAGTCTCTTAACCTGCGTGTGCCTCCTGTGGCTCCCAGCAGTTAGTGCACATTTTCATAAAGAAGTTTCTATTTTGGGGGAGGAAAATGTGAGGTTTATGAAGAATTCCATCGTCCCCATTACCGCGTTCCTCGGGCAGAGTCGGGATGACCTCAGCATGCCGGTTACAAACCCCCCTCGGAGGAGTGGACGGCGGGGCCGGGACTGTGGAGCCAAGCGAAGCCTTTTGCAAAGTGGGCCCTTTGGAGAGGGCTCAGCCGAAGCCAGGATGTGCAGAGCAGAGGAAGCAGCGACCTGATCGGTGTGCGGCCCCTGCGGCAGGAGCGCCTTGGCCCACCTGAGGGCGGCAGGTGGCGTGGCCTTTCCCTTCGGGTTCTGAAAGCGACACCTTAGGACTTTCAGCCCCCAAGACAGCAGCCGCCTCTGGAGCAGCTCTTTCCTGTACGATGTGGGACACTGCCCCCACCCCCACCTTCCCCGTGCGTCTTTATCGACTAGCAGGTTGGGTTGCAGAAGGTGCTGTCCTCAACCTGGAAAACTCCTCTTCATCCTCCAGAGCCCCTGACAGAGGTCCCTCCTCCAGGAGACACTGCCTCCCTCTCTCCCTTTCACCCCGCAGCCCTCCTCAGCAATGCTTGTCCCACGTCTGCCTGGAGATGCGGGTGGACCCACGGGAGTGGACCACGCGGACGTTCAGAGAGGCATCCGGGTGAGGGCCTGCCTGCCGCAGGCTGGGAGCCTGACCTCACCAGGGCACCACAGTGGCCGGGCCGTGGGCATTCTGAGAATGGCCATGGCCATTCCTTTCAGCACAGGAGGCCACGTGGCATGGGGAAGGTCTCAGCTGTGCTCAAGACCCCGTGGTTGCTGTTGCGTGCCTGGGATGTCCCCTCCTCCACAACACAGACCTCCTATGTCCTTGCTGTGTGAGGCATGCAGGATGCCTGGGTAGGGACTGGGCCCTGGAGACCACGGGCCCACCACACGGATGCTCCGCAGGTCTTGCGTGGCTTCCTGGGGTCACCGCAGAGGTCTCCAACCCCGGCCCCAGAAGGAGCAAGCTCAGCTCGGGATTTGCTCGCCTTGTCCTTGTTAAATGCCCATTTCTAGGGTGTGTTTGATACGGGTGTCCAGTGTGAAGTGGAGTTTGTGTAGAATAACTTTTTAAAAGATTTATTTATTTGAAAGGCAGAGTTATAGGGAGAGACCTTCCAACAGCTGGGTCCCTCCCCAAGTGGCTGCAATGACCAGGGCTGGGCCAGGCTGACGTCAGGAGCCAGGGGGTTCTTCTGGGTCTCCCATGTGGGTGCAGGGCCCAAACACTTGAGCCGTCTTATGCTGCCTTTTCGGGAGCATTAGCAGGGAGCTGGACTGGAAGTGGAGCAGCTGGACTCGCCCATGTGGGCTACAGGTGACGCCAGAGCGCCAGTCCCTAGTGTAGAATTTACAAACAAAATGCTTTGCTGGCAGATGTGTTTGAGAACCCTTTACTTGGGAGGTTCATGGTCAAAAACGGTGGCAGACTATTTGTCAAAAGGGCAACGTGACTGAATTCCCAATTCCTTTAGGCTTCTTTTTGATGAGCAAATATGAGGCAGACAACAGGTGGAAAAAAAAAACACATTTCTTTTTTTGATAACTCTAAGGGAATTGCTACTTTTGACCACTTTCAGGAATAATCGGGAAATGAGTTTGGGGGTTGGAAATCAGATTCGGCCTCAGGAATTTATTGCTCTCAGTGTTGTTTTATTACAGGTAAAATGTGCTTGGCCATAGGGAAAGTGGAAAGCAATGTAGATAGTTGGTTTTTCCCCTGATGGGAGGCCCTACCCACAATGCCCTGGGGCAACAAGAGGGGCGCAGGTCTCCAACCGTGGAGAAGGACCGCTGAGGACCCCCCCCCACCCAGCTGCAGTAAGAAACTCATCCTCTAAGAAAATCTCTTTTCAGTTGAATAAGCACCCGTCTTCCGTAGGAAAACAGAGTTGGTTACCAAGAAGTGAGATTAATAACAGACTTCGGCCTGGCGCATTTTTGAGACTTTGGAAGCTACGGAGAAGCCTGGCTCTCTGCACGAATCAGGGCAAGAGTTGCCTGCAGATAACGCGCGTCTCTGGCTGATTCAGGATTTCCAATTCCTCCGATAAAAAGATACGAATGGCCACCGTGTGCCAGCGCCACCAACAGTGGAGGCACCGGCGAGGCAAACTCACGGCGGTCAAGGCCAGCGCGCTAACCGCCTGCCATTGTGGTCTGTGCGCTTAGGGCGTAAATAAAGGAAAGTCGTAATCATCCAAGAGGAAAACAGAGAGAGGAAGGCAGGCAGACAGACAGACAGACAGACAAGGCGGAAGGCACCATCTCAGAGCAGGGCGATGCACTCCGACAAGTACTCCAGAGCTGGAGGTCACAGTTCATGGCAGATTCCGTCTTGTTTGCGAATTCCATGTGTGCGCAGCCGCCTGTTAACTCCCGTTTCCTTATTACTTCAATCTTTCCTCAGTACATAAAGGTTAACTGCCCGGCTGCAACTGCTTGGAAACACACTGCGTGCAAAGTTTAAGATGAAGAAAACAGCCAGGGGCGACTCAGGGCGACGTGCAGCGACCTGGAGACCAGCAGACGGGATTAAGGGAGGTGGCGCTTTGTTCAGAGACGACTGGGGCCGCGGCCGCCTCATTAGTCACCCCTTCCTCGCTCCTTCTGGTCTGTTCCTCTCCACACCCACCTTGTTTAATCACTGATTGTGACCTTGGCTTTGATGCCGTGCCCAGCCAGGGGAGCAGATCTGCAGAGACAAGAACCCGGGCAAGCATCGCCCCAGGAGTGGGCTGTGCAATACAGTGGGCTGTGGATTGCAGTCCCCACGGCTGGTTTATTCCGGCGCCGGAACCTGCCCCTTCGCACTCAAAGCCCGAGTCCTGCTTCTGAGCAGGGCAGCCCAAGGGAGAGCCTTGTTCCTCCTCACTCTGGGAAGAACCGCCAACCACGCCCTTGCCTGGGAGCCCAGGGGCTCATTCTGGAAGCTTCTTCCAGTGGCCTGGCCCTGCCCTGGGCTGGGGACAAACACAAACAGCACACCCATACCTGGCAAGCGACTGGCTCAACTTAGGCAGAAGATCAAAGGCGACACGGTCAGGGAGGGAGGGCACAAGGACAGTAGTGGCTAAAATCTCTAGGTCTTTAACACAGTCCTCAGTGACTCTCCTAAGCCCAGTGTGTATCCACAGCCGGTTTTCAAATCCAGGAGTCAGCCTAGAAATGGTTTGGTTTGTTGTTGTTGTTGTTTTGTTTTGCCAAGTGCAGCGTGAGGTGGGTCCTGTGCTCTTACCTCCTATTTCCATTCCCCACCCTACGCCCTGTTTCCAGCCGAGAGTCACGAACCAGGCCCTTGCTTCCCACACTTGGCACTGCATCCACGGCTGATGGCGGGGTCAGTCAGGAAAGTCACACGAGGAAATCAGACCTGTGTGACTCCAACACCTGCCTGAGACACAATACACACAGAGCACACGTGACCCCGCCACGGCTCAGACATCAGCCCCGCAAAGTGTGTACCCTGCTCCAGGCCCATGCCCCAGGCCGGGGACGACCCGGTTGGTTCGCCGTCTCGACTGTAGAACAGTCAGTTGTCAATATTTAAACACTGGAACATTTTCTTCAGAAGGAGGATTTCTGACTTTTGCAGGGAGAGAAAGAAAGAAAGGAAGCTGTGGCCACGCTGAGCTCCGTGCAGGCGTCCCCTGGGGAAATGTGTGTTTCCCAAACACCAGCGACCCCCATGGTCTCCAACTGGCCCTTCCCTGGCTGACCAAACCCCAGAGCTGTTTGGGTTTTCAGCCTCTTACTCAAATTCAGTGATCCGTCAAAGAGAGCTTAGTCCCCTGCCAGGTGCCGGGGTGCAGGCGGGGCGGCTGACCCATCCCGAGGGTCACGCTGCTCCACACCCGACAACTTCTCCATCCGGAGCACGCGTCCCTCACTCCTCACGCGGCAGCCCCGGGTGGACATTTCTGCCTGGCCCAAGATGGGGCAATGTGCTTCCAGTGGGCGGCTCCCCGGGCATTGGTGAGACATTCTCTCCCACTCCGGAAATGACGCCGAAAGTGCCAGGCAATGGTGAAACGCAGGTACAGGGACGACCCTGATTCTGTTTAAACGCGTGTACGCCATAGCTGGTTTCTGGAGCGGTCATCCGTAAGGAACCACTGGGCCAGCACAGGACGGTGGTGGACCGTACGGCCGAGAATCCAAACCATGGTATTAGAGATTCCTGCAGAATTTGCCTGCCGTTAGTGCAGCCAGGAAGCTTCTGTCACAGCCAGCAGCAGAAGACACAGCAAGAGATCCAGGTGTATTCAAAGTGAGCTCTGTAAGGTCATTTTTTTTTTAAAGACATTATTTTGAGAAGATAGCATTTGAAGCTGCTCTTGGGAAAATCTAGGATACGGTCTGACCCATCTTCCCACTGAGTTGTGTCTGTTAGGAAGAGTGGGTCTAACTCCACCCATTTAAGAGCCCCTCCCCCTTTGAGCCTGAGCCACCCACTGAGGGCGGGCACGGTGGCCCTTGCTGCCCCTGCAGGGTTGCAATTACCTGACTTATTCAGCGATCAAGGATGTCCACTCCCAACCAACCAGCCCCCACCCAGCTGTCAGAGCACCTGTGCTGGAGATGAAGTGGGGGCGGGGAGCAGTCCGGAGAGGGAGCGTGCAGCTGCACCCTGGTCCCTGTGGAAGCTTTGTCCCTGTGGGGCACCTGCAGTGTGGGGGGTGACCCTGGCTGGGTCCCAACTCTCCACCCTGGCCAGTTGTGGGGAAGGGGTGATGTTGGGAAGGGCACAGGACCTGGGTGGGGTGGGTGCCCTTGGCCGAGTCATCAGCTTGGCAGCCAGGGGACAAGCCCTTTATCCCTGAAGGGGCCCGAGACGCATCGCAGCGGCTACCACAGCAGCCCACCAGCCAAGCAACAAGACCCAAGTGCAAGCCACGAGGAGGCTCCCAAGACCCGAACCCTAGGACAATCGTCTGAAACCTCTCTCAGCAGCAGCACGCCTGCTCCTGGGCTGGGTGTCGCGAACACACGGCCATTTCCACCTGCGGTCACCAGCCCGTCAAAAGGAACACGGGAAAAACTAGCAGTAAAACCCACAGTCTAAGCCCCCAGGACGCATCACATCAACCAAAACCCAACAGGTTCATGGCCAGGAATTTGTTCTACAGAAATCCTCATGGCTATGGGCTAAGGTTTAGCCTGCACGCGTGTTCCCTCAAGGCTGCTATGCACACGAAGTAGCCCGTCAATGTCCAGGTGATAACTATGCTAAATCCACTCATTCGACTACAGAGCTACTCACGAGAAAAGGGTAAAAGCTAATGATATGAAAACATGTTTAAGACTGCACAGAGAAAAAAAAAGGTTACACAGTAATGTTTAGCTTCTAACATTTTTCTATTTTTTTATTTTCATTTAATTTGAAAGGCAGAGAGGCAGAGAGATAGACAGAGACCTTCCACCCTCCCCCCACCAAGCACTTGAGCCATCACCTGGTGTCTCCCAGAATGTGCACTTGCAGGAGGCTGGCGTGGAAAGCAGAGCTGGGACTTGAACTTGGCACTCTGATATGCGATGTGGGCGTTCCAAGCAGTGCCTTCACCACGGTGCCAAATGCCTATCCCCGGAGCTTCCTGTTCTCATTCCATTTTGGTAAGAAGAAAGAATGGGTGTTGAGAAAGTTGCAGTCTTTCCCATTTTTGCTCATTTGGATTTACGGGAATTCTCACGATGGCTGAACATTTACTTCTTTGGTAATGAAAACTGACTTTCCTTTCTCCCTGCCCCCCATCAGAGGTGGTATTTCAAAGGTCAAGGGAACCGTGGTTAACAGACATACTGTGTGAGGTTGAAGGTTAGCCAGAGAGGAGAATCTGCCCTCCCCTTTGTTTCGAATAGTGTTTTGGAATCACGGCCTTTGTTTACTCTATATTTGTTAAACACAGTCCCCAAAGCAGGTATTTTTACTCCATTACTGTGTGGATGGCATGCTGCTGAAAGAGCCCCTTTCTTACCCAAATATTTTTAAATACAGAGGTTTCACCAGAAAATATTTTGATTTTGTTTTTCCTTTAAAAGATTTATTTATTTGAGAGTCAGAGTTACACAGAGAGAGGAGAGGCAGAGAGAGAGACAGAGACACAGACAGAGAGAGAGAGAGAATCTTCTATCTGCTGGTTCACTCCCCCAAAGGGCCACAATGGCTGCAGCTGGGCCAATCCAAAGCCAGGAGCCAGGAGCCAGGAGCTTCTTCCAGGTCTCCCACACAGGTGCAGGGGCCCAAGGACTTGGGTCATCCTCCACTGCTTTCCCAGGCCATAGCAGAGAGCTGGATCAGAAGTGGAGCAGCCAGGACTCAAACTGGCGCCTATATGGGATGCTGGGACAGCAGACGGCGGCTTTACCCGCTACGCCACAGCACCAGCCCCTTGCTTTTCTTTGACAATCTCTCTGGCCAACTGTTGTTCTCTAGTGAAATAGCTGATGAAGCAGCTGTGTTGGGTGAGCCATTCTCACTACAGTCAGTCGAGCCGTTGGGGCACCGGGGACAGTCAGGGGAGTGTGCCTGCTCTGTGCCCTGAGGGACTGCGCCACGCTCTGCATCAGTGTGAGCAGAGCTTCTACCTTCCGCAGGCCCTAGCGTGGCCAGCACAAGAGCGATACCCCAAATCTGCCGACAGGTACTGCAGATGCGATGCCCTCTGTGCAGAACCACTGAACTCTCTCCTGTCGCTGCCACACGGGGGTATGTGTCGTCCCCACACCTGCTCCTTGCTCGTCTGCAGAGTTGTCTTCATTCTCTCTGTCCCAGTTCACACCCCAGCCTTCTACTTTCTCCCTGGACAGCCCCTTCCTCTGAATCTCTCTGCTAACGTGATGCAAGGTTACCCAGGAGACTTTGTCCCGTTATGGCGTTAATGATAGCTGTTCAGTGTAGGCTAAACACAACAGAGTTTGTATTTAATCAACAAATTCTGGAGATCAAAGTCTCAACCCCCAGAGGAATGCATCGCTAAGGGAAACATTCCAGGCTGTAGGTCAGTTACAGGAGAAAATTCCCTGGGCAGGTGGGCTCTTCTGGACCTGGGTGCTGCCTCCCTAGGGATGAAATGTCTATTTTTCAAGCACCCACACGGAAGATCCTTGTATGGGCTGTTCAGGGTTAACAGCCGACTTCCCAAGTCTAAAGGAAAATAATGGATTTGTCCATTCATTCAACCACCATTTATTAAGGACCTGCCATGTGTCTTCTTGGAGCCATGGCTGGGTCATAGGCTCCTAACACCAGGAACCCTGTGTCCTAGGATTTACTGCATTTGAATTGCTTTCCTAAACTACAATAAGGGCAGGCCAAGCCCTGGGCCCTGGAACACTTAACAGCCTCCATAAACATTTGTGGAACCAATGTGTGCAGCTAAGTCCTGGGCTCTTCACTGGAGATAAGGAGGAAGGTACGGCCATCTTTCAAGACGCTCACGGTCAACGTGGTCATGAACTGTGCACTAAGCCCTGCCAGGTGTTCAGTGCTGTGCTCTGTGCTCTGCTGGGGGCCCCAAAGCCTAGGACACAGCTCCTGGCCCTACAGGGGTTCCACACTGATACCTGGCAGACAAGGCCGCAGCCTGGGTGACAAGATGACGCAAGTGCTCTGTGTGTGTGCTGCACTCTCGTCTCAGAACACAGGAGGTGGCCGTGTCATCAGCCTGGGCTGGTCTAGTAAGGCACGACCCCACCTCAACACAAAGTCCTGTGGATAAAGGACTTGGGAACAGGGTTAGGGATCAAAGGAGTGAGAAAAGAATAAATCCCCGCATTTCCTCATTCCTGCTTGCAAAAAAAACCAAATCAAGATCGTCAACATTGTCTTTATCAACTCGTATAAAGCTGCTTTGATTCACATTATTCATTTTAAACAAATTCCTTTGGTTGCTTTTATTGCGAGCTAGTATAGCTAGCTAGCCGAGAGCTAGTATCTGCTAACTGATGTGGATTTCTTGGGAAATCTTACCTTCATACCTTCTTTTTAAAACAAAAACGACTCTTGCAAAGTAAGAACATCAAAATATGCAAATTAATATAGTAGACAATGTTTATTTAAAAGGCAGAGAGAGAGAGAGAGAGAGAGAGAGAGATTGAGGAGAGAAAGAATCTTCCATTTGCTGCCTTACTCCCCAAAGGACTGCAACAGCCAGGGCTAAGTCAGGCCCAGGCCAGCAGTCTGGAACTCAATCTGGGCCTTCCACGGTGGCTAAGCCACTGTCCCCTGCCTCCTGCGTTAGCAGGAAGCGGGACTGGAAGTGAAGCTGGGACTTGACCCAGGCACTCTGATACGCGATGTGGGCATCCCAAGAGGTGACTGAACTGTGGTGCCACACGCCCAGGCCTGGACAAACCTGGGAGGCTTGAAGAGCAATGTGTCCTTGGCCGGGGAGGTGAGGGGCAGGGAGGCCGCTGTGTGGTATGGCCGCTGCGGGGAGCTGGGATGAAGGCATTTTCAGAGGACGGCTGCAACAGTGTCCTGTCTCTATGCTGGTAGGTAGGACCCCGCCATTGCCCCATCGAGAGGCTGAGCGCCCTTTGTGAGTGCCTCAACCTGTGCTATATGGTAAAATATAAAAAAAATATAAAAATAGAAATAGACACCACGTGCCCTCCAGGGTGAGGCCAAAACGACGCATGCGCTCCTACCTGGATCCTCAGGGCCCTCCCTCTTGGGATCCCTGGGATCCAGTGACCACGCTGTCAGGAAGCCTAAGCAGCCCAGGGAGAGGCCCGCGTGGACTGGAACTGAAGCCCCTGGCCCAAAGCCCGGGCAGAGCTCCCGCCTGCGAGTCGGCACCCCTTGCCAGCTCTGACTGGGGCATCTTGAGAGTGGTGGCCTGGACCCCAGCCGAGCAAACACAGCAGAGGATGCGCAGAGGAGAGGAGGACCGTCTCTGCCAAGACTGCCCACTGCCGCGTGAAGCCGCCGAGCTTGGGGTGGCTGCCTTCGCAACAGCAGTAACCGGAGGGCTATCTCCAAGCTGGGCGGACGTGGCAAGGGTTGTGTGGACTTAGATTCGGAAAGCAAGTCAAGGAGAGCAGGGTCTTTCTCAGGGGCGCTGGGCGGGAGGGGAAGGGCAGGTTAGGGGTCGGGGTGGCGGTGAGGGCGGGTCTGGCTCTGTGTCATACTACACCATGGTCCGTACATGTGTGAGGGGCATACGCAGGGCGGTCGCAGCATCACTGGAGCCACACTAACTGGGTGTGGACCCTGATGATGTCCTCACTTCTTAGCTGTGACCTTGGATGAAGGCTCTCAACTCCTCTGGGCTCCAGGTTTGTATCTGCATTTGAAGGGACACCACGGGGGCCAGTGTTGTGGCACAGCCGGTTAAGCAGCCGCCTGCAACACCACCAGCATGCTGTATGGGCGCTGGTTCGAGTCCCTGCTGCTTCACTTCCGATCCAACTCCCTGGGAATGTGCCTGGGAAAGCAGCAGAGGGATGGCCTATGTGTTTGAGTGCCTGCACCCACGTGGGAGACCAGATGAAGCTCCCAGCTCTGGCCTCTGTTGCAGCCATTTGGGGAGTGAACCAGCAGATGGAAGATCTCTCTCTTTGTCTTTCTCTCTCTCTGTAACTCTGTTTTTCAAATAAATCTTAACAATAAAAAAAAAAAAAAAAAAGAAGAAGAAGGGGCACCACACCACACAGTCTAGACGCACACTGGCTGTAGCACTCACTAACTCAGGTCTACCTAGGACTTAGCACCCAGGGAGTCCTACTCAAGTGCTGGCTGTTAGATCTGCAGCAAGGTGGGGCTCAGGCTGGGGGCGTGTGGGGGCTGAATCACGCCCCCTCCCCTGAAGCGAGAGCAGTCTGTAGCCCTCGGAACCTGGGAAGGCGGCACCACACGTGGCAAAGGGCCCCGCGGGTGTGAACACGCTAAGCTTCCGGAGCCGGGGTGGCGATGGATCCTCTTGCAGAGTGTGCACGTGGGGAAGGCAGGAGGGTCAGAGAGAGCGAGGGGCAGGGAGTGAGGGAAGCAGAGTCGCAGTGGGGCAGGGCCGTGGGCCAAAGAGCCCAGATGCCTCTGCAGTCTCGGGAAAGGCAGGGGTGCGGAGGAGCCAGCCTGGCTGATGCCTGGATTTGGCCTCACCAGGTCTCACAGCCTTCTGACCTCCGGGACAAAACGGTAAAAAGCCCGTGTTGTCTTTGGGCGGAGCGTGACGCTTCAGCCAGAGGAAATCAGCACGGGTCGACTTCAGCCTTGAGAAAGGAGCGTCCTACAGTGTCAGCAGATCGAAGGTCCGAAAGACGGGTTTGGGTGTCAACAGACTGCGGTCTCTTGATTTTGTTGTCTCCTGAAGCAGCCGTGGTGGGGATGACATTTCCCTCTTCAGAGTGGGCACGCGGGGTATCCAGAACCCGGGGCCAGGTGTCAGGGGGATGTGGGCACAAGCAATGGCTGCTGCCCTTGTCTGCTGGGGGTCCTGCCACACTGTGCTGGCCAGGGTGGCCCTGTGGTTCTGTATAGCCAGAATCTGTCCTATTGGCTTGAGATCCATTCTCACTGCCCAGTGCCTGAGCTGTACTGGCCGTTACACTTCTTGAATACTAAACACTCTGGGCCTCAGTGTCCTCATCTGTGAATTGGGAATCATCTGATTGTTCAGTGTGTAGAACGAGCAGAGGAGGGTCCTTCTCAGCCCCTGGTCCCCACAGCAGCCTTACCTGGGAAATGAGCGGAACACACAACTCACCCACCACCTGCTGTGCTGGGCGGGATTGCAAAGCAGCCCCGAGGCCTACCCCTGGGTGAACCGGCTGCATCCCCTGCTGGGGTCTGACCAGCGTGGACTCTACTCCCGGCTCAGGCTGGCTGGGCCCTGAGCAGAGACCCATGGGAGGTGCTCTCTGTTGCTGGCCATCAAGTTGGGGGGGCTGCATGGCAAGGAACACGGTGGCTCCGGGAGCTGGACGCTGGGATCTGAACACACTTGGAAGTGCAGCCTGCTCCCAAGCCTGCAGACGGGAACCTGGCCCAGCCCTGCAGAGCCCGAGCCCAGCCAAGCACGCCAGGCTCCTGACTGCCAGCTCTGCCAGCTGGGAAACTGGAGCGGCCGTGAGCCACTGGATGCGTGGTAATTTACGACACGGCAACAGGAAACACACCTGCACTCACTGCACCAGAAACTGTGCTGCCGCAAGCCCTGCAGGTGAGTGGGTGGCACGGTCCAGCTGCAGCACAGCTGGAGTGGGCAGTGAACTTCCCGGCGTGGCGGCTGCACAGGCTACCACGCTGGGAGGGCGGCAGCCACTGGCGCCATGCACTCGGCCCTCTGGGTCCGCGGCTTCCACACTCGGCCAACTACGGGTCGGAGGTGCCTGCAGCTGCACAGAGCATGCCTGTTTCTTGTCAGTTCCCCTAAAAACACAACCTAATAGCTATTGACATTGCGAGAGGGTAGTGTGGGCCATGCAGGGATGACTCCAGGTGCACAAAAGGATGACGGAGACTGTGCAAGTTCTACACCGCTGCACATGAGGGGCTTGAGCACCTGTGGATTCTAGTATCCTTGGGGGTTCCTGGAACCAATCACCATGGATACGGAGGGACGACTGTACAAACTGTACATTCCCAGGACCCTCTGCCTCCTTCATCACGTTTAAAAAGGTGTTGGGATCAGACTGACCACTGGACATTTTGCGGACACCATATCGGCCCTGCACCAGGACGGCGACTCGGGGCCCCTTTCTGGCCCCATGTGAGCTACACCTGCTATTCTGCAGCTGTGTGCATTGGTGTTAGTCCTTGCTGCCCTTGGCCCTTAGGTTGAGAGGAGGATAGAGATGTGCACACGCAGTGGGGGTGAGGACACAGATGGCTTGCCAGCCACACTGCAGTCTGCACACCGGCAATGCACCCTCAGATGCAAGGGGTCTTCCAAAGCTAAGTATCAAAAAGGCAGGAGTGGATTTTTTTTTTTTTGCACCAAAAGAAATGTACATTTTAAAAACATTTATTTGTTTGAGAGAGAGAGAGAGAGAGAAATCGTCCATCTGCTGGTTTACTCCCCTAGAAGCTGCTGCAATGGCCAGGCCTGGGCCATGGTGAAGCCGGGAGCCAGAGGCTTCCCCTAGGTCTCCTACGTGGGTGCAGGGGCCTTTAGCAGGCAGCTCAATCAGAAGTGGAGCAGCCAGGACACGAACTGGTGCCCGTACGGGATGCTGGCATTACAGGCTCTACCCATTATGCCGCAAGGCCAGTTCCAGAAATGCACGTCTTAACTCCGTTTTCCCAGACTTTCTAAAGCACCCTTGTACTACTGAGAGAACAGACGTAACTCTCCAACTCGGGAAGTAGAAGTCAGAAGGCACAAACAGCAGCCACTGCTCCAGGGACTCAAGAATAAGAGGAAGCAGGTCGGCGATGGGTTTTTCCCTGAGATGTGTGTTTCACAAGAAATGTTCAGTTCCATTGTAGACATGGAAAGATGGCAGGTTTTTTCCCATTAACAGGGGAAACAGGAAAGGGATAAATAGCTTGGCGCATTTCTGTGTCCTATTCGGAAAATAAAAAGTGGAGAAAATGATTAGTCATGAGTGCATGACTTATTAAAAATGACTTTCTGGATGACAGGGACATACCACTTCAATAAACACTGCCCTGAGCCCTACTTGGGGGTCTCTATTTGGAAGGGTCTACACTGGCGAGGTTGAGGCAACTTGGGCTGGCTGACAAGGTCCCAGTGGAAGGTCTGTCTCAGCAAGGCTGAGAAAGACAGCTGCGGTCCTCGTGGTGGTTTTCGGTTTGCTGGGAACTACACTCTGCGTAAGAAAGCCGGAGCTTCCTGGTGGCCCCACTAATTTCAGGGAAAAGCGCTTAGTCTCATAACCCCCAAGACGTCCATTGCTTTGTAGAGTTTTCATCAGGCAGAATGTTATGTAGGAGAAGGGGTTAATGCTTCACACAAGGTTGAGCCGTTTGTGGGAAAGAATTAAAAGGCAACGGGCTCCCTGGTACATACGTCCCACTAGAATAAAGATAAATGTTATTACAGCTTTAATTCAGTATGTGCTACAAATACAACAATGGTTAGGATGTCAGAACTGTGGAATAGACCTAGTGAACCTTTAGGTAAGTACAATAAAGAAATGAAAGAGTTACAGAAAGAACTGCAGAAGAGGGGAAGCATTTAGAAAAGGGCCTGCTTTGAACATTGGGCTTCTAGTAAAGATTAGATTAGGAAGGTGGTACTCTAGCTCAACAGCACTCCTGACCTTGGCTTGTGTGGGCAGCCCGTTGTCTCGCACCTGTCGGTGACAGTAACTAATGCTTTGAGCATGCCTTTGAAAATCGTTGTCTCATACCTATGATTGTGACCCATGCTCTGAAAATGTCCTTGAAAATCAAGGAAATTTTAAGTAGATGAAAATGGACAACAGACTTGTTATTGTAAGTAGAAAGCATCATTATGTGACATGATACAAAAATAAAGTCTGGTGCTTGAGCCACGCCATCAGCTTGCTGTGAGTGTGTCTCTCATTTCTTCCTGTGCCAACACCTCCCACACCTTCAGGAACCCTGGGACCTGCTGGAGCTGGACTCAGCACTACACAGTGAGTACTGCGGGTGGTCTTCTTCTAGGGAGGACAAAGGGCCACAGACAAAGTCTCAGGAGGCTGCAGCCTCTGTTGCCATCACAGCCAGACAGCTGAGGAACTGGGTGAGGAACTGGGGGAGGGCTGGGGCTCCCATCACGCGGTGCCCCCGGTGCCCGAGCCCAGCCGTGGGGACCCACGTCCATGTGTGAGGACAGCACATTTCTGTGTCCTATCTGGCAGCCAGGTCCTCCTTGAGCCGACAGCTCTTTCCATAGCACCTGCTCCTGTCATCCACTTTCCTCTGCTGCACCTGCTCCCTGCCACAAATGGGAATACAGCCTAAGAGGTGCAGAATCCGGGAAGCAAACAAAAACAAACCACAGTCCTGACCGGGGGCGGGGGGAGGGAGGCAGTCATGAAGATGCTTAAGCACCTTGCCCCCTGCTGTGGACTAAGCTCTGCTCCCCCAGTACCCTGTGCTGGAGCCCTGGCTCCAGATGTGGTGGTCCTATGTTTTGGATGTGTCCCCAGGGACTCATGCGTTTGCAGTGTATGGAGGGAGGGCCTCTGGGGGTGGGGAGTCCTGATTAGATGAGGCCATGCAGGTGGGGCCCCAGGATGCCATCAGCCGCTTTGTAAGAAGAGGAAGAGAGACCCGAGTTGGCGTACCTCTTCCCTGTCGCCGTGGGATACCCCCACCGAGTCAAAGCGCAGCTAGGAGGCCCTCACCAGATGCACGTGCTGTGCTCTTGGGCTTCCCAGCCCCCAGAGCAGTGAGCCAGATAAACCCCTCTTCTTTATGAAGCAATCAGACTCAGGGCCTTTGTCAAAGCAACAGAAGATGGACTGAGACAGACGGTGCTTGGAGATGGGGTCTTTGGGAGATGCTTAGGGCTGGGGAGGTCGAAAGGGCAGGGTCCTCCTGGTGGGATGGATGAATGCCCGTGTGAGATAAGAACTTGATTTCTCTCCCTCAGGCATGTGGGCACACAGCAAGAAGGCAGCCACCTGCAGGCCTGGAAGAGAGCCCCCACCAGGAACTAACCATGCTGGCGCCCCGCTGCCGCACAGTGGGAAATAAATGGTTATCCTGGAAACCAGTCTACGGTACTTTGTTATGTAAGTCCAAGCTGACTCAAAACATCCACCATCACCCAGCTCTGGAGCCAGGACTTTGAACCAAATCTATGATTCTAAGCTCATCTTCTTAAGAACTGCATTTTAACCCGTTTTGAGAAGCACCAAATTAAGACTTCCAGCGTGTCTTCATTACAGTATAGCTTCTGCTTTCACAGCTACGGATGAGATTGTTTTACCTGGACAAATATGAACTGATGACTAAGGACTTTGAGATTAACTTACATCAATAATTTGATCAGTTCTTCTAATAAGATGGCATACCTCTGACTTGTTTGAAAGGCAGACTGAGAGAGAGAGAGAGAGAGAGAGAGAGAGAGAGAGAGAGAGAGAAAGATCAATCTCCCATTAGCTGGTTTACTCCTCAAATGGCCATAATGGTCAGGGCTGGGTCAGGCCAAAGCCAGGATCCTGGAACTCCATCCAGGTCTCCCATGTGGATGGCAGGAACCCAGGCACATTAACAGGGAACAGGATGGGAAGTGGAGCAGCCAGGACTTGAACTGGTGCTGTGATATGGGATGACAGTGGCATTACTGGTGGCAGATTAACCCACTGTGCCATGATGCCGGTCCTTGCAAAAGTTCTTTACTGACTTCCTAAACTAAGAAGCTGGGAAAGTGGAGCTCTTGAAGGCATAAAAGTTATGTGAAATGCTAAGGAAGCAAATAATTAGAACTTGGGGCCGGTGCTGTGGCATAGCAGGTGAAGCTGCTGCCTGCAGTGCCGGCATCCCATATGGACGCCAGTTCGAGTCCTGGCTGCTTCACTTCTGATCCAGCTCTCTGCTGTGGCCCGGGGAAACAGTAGAAGATGGCCCAAGTCCTTGTTCCCCTGCACCTGCGTGGGAGACCCAGAAGAAGCTCCTGGCTCCTGGCTTCAGATCAGCGTAGCTCTGGCCATTGCGGCCAATTGGGGAGTGAACCAGTGGATGGAAGACCTCTTTCTCTCTCTGCCTCTGTCTCTCTGTAATTCTGCCTTTCAAATAAATACGTAAGTCTTTTTAAAAAATATAATTAGAACTTAATTCTCAACAATATTAAAAATTTTGAAATATACGCATAGCATGCTTTGATATAACTAATACTGAGACACAGTTTACACACCATTTAGTACCTTTATGTGTGATAAGACTGACATATATCTTAATGTCACAAGACTACTGTTTTAACTGAACAAAAGTTTGATAATTTTAAAAGCTGTTCTTCACATCCACACACGTATCTCTAAGTCTACTAATGTTTATTGTCAAATACCCTGCAGAAGAATTTTAGATTCTTAGTACCATGTAATTAGAATATTACGTATTGCTGGTCCACACTATGAACTTGAACACAGAACGGCCCCACGTGCCATGCACAGACATGCCGGCCTTTCTTCCCGGAGCTAATTTTACACCCGTTTCTTATTCGGGTAGGTTTGAGGATTTTGCTAAACTGCTTTGCCAACAAACTGACTTGTGGTCACATACTCAGGAAAGGGCCTACAGGACGTGGCTTGCCAGACGTTGGGCGACGACCAAATGCTCGTGTCTGAAGTCCTCCTCCGTTCCCCTGCGACTCGTGCTCTGTGTTGTCTCTGGTCTGCAGGACGAAGGAAGCTTTGCTCGGGTGCCAGCAAGTTCCGACTCCTGCTCTTGGTGGCCCCTGAGGCCACTTGAGGCCTGGCTCAAAGAAGAGAGTCCCAGGGCACTGGCCATGGTGACAGCGGCCACGGCCACGGCCACGGTAGAATCTGCCACAGGCACTTGCTAGGGCTCGAGCTGTGACCTGTAATGAATATTTTTACCTCTTGCACGGCAGTGTTTGTTTTCTAGCCTGGTGGTGGTTTCGGTGATATTCTAATCTGCTTTGAGGTTTGAGAACGCGCTCACCGGATGAGGCACTGCAATGCTCCAAGTCAGCGTTGGCGCTGAGTACCCAAGACCCGAAACGTCAGCAGGGAGGGAACCTTAGAAAATTACTGCTCTCTCACGGCCAGGGAAGTGTCGGCGACCCCTCCAGTCCAGGTCCAAATAGGGCTGCGTAGTGCCTGCCTTGTTGCCGATATCCACGAAACCCAACGAGGTTTAACTCCACTGGCAACACCAGGGGCACGCAGAAGTGGAGGACGGGGCTGGGGGCTGGGGCGAGGTGAGCAGCTCCAGTGGCTGGTGTTTGTTTGACACGTCCCAGTGGAGGGAGGTGGGGAGCAGCTGCCAGTGTGGTCCAATACCCACCCTGCACCCTGGGCCAGGCTCTGACTTTGCCAGCTGCTGGGCCCCCAGACTATCTTCAGGCACCCAAAGTCCTGTAGGGCAGAGTGAGGCGGGGCCAGGAGCATGGCCCTGGCTCCCTAGTGGCAAAGGTCCACTCTGTTCTCCATAGAACATTCTGGATGGGTGTCTAAAGACATCGACTCCCAGTGTAAAATCCTTGCCAGTGGCCTCAGATTCCATTTGGAGGATTCTCTTGGTAGTGTGTTACTGCTGGCTCCCACAATAAAATTCCAGATCTATCATCTTCCCACTAGGACGAAGACAGAACCGTTCTCGAAAAGAAGTGGGAGAACCACAAAGTAATGAGTCCGAGAAACAGTGTTGCAATTTCAAAGCGGTTTCTGTGAACTCTGCTGGGAGGTGAATTGCAGTGTCCACCCCCACCTCAAGCCTGCACCTCCAAGGGCTCAGACTGTGTATTTGGGGACAGGGTCCTTCAAGGGTGATGGCATTAAGATGAGGCTGTTAGGGAGGTGTCATTCTAAGAAGAGGAGTTTCGGATGCACAGAGGGACGTGAGACAGAGAAGACCGTGTGAGGGCACAGTGAGATGGTGTCGCCCAGGAGTGACGCCTCGGGAGGAACCAACCCTGCTGGCACCACGATCCCGGATTCCAGCCTCTAGGACCCTGACGTCACTCCTGGTGACAGAGCACGCCCACCTTCCCCAGGAATAAGGTCTCGGCGGGAGCACACGTTCCCAGCTGCAGTTCACTTTGCTGTTCTTCAGGAGAAGAGGACCGGACAGGGATGTCCAGCCCACCCCGCAGGGCACACCCTACTGCCTGCAGAGCACAGGGCGTGCCCCGGGGTCGTCAGGCATCTGAGGGGATCCGCAGCCTGCTGCTGGCCGGTGCGCAGCCGGAACGCACTCATCCATGGATGCTGACGCAATGGTCCCAGAGGCTGCTGCAGACACACACACAGACCTGCGACAGCCACTAACCGGCCTTTGAGGAACACGTTCTTGGCAGTCAGCGGGCACGCGTCCCTCCCCGTCTTGCTCTCTTATCTGAAGGCCCAAGGGAAACAGCACCGAGGCTTTTAAAGGCACCCATTCCGCCAAGATAACACGGCACAGGGATCCCTGCCAGTAGTTAACTATTTTCACTCCTAGGTCCTGCACGTGGTTCCTCTCCTAAGGGTATGTGTGAGGCCTCCTGGCTGGCTGCTCGCTGGGAAAGCCTTAGAAATGCCCCTCGCAGAAAACAGCCATAATTGTCTCCTCCTTGGAAAAAGGAATGGCAAACCCTGAATCCTATTTCCTAGGGTTTTAAAATCATGAAGTCGATTTGCTGGTTTATTTGAAAACCCCATGGCTCTAAAAGAAGCAAGTGAAGATTTAACCCATTTCCACGGGGCCAATGAAGGCACACAGGAGGTTGACGACAGCTCTGCCTCGCTGGCCTCTGAACCCCTTCAGGCCGCCTGGAACCCGAGCTCCAGCTGTTGCTGCCTCTGGAACGCAACTGCCGGCGTTGTCTGGGATGCTGGACACCCCCTGGTGAACAGTCTTTCTCGATTCATTTTTTTTTTTGACAGGTAAAGTTATAGACAGTGAGAGAGAAAGACAGAGAGAAAGGTCTTCCTTCTGTTGGTTCACTCCCCAAATGGCCGTCATGGCTGGAGCCGCGCCGATCTGAAGCCAGGAGCCAGGTGCTTCCTCCTGTTCTCCCATGCAGGTGCAGGTATCCCAAGCACTTGGGCCATCCTCCACTGCCTTCCCGGGCCACAGCAGAGAGCTGGACTGGAAGAGGAGCAACTGGGACTAGAACTGGTGCCCATATGGGATGCCGGCATCACAGGTGGAGGATTAACCAGGTGAGCCACAGCACCGGCCCTCGATGGATTCTTTTGGTCAAAGACTCCTGTGGCCTTTGCACCTCGGTGCACGCTCCCCTGCCACTCCCCCCACCTGCTGGGAAGCAAGGCCAGCGGCCGTGGGAGAACTGCGCAGGAGGGACACTGTGGCGTGGGGCTCGTGGGTCCCACAGGAAGACTTGGAGGCAGATGTTCTGGAACATTCCTCACAGGAAAGAGTCGTGTCAATGGAGAAAGGAAGGAAGGAGCAGACCTGGAGGAGGCGCCAGCAGGGTTTGGGATGGACAGCCCCGTGCTCAGAGGCTGCAGTGAGGGTCAGGGTAGGATGTGGGAAGAGACCAGTGTGTCCCTACTCCTCCCCAGATGTGCGGGTGCACGTGTGAGACAGGTGACTTAAAGGTAAGGCAGTCTGAGGCCATGAACCCCAAAGGGCTCTGTGTTCATATTAGGCTGTGTGGGGTGGGTGTCGTGACCCAGCAGGTTAAGCCGCCGCCTGTGACGCCGGCATCCCACATGAATGGTGGTTCAAGTCCCAGCTGCTCCTCTTCCGATCCAGCTCCCTGCTAGTGTGCCTGGGAAAACAGCAGAAGATGGCCCAAGCATACGGGCCTCTGCCACCCTGTAAGAGAGCCAGATGGAGTTTCAGGTTCCTGGCTTTGGCCTGGCCCAGCCTTGGTAGTTGTGTGGCCATTTGGACCGTGAACCAGCAGATGGAAGATCTCTCTCTTTCTCTCTGTCACTCTTTCAAATAAAAATAAATATTTAAGAAGCATATGCACCATGAGGACCTTCAGGGTTTGGCCCCTGTCTAACTAGAGACTCAGTTCCTTCTCTGGGGTGAAGGATGCTAGGCGTCCCCAGCCAGTAGCATTGGCATCACCTGTGAGCTTGCTAGAAATGCAGAACCTGGTTCTCCCACACCTGGATCCGCTGCAGCAGAAGCTGTGCTTTAACAAGACGCCTCCACACGGCCTGGGTCTCAAGTAGGGAGGGAGGAGGAACACGCCCATCATCGTCACCTGACTGCTGCGTCATGGTTCCCCGCGAGCGTGCGCTGAGGCTGTCGGGGTTAGCTTCTGGCTCATACTTCTCTGTGGGAAGCCTGCCAGAGCGCCACAAACAGCGGAGCAGGTGAACCCGGCTCACAGCCTTTCTTCGAGAGAAACTGTGTACCAGGTTGCCACAGGCACCAGGGTCAACTGGAACGCCATCCATGTCAACAGGAATGTTAATTACTCCCCCACCCTTATTGATTGAATTATTCCATTGGACTTGTTTGCCCAAACAAAAATTACACACATACACCAAGCTGCAACCACGGAAAGGCTGATGTGCCTATCATAAGAGATAGGGAAGAAGCCAACTTGGTTAGGTTTCCACTGACTTACTTTACCAATAGAGCCATACACTTTAAATCTGAGTGCTTGGCTATATTTTCAGTATTTTCTTCTAAAGATGTAGTTTTATGGAGTTCACATGGCTCAGGTTTTTCTTTTTAAGTGTTTATTTATTAGAAAAGCAGAGCAACAGACAGAGAAAGAAAGAGAGAGAGAGAGAGAGAGAGAAAGAGAGAGAGAGAGAGAGAAAGAGAGAGAGAGATCTTCCATCCACTGGGTCACTCCCCAAATGCCCACAACAGCCAGGGCTGAGCCAGGCCAAAGCCAGGAGCCCACAACTCCATCCAGGTCTCCTGCAGGAGTGGCAGGGGTCCCAGCACTTCAGCCATCATTGGCCGCCTCCAGGGACGCATCAGCGGGAATGCTGGATTGGAAGTGTGGAACCGCTGGGGTTCAAACCAGCCCCGCGATAAGGGACGGGGGTGTCTCAAGGGGCGGCTGAACCCGCAGCACCACAACCACCCCAACTCAGACTTTTAATCCACCCTTTTTCTCTTTTTTCTTTTTTTTTTGAGTTTATTTATTTAAAAGACAGAGTTGCAGAGAGAGATGTAGAGACAGAGAGAGAGGTCTTCCACCCTCTGGTTCACACCCCAGATGGCCGCAATGGCCGGAGCTGTGCCGATCTGAAGCCAGGAGCCAGGAGCGTCCTCTGGGTCTCCCACATGGGTGCAGGCACCCAAGGACTCGAGCCACCATCTTCCACGGCTATCCCAGGTCACAAAAGAGAGCTGGACTGGAAGAGGAGCAGCCGGGACTAGAACCAGCACTCATATGGGATGCCGCCGCTTCAGGCCAGGGCTTTAACCCACTGCGCCACAGCGCCAGTCCCTAACCCACCCTTTTCTACAAGTCCTTATGGTAACTGGATAGTAGAGGAGGAACACAACCCCTGTCTTCAGATTGTCTCTGAAGCACATGATGACACAGCATGAAGCCACCCTCTCCCAGGGCACCAATGGTGTGGCTTTATCAGCAGCCAGGCCGGGGCAAGAGAGAAAGCGTGGGAAACCCGAAGAAAGGGTGGCCAGCTCCCCTCTGCAACCGCAGCTCTGCTGGGGCTAGGGGCTTCTCAGGCCTGGCCCGGCTGCCCCTGCAAATTCCCGCTGCAAGACCCTAGCCCAGCAGAGGGAGCGGGCGCCGGGGGCCAACAGCACGGACCCCTCCAGTAGGGGCAGCAACTCCTCAGAGCCCTTGGGTGCTTTTGCTCCATCGGTGCTTGTCAATTTTATCTGAAGAATTATAATTGGAAAATAAGGGTGTCTGGGAGCATGATGCCACATGATTTACAGTGCACAAAATCATGGAAAGTCACGCCACTTCCTGATAGCACACAGCTCGCCTGGCCACCGAACCCTCCTGCTGACTAATTCCTTCCATGCTGTAGTTTTCCACGGCTGACTCATAACCATCTCCTACTTTTCTCGTTTCCTGAAACGATTCTGAGGAAGATTATTCCACATAAAAAGCGGAGTGATATATAAAACCCAGGAGCCTAGGCACAATCTGAAGCTCTTAACTCTAAGTCCCAAAGAAACTTTTGGCTAGGAATTCCCAAGACAAACCAACGCTTTTGGGTGCTGGTGGACGCCACAACCCTCAGAGGGTCAGCTCGCAGCAAAGCACTGTGCTCGGGTCACAACTCACTGCATGCAGCTGGCAAGCCAGAGCTTTGTGTAATGAAAGGAACACGCCAGCAAGTAAAACTCCATTCAGACAGAGAGAGAGGCAGCCGGCACGAAAACACCGCTGCTGTGCAGGGCGCTTTATCTAAAGGGACCTTCCCAAAGATAATCGCCCATTATTTTCACAGGACTTCCAAAGGAACACGGAGTACTTAAAGCTGCCTGCATTTGTTTGGTTTTCTTAAGGAAGACAAAGGTTTTAAAGTGACCTGTGGTTTTAATACAGACAATCTCTTAGAAATAACATCCAGCTCAATCTTTAGATTAGACAGCAAATGAGCTAACTCCTTACTAATTGTTTCTCATACTTGTCTTTGTTATTTGAGACATAAAATTGATTTTAGCTTTCTAGTTAGCATCCTGAAAAGTATATGTTTCTGCGCAAAAAAAGGTGAAAATATTTTGAATTATGCAATCACTTTCAACTAAAAATGATTATTTTATCAGAATCCCTCAGCATTTCTAAGTACTTACTACTGGAATTGTTTAAATTTTTATAAATTTCATGTATTTCATATTTACAGATTTAGGAGCACAGTGATACTTTCCACCCTACCCTTCTGCCCTCTCACACTCCTATCACCCCTCCTCCTTCCTTCTTATTCTTTCAATTTTTTAATATTTATTTGATAAGTAGAGTTATAGACAGTGAGAGAGAGAGACAGAGAGAAAGGTTTTCCTAATGTTGGTTCACTCCCCAAATGGCCACCACAGCCAGCGCTGCGCCGATCTGAAGCCAGGAGCCAGGTGCTTCTCCTGGTCTCCCATGGGGTGCAGGGCCCAAGCACTTGGGCCATCCTCCACTGCCCTCCCAGGCCACAGCAGAGAGCTGGACTGGAAGAGGAACAATCAGGACTCGAACCCGGCACCCATGTGGGATGCCAGTGCTGCAGGTGGAAGATTAAACAAGTGAACCATGGCGCCAGCCCTCTTTAATTTTTACAATGATCTACTTTAAGTTTATTTTACAATCAAAAGATTAACTTTCCACTAAATAAGAAACTTTTTTTTTTTTTGACAGGCAGAGTGGACAGTGAGAGAGACAGAGAAAGGTCTTCCTTTGCCGTTAGTTCACCCTCCAATGGCCACCGTGGCCGGCGCGCTGCACTGATCCGAAGGCAGGAGCCAGGTGCCTCTCCTGGTCTCCCATGCGGGTGCAGGGCCCAAGGACTTGGGCCATTCTCCACTGCACTCCCGGGCCACAGCAGAGAGCTGTACTGAAAGAGGGGCAACTGGGACAGAATCTGGCGCCCCGACCAGGACTAGAACCCAGTGTGCCAGCGCTGCAGGCAGAGGATTAGCCTATTGAGCCGCGGCGCCGGCCAGTAAGAAACTTTAACAAATAGTAAGAAGAAAAAAAACCCCACTGTTTCTCAACAGTAGAGACAAGGGCTGTAAACAATAATCAATTCTCAAAATGTCAATTTTGCTCAAATACATTAATTTTTTTGTACTCTACTAGTTACCACAGGTCAGGTAAAACATGGTATTTGTATTTTGGGGACTGGCTTCTTTTTTTTTATTTTTTGACAGGCAGAGTGGACAGTGAGAAAGAGAGACAGAGAGAAAGGTCTTCCTTTGCCGTTGGTTCACCCTCCAATGGCCGCCGCAGCCGGTGCGCTGCGGCCGGCGTGCTGCGGCCGGCACACCGCGCTGATCCAATGACAGGAGTCAGGCACTTATCCTGGTCTCCCATGGTGTTCAGGGCCCAAGCACCTGGGCCATCCTCCACTGCACTCCCTGGCCACAGCAGAGAGCTGGCCTGGAAGAGGGGCAACTGGGACAGAATCCGGCGCCCCGACCGGGACTAGAACCCAGTGTGCTGGCGCCGCAAGGTGGAGGATTAGCCTAGTGAGCCGTGGCGCCGGCCAGGGACTGGCTTCCTTCATTAAGCATGGTTCCCAATTGCATCCATTTTGTTGCGTGAGACAGCATTTCATTCTTTGTTTTATGGCTGAGCAGTATTCAACACTGTATCTATCCCACAATTTCTTTATCCCATCATCAGCTGATGGGCATCTGGGTTAATTCCACATCTTAGCTATTGTGAATTGAACTACAATAAATGTGGGGATACAGATAACTCTTTCATTTCATTTCCTTTGGGTACATTCCCAGGAGCGGGATGGCTGAGTCACATGGTAAGTCTATATTCAGATTTTTGAGGTATTTCCATACTGCCTTCCACAATGGCCATACCAGTTTATATTCTCACCAACAGTACCATTTTCTCCCACATCCTCTCCAACATTTATTGTTTGTTGATTTCTGTATGAGAACCATTCTAACTGGGGTGAAACCTCATTGTGGTTTTGTTTTGTATTTCCCTGATGTCGTGGGTGATACTGAGCATTTTTTGATGTCTGTTGGTCATTTGAATTTTCTCTTTTGAAAAATGCCTGTTCAAGTCCTTTGCCCATTCTCAACTGGATTGTTTGTTTTCTTGTTGCATTTCTTAAACTCTTTATAGATTCTAGATGCTAATCCTTTATCAGTTGCATAGTTTGCAAATATTTTCTCCCATTCTGTCGGCTGCCTCTTCACTTTGCTGAATGTTTCCTTTGCAGTGCAGAAGCTTCTTAGCTTGATGTAATCCCATTTCTTCATTTTTGCTTTTGCTGCCTGTGTTTCTATGGTCTTTTCCAAAAAGTCTTTGTCTATGCCAATGTCTTACAGAATTTCCTCAATGTTTTCCTCTGGTAATGTGATGGTATCAGGTCATAGATTTAGGTCTTTGATCCATTTTGAGTGGACTTTTGTGTATGGTGTAAGGTAGGGGTCTTGTTTCCTATGTCTGCACATGGAGATCCAATTTTCCCAGCACCAATTCTTGAAGAGAGTTGTTGTTTCTCCAGGGGTTGATTTTTAGCTCCTTGGTCACAGGACTGGTTGAGATTCATGGATTGATTTCTGGGGTTTCAATTTGTTCCATTGGTTTACATGCCTATTTCTGTGCCAGTACCAGGATGTTTGGATCATAACTTCCCTGTAGTATGTCTTGAAATCTGGTACCGTGATGCCTCTGGCATTGCTTTGTTGTTTAAGATTGTTTTAGCTTTTGGGGTCTTGTGCTTCCATATGAATTTTAGCATTGTTTTTTTCTAGATCTGAGAAGAATATCATTGATCTTGGTATTTTGATTGGTATTGCATTAAATCTGTAAATTACTTTCGGTAGTATGGACATTTTGATGATATTAATTCTTCCAGTCTATGAACATGGAAGGTTTTTCCATTTTTTGGTGTCTTCTTCTATTTCTTTCTTTAATGTTTTGTAATTTTCATTGTAGAGATCAATCACCTCCTTGGTTAAATTTATTCCAAGATATTTAAATATTTTGGTAGCTATTGTAAATGGGATTGATCTTACAAGTTCTCAGTGGAGTCTTTTAGTTCCCCTATATATAGAATCACGTCATCTGCCAACAGGGGTAAGTTGATTTTCTCCTTTTTGATTTGTTTCCCTTTGATTTCCTTTTCTTGCCTAATAGCTCTGGCTAAAACTTCTAATGAACTTTAAAAAAAAAAAAAGAATTTTTTTTTAAATGGAGTTAAATGAGGGGCCTTAAAAAAGTTCATGGACAATGTGTATTATGGAAAAAATTCAGACATGGATTTCAAAAATATTTCACCAAATTAAACATCTCCTTATTCCACTTTTTTTAAAAAAAATATTTATTTATTTATTTGAAAGTCATAGTAACACAGAGAGGAGAGGCAGAGAGAGAGAGAGGTCTTCTGTCCAATGGTTCACTCCCCAGATGGCCGCACCAGCTGGAGCTGTGATGATCTGAAGCCAGGAGCCAGGAGCTTCTTCTTGGTCTCCCACGTGGGTGCAGGGGCCCAAGCACTTGGGACATCCTCCACTGCTTTCTCAGGCCATAGCAGAGAGCTGGATTGGAAGAGGAGCAGCTGGGACTAGAACCGGCACCCATATGGGATGCCAGCGCTTCAGGCCAGGGCGTTAACCCGCTGTGCCACAGTGCCGGCCCCTTTATTCCACTTTTGTACAAACTTTCTGAAGAGCCTTTGTATCCTGGTGCTGAAAGTTAGGCTTCAGGTGTGTGATAAATCTGGGAACAGAGGTCAGCAACAGCTGCTAAAATTACCAGGTCAAAGGTGGGTAGGGAATTTCACAAGCTGAAGGAGAGGCCACGCCTGCTGCAGGGGTGGCAGGATCCTAACATCACACGAGGGGAGATGACCAGGCTCCCTGTGCATGTCTCTGAACAGCAGCAGTCAGCACAGAGGATCCCACACGAGGCCTTCCTATTCAAACACAAACTCTGGCTCTAAGCTCCCAGACCTACAAGTAAGTTTATACCCAACACAAGGAGTAAATGGATGTGCTACAAGATGCTAACAGGACGCAAATGAAACCGTATCTTCCAATACAAATGAAGACCCCAGGAATTAAGAGACAAGAGACAACCAAATGCAGGGGGTATATCTTATTTGGATTCTAATTCAAATATACTCATTATAAAAAGATACTCGAGGGGCTGGTGCCTTGGCTCACTTGGTTAATCCTCTGCCTGCGGCCTGGCATCCCATATGGGCGCCGGTTCTAGTCCTGGTTGCTCCTCTTCCAGTCCAGCTCTCTGCTGTGGCCTGGGAAGGCAGTGGAAGTTGGCCCAAGTGCTTGGGCCCTGCACCCGCATGGGAGACTGGGAGGAAGCTCCTGGCTCCTGGCTTCGGATCGGCGCAGCGCCAGCCATGGCAGCCATTTAGGGGGTGAACCAATGGAAGGAAGACCTTTCTGTCTCTCTCACTGTCTAACTCTGTCAAATAAATTAAAAAAATTACTAAAAGATACTCATAGGCTAATTAGGGAAATTTGAACACAGGATGGTATTTGATACTAAGAAATTTATTTATTTTTGAAATTATTTTAAAGAAAGAGAGAGAGAGAGAGAAACTATTCCACCCACTGGTTCACTTCTCAAATGTCTAAAATATGCACGGCTGCCCCAGGCCAAAGCCAGGTGATCTGAACTCGAAATGGGTCCCCCACATGGGTGGCGGGAACCCAAGTACTTGAGCCATAACCTGCTGCTTCCCAGAGTGTGCATAAGCCAGAAGTTGGATTGGAAGCTCTACTGGTGCTGGGACTTGAACCAAGCATATCTGACACAGGATGTGGGTCTCCTGAGTAGTGAGTTAATCACTGTGCCAAATGCCCAGCCCAAGATTTTATTTTTGTTAAGAAGAGAGTCCTTATCTCCTTGAGGGGCAGACAAATGAAATGATGTGATGGCTGAGGTGTGTGAAATCACCCTATGTGTGAGCATGGGTGGGGGTCCATGCACTGACAGCTGTTGAGTCTGGGTGCGGAGTTGAGTATATGGGACTCAGCCAAATATACTGTCTGTCTCTGTACCTGTTTAAAAATCTCCATAATAAAAATGCTTTAAAATTAAAAGGCAAAAAAAAAGTGAAGGCATTTTCCATAGTAACTCTAAATAAACATGGTTTTCGTAACAAAATATGTAATTCACATAAGTCGAAACCATGTGCTTTGATTTTTCACAATTTTCAAGAGAATGAGGTGTCTGATGAACAATCTCATACTCTTGACACTAACAAGCGTGCATCAGAACTTGCTTGGAAATAGTGTAGTTTTGCAATCACGGCAACAGTCAGTAGTGAAAGTATTTATTTGTGGGGCCGGTGCTGTGGCGTAGCAGGTAATGCAGCCGCTTGCAATGCCAGCATCCCATATGGGCACATTTTGAGTCCTGGCTGCTCCACTTCCGATCCAGCTCTCTGCCTTGGCCTGGGAAAGCAGTAGAAGATGGCCCAAGTCCTTGGGTCCCTGCACCTGTGTGGGAGACCTGGAAGAAGCTCCTGGCTCCTGGCCTTGGATGGGCACAGCTCCAGCTGTTGCAGCCAACTGGGGAGTGAACCAGCAGATGGAAGACCTTGCTCTCTCTCTCTCTCTCTGCCTCTCCTCTCTGTGTGTTAACTTTGGCTTTCAAATAAATAAGTAAATCTTCAAAAAAAAAAAAAAACACAACAAAGTACTTAGTTGTATATCCCTTGTCCTACAGTTAGTAGGGAAAACATTTAGAGCAGTTTTCAACACGAGGAGGATTTGAGTAGAGAAACAGCTCCCGCACGTTTCAGGTGAGGACAACTGCTGCTGCTCACGATGCCACAGGAGCACACCGAGCTCAGCTGTGTCACATCTGTCACGCTGCCTGGCAGGTCCAGGGGCCGCGAGAACAGCGCCCCTGCAGGGCTGACACAAATACTGGACATGCTGCTGGTGCCTCCAGAGCCGGGCACACACGCAGAGCCACGGGTCAAGGCATCCACTGCACCAGAGATGTCACCGAGACACGGCGCGCTGGGATGGCTCCCTCCAGCTGCGCACTGCAGAAACACTCACTGGCAATGCCCACGAGGGTCCAGTGAGGTGCGCAGGTGGCAGCCCGGACGGAACACCGGTGCAGAAGACGTTATTGCTTGAGTTGAGGGAGGACTGAGGGGAAGGCGTCCAACCCAGGGCTACACAACCCCAGCAGGCGGCGCTGGCTGTCACCAGGCACTGTGGCCAAAAAGGCGAGGAAGCAGGCGGCATGGCAGGGTGTTGGCAAGGGTCAGGTGGCAGCTTTTTAAAATTTTGAGATGCTTTTTAAAGATAGGCACCACAGCCGGCGCTGCGGCTCAATAGGCTAATCCTCCGCCTAGCAGCGCCGGCACACCGGGTTCTAGTCCCGGTCGGGGCGCCGGAGTCTGTCCCGGTTGCCCCTCTTCCAGGCCAGCTCTCTGCTGTGGCCCGGGAGTATAGTGGAGGATGGCCCAAGTGCTTGGGCCCTGCACCCCATGGGAGACCAGGAGAAGCACCTGGCTCCTGCCATCGGATCAGCGCAGTGCACCGGCCGCAACGCGCAGGCCGCGGCGGCCATTGGAGGGTGAACCAACGGCAAAGGAAGACCTTTTTCTGTCTCTCTCTCTCTCTCTCTCTCTCTCTCACTCACTGTCCACTCTGCCTGTTCAAACAAACAAACAAACAAAAGATAGGCACCACAAAAGCACACTCCATGGGCTTGAAGCGTGGAAAGGTGCTGTCCACCTCTCACGCACGATGACGTTGCTCGGGGTGAGGATGGGGGCTGCGGCAGCGATCACAGAGTGACTGACGGCTCAGACCCACCGGTCCGGGGTGAGCGCCCCGCCTGCCTTCCCTGTTGGAGTCCTCAGGTCTCTGCAGCAGGCGGGCTCTGATTCTTTCTCACGGTGGAGGAACAAAGGCTAACACGCTTTGAGCTTTGTTCTCTCGGATGTTTGACTCGGAATCAGAATCTGAGGCAGAGTGACGATGAAACCGTAGCCAGTCTAACACAGATTCTTAAAATAGTGAAGAATGATCCATCCACCCCGTGACAACCATGTTGACAAGTTCAAGCTGCCGAGGCGGTGCCTGTGGTCCCACGTGTCCCGGGTGGAGACGGTGCAGTGCTGTCAGTGCCCCTGCAATGGACAAGACACCTGGCTTCTCTTCAGACTGACCCTTTGCAGACCAGGCAGGTGTTACCTGGGCAGCGGCCCACATGCACTACCTGGCTGGCTAGCTCACAGAGAAGCACGCACAAGGAAACCAAGGGTGGAAAGATCCGCCAGCCAGCAACCTGCTCTGGGAAAACGAGCCTCAGGCTCAGGCTCAGTCATATCCTCCAGCCCCACCCCCCACCACCGCCCCCACCTGTCACAAAGCACAGCGATGGAGGTGGGTGACTCAGGAGATGGTCAATAAAAGCATTACTAAGAATTATCAAGAGCAAAACTTTCACATTTTTTAAAAAGAAACTATTTATTCATATGAAGGGCTGAGCAACAGAGAGGGAGAGGAGGAGACAGAGAGAGAGAGAGAGAGAGAGACAGAGAGAGAGAGAGAGAAAGAGAGGTCTTCCATCCGCTGGTTCACTCCCCAGATGGCTCCAACAGTTGGCTATGGGCCAGGCTGAAGCCACAAGCCAGAAACTCCATCCAATGGAGGTGTCAGGGACCCAACCACTTTCCCAATCCTTTCCCAGGCACATTACCAGGGAGCTAGTTCGGAAGTGGAGCGGCCAGGACTTGAACCAGTGTTCCAATATGGGATGCTGGCATTGCAAGAGGCTGCTTAACCCACTGCCCTACAGTGCTGGCCTACAATTTTTACCCGTACTCAAGAAAGCAGGGTTGGACTGTCCATTTTAGACCCAATCCCGAATAGTTAACTATTCATTTCTGACGGCTGAAAGGCGGTACACTCTCCAGCTCTGCAGAAAACCTGGCTATTCTAAATTACTGCACGTGTTTCCTAAGTGTACTGAGGAGTAGACATTTGGATTTCCCGAGAAACCAGAGCATCTTCTCGAGGACAATGGCCTTGGGGTCTGAAGTCCTAGTCCAGGCCGGGGCTTTGCCATAGGAATTGTGCTGCACTGGGCGGAACAGACGCCTCCCTGGATGTCAGTCTTGCCTTGCTTCAAAATCAGTGACGAAGGCTCCTTGGGCTCTAGTGCTCTGAACTCAGGAAATACAAAAAGATGTGACCAGAAGGAATATAATCATGTACAACATAATTCAGCTTATGTAACTGAACAATGTGTGGGAAAGCAAGGCAGAGCTACAAATACCCATGTGTATTAATATCTATGCTAACGCAGCACTATAAAAATGCTTCACCTGAATACTAAAAATACGCTCCCAAGCAATCATAATAAAAAATCATAAAGTTCTGTTATTCTAGCTGCATGAAATTCCCATTAGGGTCACTGGAAAGTGTGAGAATGCAGAGGGATGAATGCAGGCCACTTATTCCAGGAATAGTTGGAAAATTCGGAACAAGGCCAGGATTAAGGGGAAAAAAAAAACCCTTGCCTGACAGATGAAGCGGTGTCAGGAAGTCTAAAAACAATCTGCGTTTGATTCACAGCACAGGACTTTCCTGTAAGACGCACCCGCGTGAAAGCCGGTTTGTCCTGGGCCCAGCTTCATGCTCCAGAGTGAGTCCTGACAAGGGTGACGAAGAGACGGCTCCGCAGTGAGTCCTGCCACGCAGGTGGCCACCACGGCACCTCTCTAACTTTCCTGGGCAAGGAGGAAGCCACAGAACTCCTTTGTCGGGCACACAAATGTCCTCCGGGTAATGGTCTGATAAGCCTAGTGCTTTCAGCGCCGCACTCTGAAATGCCCCGTGTTCCAGTGGATTAAGTCAGCCGAAATACCCTGAACTGGGTCCGTGACATTCTTTTGAACGTAGCTCACATTTTCCAGCTCGCCCCGCAGGCCCTGGCCGATCATGACTCTAAGTTGCCGTCAACCTACACTCTGCAGTTTTCAAGGTCGTTTCGCATAGACGCACTCACTGGAGCTTCTCTAAACCCTCAGAAGACACGGTGAAGGCCTTCCTGCCGCTGCCCTCGGAGAGTTCAGGTTACTTTCCCAAGGTCAGGGCCGTACACCAATGCTCACATTCACGGCCTCTGACTCTTACTCAAACATTCCTCCTAGGACATGCGTAAGCTAGTTCTGGGAAAGGCACAGTTCAGGTGTGCCGGCAAGCAATCATATGGCCACGAGCTACTAAGCATGACTCAGCACACCGGTGAGCACAGACAGGGCTCGCGCTCTGACTGTCAAAAACGTGTTTCCCCACCTCAGTTTATCTTTTAACCCACGAAGTCAGATGGCAGGCAGTTCTGAGCACTCCAGCCCAGGCCCAGAATCTGCGGAAAACTAATGGAGTTTGCACGAGTCACGGCCCTGAAGGTGTTACTGTTCACAGCCGCGTGTGGGCGCCCGCTTCCATCGGGAGAGCCCACGCGGGGAGTGCCTGGGCGCTTCTGTGCGGGAGCTCAGGCTAAAGCTCCTCCTGCGAATTGTGCACCAAAGGACACCATCTGAGTGTGCTTGGTGTTGCAATAACAAAATTCCCGAGGCTGAGTAACGTACAAGGGAGAGACAGCTCCACGAGCCGAAGTCCAAGGGCATGAGTCTGGCGAGGGCCTCACGCTGCTAAGCAGAAGGGCAAGCAGGGGCGTGCGGAAGAGACCAAGCACCCAAGAGGGGCGGTCTGGCTTCCTAGCAGGCGGCTCTCCTGCTAACTAACCCAGTGAGAATTAACTCAGCCTCATCAGGCATTAATCCCACTTCACCTTCAACACTGTTATGCTGGACATTGAATTTCGACTTGAGTTTTAGAGGGGACAAACTATGTCCACATCACAGCAGGTACCAACCTAGTCTTCCATAAGAACAGAAAGGCACAGATTCCTTTGTCATTTCTCTGTCTTTCACACTTAGAACCAAGAGGTAATAGAGAATAAAAGTCAAGGGGGAAAAAAAAAAACACCAGAAGCCAACAATGCATGCCCATACTGATATCCATCTCAAGGCTGTTGACTTCTGTCGGGCATCCGTTTCCTGGAAAACATCTTTACAAAAGGAAGATTGCTGGAAACTTTGAAATGATGAAAACAGGGCTTTATAATGGAAACTGTTTTGCAATTCCTTAATAATTTCAGTACTTAATATAATAATTTAGGACGTACCAGAATTGGTTGAAGTGACAACAAAAGAAAATGCTGTGCTAAAAATCGGAAATATAGACCCGATTTCACAAAGACATCAGAAGGACAATGCATCTGTCTAGGAAGTACAGTGGGAGCCTGGGGGAAAGCTAACGGAGAATTAGTGGTGAAATAAAGAAACCAGAAAGGGCAATGCCCAGTATAGCTGCGCTGACTCTACTGTCTACAAAGGCTGTGTTGAAATCACGAGCCCTGGAAACAGAGGATACAAGTCCCCCATCTATGTAGCTTTCTCCAGTGCAAGGAAACATATTATTTTTTTTGGTAAGTAGTTACTTTAAAACTTTTATTTTTAGTACAAAGAAAAATGATCCCCAAAGTATGCTTGCAAAGCCACACTTGGACTATTTTTGATGCCAGAAACATTGATCTGCCTGCATGTCCTGTTTATGTTAAATACTACTCTAATACTCTCTCCATAAACAAAACCCATCTGAGCTAGCTGCAGCCTCCTCCAAGAGCTAAACCCAGTGTGGCTAGTTTCATATGACTGCTGTGAAAACTGGAAAGCAGAATGCAAGAACTAGCACTTTCTGGAAAGTGATGACCCCTTTCTGGATTATTTTACACAAAAATGAGTTACCTTAGTAATCTGAAATGAAAACATGGGAAGCCAAAAACATGAATCCATACACACTTGTCAGTGCCGACAGAACCTGAATTTTAACCCAAAGAAGCTCTGTCAATGTGGGTCCACTTGCCCAGCAGGCTTCTGCCCACCTTATTTTCCAATGGTGCACGACATTCAGGGACTGGGCTCCTTCAAGGCTTGCAGAGCCTACCCCTTCTAATTCAGTCTACCGGGAAACCCCAGGTCGCATCACTCCAGGGCACTAGAGCCACACTCAACTGCACTTTCTGAAATGGGCTGCAGTCACTGCAGTGGGGCACGGCCATGCAGGGCAAACACCGCGAGAAGATCTGACTGCGTGCTCTGTGCATTCCACTAGGCAGACGTAGCAACAATCGGCTGGCTCTGCTTCTCGCCGGATCACACTGTGGCTAAACAGCAACCAAGCTCCAGGGAGGACTGATGTACTCTGTAGTCAAAAGTTTCATTCTTATATGCTGGAAATTCAAAGGAGAGTCGGCCCACCGTATCTGTGGGTTCCACGTCTATAGAGTCAACCAAAGATCAAAAATCTTTGGGAGAGAAGAAATTTGTCTGTACCGAGTTTGTGCAGACCCAATTTTTAATGGTCGCAATTCCCCAAGAATGCAGCATACCAATCATCCACACAGCACTTGTGTTCTGCCAAGTACTACAAGCCATCTAGAGGGGATGGGAAGTGTGTGTGGGAGGACGTGTGTAGGTCAGACACGAATACTACGCCATGCTCCGTGTGGGACTTGAACATCCTTAGATTTTGGTATTCTTGCCGGGAGGGGTCCCCCATGGACGGCGAGGAACCCCTGTACCCTACATCCCGTCATCCCCTGCCTTGCCTTGGAAGGACTAAGGTGAGCAGAAGGCCACTTCACTTATATCAGCTTTTAGAAACAGAAGAACACACTGTGCCCTCTTAGTGTACAACTTCATTTGGGGCCAATACAGATGGAGTATTTTTGAGTTAAAATTCAAGATTTACTGACATTAATACTGAAAAATGGCTCAGCTTTTCTGGAAAACCATTTGGCAATATGCAACAATATTTATAAAGGGTACAAAGTGCCTGTGGATAAATTAATTCCTACACTTAAAAAGATAAATTGTATAAAGATATATAAAGAATGCTGCTTATGACAGAAAAATGTCTGGGAAAACGAAGCAAAATGGGGACCCTGTTTTCCACAAGAACAGCTAGGGAGCCTTGAGAGCTTGTTTTATCAAGCCTGAAAAGGCTCCCAAAACCTTCGAGAGCTCACCAATGGTAGGCAAGCATGAACCTTCTAAACTGAATGGAGCTCACCAATAGCAGGGAGGCACAAAAAAGTTTCCAGAACCTTCTAGAACTGCACGGCGCTCACTAATGGCAGGGAAGTGTGAAAAGCCTTCTAGAACCTTCTAAACAGAATGGAGTCAATGGTGGGGAGGCATAAAAAGGCTTCTGGAACCTTCCAGAATGGAGTGAGGCAGGGAGAATCACAGGGCAGGGAATGGATATGAAATGAGGCCCAAGAGGCAAGCGAACACTGTCCTGTGACGCCTCTGGGAGGAACGAGGTGAGGCTGTGACTTGGAAGACCACCCTAGGCGCTCGCAGAGCTCGACCTGAAAGGGGACCAGGGTGGAGGCTGGGACAGACAGCCAGGGAGGCAGAGAGGTGAGGAGGAGAGGCGTGCAGGGCCACATTTGGCATAAAAGCAGAATGCCATCACAGTTCAGAGCTTCAGCCATGAAAAAGGAGGGCTTGGGCAGCGGAAGAGATTTAAAGGAAATTCGGGATAATGCAAACCGAGTATAATGCTTGATTTTTTATGGAAAGAAGCCTCCTAATAAGACACACACATACCTATATTTTAAACCCCCGAGGGGTGGGTGTTGTAGCACAGCGTGTTGGCCTACTGTTTGGGATGCCCACCTCCTGTATCAGAGTGCCTGGTTCAGGTCCCACTTCCTCCTCTTCTGATCCAGTTCCCTGCCAATGCACCTGGGAGGCAGGGGATGATGGTTCAGTACTTGGGCCCCTGCCACCAGGATGTGAGAGACCAGAGTGGAATTCCTGGCTCCTGGCTTCAGCCTGGCCCAGTACCAGCTGGTGATGGGGGAGTGAACCAGTGGGTGGAACACCATGATCTCACTCTGTTTATCACCCTGCCTTTCTAATAAATACATTTAAAAAAAAAAAATCCCAAGCTTAACCTCTGTTATTTAGGATAACTGCCTTAAGTGTGGTCTGTGGACGTGGCGGGGGGGGGGGGGCAGTCTGCCACGAGGCAAGAACAGAAGCTACAGGAAGCTTCCAGAAGCTCTCACAGCACTCCATCAGGAAGTGTCTGTTGGGATTTATGGACTTTTGTGGCATGTCTTTTTGTTCTGTTTCTTTCGAAAAGTTCATGATTTTTTAAGATTTATTTTTTTTTATTTGAAAGAGAGTTACAGAGAGACAGAGAAAGAGATCTTCCATCCACTGGTTCACTCCCCCAAATGGCCTCGATAGCCAGAGTTGAGCCAATCTGAAGCCAGGAGCCAGAAGCCAGGAGCCAGAGCTTCTTCTGGGTCTCCCCTGTGGGTGCAGGGGCCCAAGCACTTGTCCATCCTCTGCTGTTTTCCCAGGTGCATTATTAGCAGGGAGCTGGATTGGAGGTGGAGCAGCTGGGACTCGAACCAACACCAATGTGAGATGGCCTGCATTGTAGGCCAGGGCTTTAACCCACTGTGCCGCAGCAGTTCTTTTTTACTACAGTATGTTTATAGGCTGGCATGAGCGGAACCGAAACAGAACACAGGTCTTCCTGGTGGGTGGTTGGAAAGCACAGGTGGAAGACACTACGGGCCTGCTGGGCTCGGGCTGAGGGCCCTCAGAGAGCAGCTGCTGGGGCCTCCAACCCCATCCTTCCCCCCAAGACGGAGCTGCTGCTCCAGGACACGCTGGCTGGGTGCTGCAACTCGGCTGCACCTGTCTCGCTTTGCCATTTATGTATTCCACATCTCCCATGTGGAGGTAATCCGAGTGACAGAGCTGGTTTCCTGTCTCTCATATACTCAGGCCCAAATCCCACGTGACGGATGAATGCACAGAGCAGGCTCATCTCCGAGAATCGCGGCTGTTGGCAGACCTGGGAGGCAATGCACGAGTCTCCCGCACAGGCCCTGAGCTGCAGCGCACCGCATCCCGTAAGTTGCACACGTGCACTGCGTTGGCAGCTCAGGAGTCTGCTGCTGCCTGGGCTCACGCCTAGCAGCCCCACAATCAGAATTCAGCCCTTGGGGTCCACACTTTTCTGTGTTCATGGCACAAAGGTGAACCACAGGCACTCTGTGCAATCCCTCCCCCACACCCCCAAGTCCATCCGGTCTTTGCTTCATAATTAGATGAGCTCTTAGAGCTTGAACTCAGATGCGCTTTATCTTTGCAATGGACTTGGGGCCCTCAATTTGCCGACTTGGCAGTGAAGTGAAGTGGTGAGCTGGAGTCTGGAGAGCCGGGTCTGCTGGCGAGAGGCGGCGGCGACGCCCTGAGCACCCCTTTCCTGACGTCCACAGTGAACGGACTCTGAAGACAAGCATCTTGACACCGGCTGGGATCATAAATCCAGAGACCAGGCCTCAAACAAACAGCCTATTTCCTTTTAGTTATTTAAAAATACTATCACACAAACACTGACAAACCAACGTCACCTTTATCCTGTGGACTCTTCCCATTACTGTAGCCTAGATTAGACCCCAGGGGAAAGAACCTTGGGAAGCCGGGTCCTGGCCCCGAGCCCTGCTTGGAGTCTCAGCGGGGAAAACCCCTTGGACGGAGCTTCTAGGGTGGGGGTGTGGGGGTGGGGCAAGGAGAGCCGGGGAAAGCTGCTCACTCGGGGGGCCAGCAGCTGTGCTAGGTGCCAACCCACGGAATAAAGAAGATAAGTACATTTTGGTGCAAAACATCTCGAAATCCACACATACAAGGGGGCCTTCAAAATGTTAATGGTAAATGTACACCATGACAAACCTATGTGTGGATTCTAAAGTTTTTTTTTTTTTTTGGACTAAAATAAACTTATCTTTTTAATTCCTTTTTTTTTTTTTTTTTTGACAGGCAGAGTGGACAGTGAGAGAGAGACAGAGAGAAAGGTCTTCCATTGCCGTTGGTTCACCCTCCAATGGCTGCTGCGGCCAGCCCACGGCGCCTATCCAATGGCAGGAGCCAGGTGCTTCTCCTGGTCTCCCATGGGGTGCAGGGCCCAAGCACTTGGGCCATCCTCCACTGCACTCCCTGGCTACAGCAGAGAGCTGGCCTGGAAGAGGGGCAACCGGGACAGAATCCGGCGCCCCGACCGGGACTAGAACCTGGTGTGCCGGCGCCACAAGGCGCAGGATTAGCCTAGTGAGCTGCGGCACCGGCTGTAATTCCATCTCTCCATGAACTTTTTTTTTATTTCTTTAAGGACCCACAGATGTTGTCTCCTTGATTTTCTCATCTTGGTTACGGGGTCAGCGACATTTCTGTTCCACAGATGAACAAATCATCTTGAGGAGGTTAGGGATCTCGCCCGGGGTCATCAGTGAATTCCCTTCTGGAGCCAGGCCTTGAATGCCAAGAACAGGAGACTCAGTGCAAGACCCACTCTGAGGGTCTCAGATGAGGGTTGGTGGAGGCAGGGAGGCTGGAGGAGTCGGGGTGATGAAGATGATGGTTGGGGGGAGCATGTTCTGCTACCTCTCCGACAAGCCTGTAGCATTGCCCACCCCAGATGAATGTCAAGGGACAGAAGTTGGGAAGCAGGGGGCCTATGCCCGTGCCTGCTGGGCGAGCTTTCAAGTCTGTGGGTTGCCTGTAGAAATTTTAAAACCAGTCAATCTACAAGACGTTAGACAGTAATAAAAGACCCTTCTCTTCCTAAAAGTGCAGAGTTTAAAATACTTGTTATAAGTAAAATGCGACCTGGAGAAAATAAGAGAGAATTAACAACTAAGAAGAAACAACAAAAAAGAAAGCTTGTTTTGCACAACAGTACTCCAGAGGACCACGTGACTGGCTTCTGCATCCATAACTTTAAGGACCCACGATGCACAAAGTCTGCATGAAGAAAGCATCCTAAGAACCAGATGTAAGCGACAAGATCCAGGCAGTGTGAGTTAGGACTGTAAAGCACTGATGTCTTCCATGAGCAGACGCCATTAAAACAGAGTGCGCTGTGCATCTGCTCCAAGCTGGAGGGGACCTGTGACGTCGCCTTCACCACCAGCATACATCCTGATGAGACATCTCTGTCTTTTCAAGATGGTGCATTTTGTTTTGAATAATTTTTAAAAATAATTAGTTATTTATTTGAAAGGCAGAGTTAAGAGAGAGAGAGAGAGAAGAGAGAAGAGAGAGAGAGAAGAGAAACCTTCATCAGCTGGTCCACTCCCCAAATGCCACAGCAGCCATGCTGGGCTAGGCTGATGCCAGGAGACTGGAACTCCATCCAGGTCTCCCACGTGGGTGGCAGGGGCCCAAGCGCTTGCATCATCTTCTGCTGCTTTCCCAGGCACACTAGCTGGGAGCTGGATAGGAAGTGGAACAGCCAGGATGTGAACCAGCTCCTATACGGGGTGCTGGTGTTGCAGGCATCCAATGCACCACGCTGCCAGTCTCTCTTTGAACACTTGAAACCAAAACAGCACACCGAGTTTATGGTGAGCCCAGTAACACTACCGTGAAACAGAAAGAGCACACGGCAAGAACCCAAATCCAGTTTTCTCCTGCTGCACTTGGTGAACTTGCTTCCAGGACAGTGTGAGGAGAAGAGCTGCAACCCAGTCTCTGCCCAGTGCCGGAAAGATGACTTTGTATGAAATATCTTTAACAGAATCCTTTCCCCAGTCGCACACTCAAGCAAGCTGCAAACTTTAACACACTCACAAAAGTCAGTGATGACGAAGACGAGCAAAAACGACCTCTGGCTCGGAGGGAAGTTGCTTGGTGGCTGCGCGCAGCACATGCGAAGTGCCAGAACGTTCCGTGCTTTTCTGACACAGTTGCTAGATTATCCTGGGGGGGGGGGGTAGGATCAACACTTAAAAATCCATTACACACATTCCCTAGAAATTAAGTTACAGCCCTCTCTCAAAAACAGGTGCTATTTTAAAACGCAAATGTTCTTTTAATGAAAGAAATCACGTTTTCCTAATTGCGCTGATCAATCCTCTTTCAATTAGAACTACACAGAGAATGCAGATAGTGACTTTAAAATGAATCACTAAGACAATTCATCCAATTTGGCAAATTAAAAACAAACTGACTTTACTCACATGCCTGTCAAGGGCCTGAGTTAATCATCACTAAAGTGATTAATTGGTGACTGAGAAAAGGCAGAGAGCGATCATCGTGTTACAAAGACAGTCTGTTCATCACCACAGAAGCATGGATGTCCACAGGGGACTGGTTCCAGGAACCCCCTAGGATGCCCAAATCCATGGATGCTCAGGCCCCTTCCACAGCACAGAACCTGCTGGTATCCCCCTCCAAACTTCACAGAATTTCCACATTGCTTATAATATCTAATCAACACAAAGGCCAAGTAAATGCCACATAAACAGTTGTTCTATTGAACTGCTTAGGGGATAAGGACAATAAGTTTATACACAGTGGGAAATTTTTTAATATTAATTTTTTTAAATTAAGATTTATTTATTTACTTGAAAGTCAGAGTTACACAGAGACAGGAGAGGCAGAGAGAGAGAGAGAGAGAGAGAGAGAGGTCTTCCATCCGCTGGTTCACTCCCCAGTTGGCCGCAACAGCCACAGCTGTGCCAAGCTGAAGCCAGGAGCCAGGAGCTTCTTCTGGGTCTCCCACAAGGGTGCAGGAGCCCGAGGACTTGGGTCATCCTCCACTGCTTTCCCAGGCCATAGAAGAAAGCAGGATCAGAAGTGGAGCAGGCAGGATTTGAACGGGTGCCAACATGGGACGCCGGCACTGCAGGTGGCGGCTTTACCTGCTACATCACAGTGCCAGCCCCTTTAATATCTTCAATCCATGGGGCTGGCACTGTGGCATAGTGGGTAAAGCTGCCGCCTGCAACAATGGTAAGGGCACTGGTTTGTGTCTTGGCTGCTCTACTTCCAATCCAGCTCCCTGATGGTGGCTTGGGAAAAGCAGCAGAGATGGCCTAGGTGCTTGGGCCCCAGCCACCCACACGGGAGATTCAGATGAGGCTGCTGGCTGCTGGCTGCTGGCTTCAGTCTGACTCAGCTCCGGCTGTTGTGACCACTTAGGGAGTGACAAGCAGATGGAAGACATCTCTCTCTCCCTCTCTCTCTCTCTCCTCTGTGACTCTGACTCTCAAATAAATAAATAAATCTTTAAAATATTCAACCCATAGTTGGCTGCATCTACAGATGTAGAAACTGCCCATTGTATCCGGCTGCCCTGGGGCACTTAAAGGCATTTAGCACAGCAGGCTGGAAAATCTGCAGAATTCACCTGTACTTTTATCTGCAGGATGTGCTGCACTGTGGGACTACAACACCAGCGGGGAGCTCTTGGAGGGCTGAGAGATGCTCTAAGAACCCAAAGGAAAAAGGCCTCAGATGAAACACGCCCTCGGCTGGCTCTGTGCATCGCAGGGAAGAGCCAGGACATCAGAGGTCTGGGTTCAGCCGCACGCCTGCTGGGTCCAGGACTCGCCACTTCCTGGCCGGGAGAGAGATCACAGTGAAGGGAACTGGGAGGCCGGCTGCAGCTCTGCCCCTCCATGCCCTCCGTCTTGCCCGGTTTTGTGAACAATAAAATCAGGGGAAATCCTAGGGGCCAGGGAAGATGGCACGGGAGCCAAGTGGGCTGCAGGGCTGACCTCTGCCTCACCACGCGGAAGCTCCAACTCGGCTCTGCCCGTGTGTCGGGGTCAGCGACAGAATTCACTTTCGAAAGATAATTCATTCAGAACAAGAAGAAGCAAAGATGAAGCCATTTTTCCAAACGAACAGCTTGCAGAGATCTCGTGTCTCAGCACCAACCTCCTGCACTTGAGGAGGCGGCTGCCCGGGGCCTGCCCGGACTCTGCTCCCAGACCCAAGCACACGTCAGCTGCAACCTGTGCGTGCGACACGAGAGCGCACTCTGGGGCAAGGCTGGGTTTTACAGCAGGGATCCAAAGGTGCGTCTAGAAAACTGGCTTGATGACATGGGCAGATTTTTCAGCAAGGACCCTCAAGTGGGACAAAAGGTTCCAGTGTCTTCTTTTTCTCTGTGGATAAAGTCAAGATTGCTGAGCTGGGCTGTCGCATCGGCCACCCGAGATGGCAACAGTCATGCGTGCTTGGCCACATGTCAGGCCTGCGCTTGACCACAGCCCCTGATGCAGGCCCACTGGTCCCAGCTCAGACACACCCTGTAAACCTTCAGGCGGTCATCTCGGCTCCGGGCTCCCTCCACAGAGGTCTCCTGTCTTTGTCTAACCCCAAGGTTTCCGTCTAAGTCAGCGACCTCACCTTCTACCTCGTAAGGCTTGTGTGTGACTTATGTTCCCTTCCCTTTGTGCTGCATCCCAACTCCTTCCGGCTCCTTCCGGCTCCTTCTCTATTGTGCCCAGGAGAAGGGCTCCTCCTCCTCCCCAAAGACAAAGCCTTCTTCAGTTCTCTCAGTCCGGCTTCCTCCTGCCGCACCCAGGCCTTACTTCATCGTGTAATTACCCCTACCTATAATTTCTGTTACGGCTGTCACAGTACACATTGCTTTCTGAATTCACAGCAAATCGTCAAAACTACCTATGTCACAGAAACACGTAAGGCAGAAATTATAAGAGATATGGAATAGCAATCCAGGAAGCCCAGAAAGAACATAAATATACACAAGGGACGAACTTAAGGACGGCCAAAAGGACAAAAGTAAATAAATAAAACCCGTCTTGTCTAAGGTGATGAGTCTCCACGTGGAAGAGCAGAGCACCACGAACAGAGACCACAGCCCGACATGGCCACTGCACGGCTCAGAACACCACGGATGTGGCCGGGGGCGCGAGTCAGACTGACACCTGCCCTTGCAGCAGCCAGGCTGGGGGCTGGACAAGAGTTTTCCCTAATGAAGTTCTGGCGCTCACTGGCGAGTTCCACGTGAGGGTGCGCTCACACATCTTTCGGTATCTTCGAGAGGTGGATGCTGTGGCTCCGTGGCTGACGCTGCCACTTGGGACGCCCACATCCCGTTATCGGGAGTGCTTGGTTTCAGTCCTGGCTACTCTGCTTCCTGCGAACGGGGAGTGAACCAGTGGATGGGAGATTCTCTCTCTTGAGAGAAAGCGCTTTGAACCAGTGCCCCTGTGGGATGCCAGCACCAGAGGCCGTGTCTGAACCCATTCCTCCACGTCACCCCACGGTGCAGTCCCGAACGGGAATGTCACGGAATAAAGCACAGGGCATGTGTAAAGACAGACAGTAGAGACTCCAAGCGAAATAAGTAAATGAGTGAGGCCGGCGCCGCGGCTCACTAGGCTAATCCTCCGCCTTGCGGCGCCAGCACATCGGGTTCTAGTCCCGGTCGGGTCGCCGGATTCTGTCCCGGTTGCCCCTCTTCCAGGCCAGCTCTCTGCTGTGGCCCAGGAGTGCAGTGGAGGATGGCCCAAGTGCTTGGGCCCTGCACCCCATGGGAGACCAGGAGAAGCACCTGGCTCCTGCCTTCGGATCAGCGCAGTGCGCCGGCCGCAGCGGCCATTGGAGGGTGAACCAACAGCAAAAGGAAGACCTTTCTCTCTGTCTCTCTCTCTCACTGTCCACTCTGCCTGTCAAAAACAAACAAACAAACAAAAAAAAGTAAATGAGTGAACGTGCTGAGAACGCTAGATCCCGCTACGAGGTAAAGCAGGGCACGCCGCGGTTTCCAGCAGCTGCGCAAGGAGCACCTGTTCACGGCTGATGCCAGAGATGCCTGCTTGCAGCCCCTGCTGGGCGGGCGCTGGGCCGGCTCAGAAGGAACCCGAGCCTCACCTGGTGCTCAGCCCAGCCTCGGGGACTGCTTTGACGGCTCCGAGAACGTACACTCTACTCACTGACTTTCAACCCTACTCACTGACCTTCGGGTTTTAGAGTCAAATTACAATACAACAAGGACAGTGGTTACAGCACGGGTGGAAGTGTTAACCGTGTGGGGGTAAAAGTGTGGCTGGCAGAGGTGGGACGGGCCAGGCTAGAAGAAATCGAGAAGCAAGGTAGAAGCTCACGCTGCCCAGCCCCGAGGTCGCCTGCTGACATCGGTCCACTCACATCAACTGCGCCTTCAAACAGGTCCTAGGCTCCCTCTCCCCACGGCTGGCCCAGGGGCTTCCGAGAGCGTGGCCACAGCGAGCCTTGCTCTGCCGCAGCTGCCCGGGGCCTCACTGCCACGAGCGCCGGGCGGTCTCTGCTGTGGTTTGGACAGGGGTTGAGTGTCTCCCGAGCCTTTGTGGGTGGGAGTTTAATCCTCTCTGTGAAGCAGGAACAGGATGGAAACCTAACCTAGCTATGGTGTCTAAAGGTGAGGTCTTTGGGTGGGAGCCCCATGACTTTATGAGAAGGGCGGGGGAGGGGAGCAGAGCAGCGGGGAGAGGGAGAAGCAGAGAGACCAACCAAGAGAGACACGGACGTGCACATGTGAGAGACACGGATGTGCACATGTGTGTTCGTGTCTCTGCCGTGTGTTGCTCTGCGCCCCTCAGGACTCTGCCTGCGAGGAGGCCGGCACCAGATAAGGCCCCAGACTTTGTACCTCCTGAACCACGACACCAAATAAACTCCTGTGGATAAAGTAGCCTGTCTCGGGTATGCCACTACGGTGATGACGACCAGACTACTACAGCCCCGAGAGGCCCGGCCTGCCCCTCAGTGGGCAAAGTGGAGCTCCACAGGAGAGCAGCCACGCCGTAGGCAAACCACAGGAGAGCGGCCACGCCGTGGGCAAACCACAGGAGAGCAGCCACGCCGTGGGCAAACCACAGGAGAGCAGCCACGCCTTCCTCTCCTCCTTCCCATCTGCAGCTGCTCCCCCTGGCTCCCGTGCCGGTAGCAGTGTCCCCCGTGCCCCGGTCCTCCATCACGTCTTGCAGCCCTCTGGCCTCCTGCGTTTCGAGAGCGTCTCCCACAGGCCACATGCTTTGGCCGAGCAGGTCTTGCTCTCAAGGTGAGCCCACCCGGAAGACATTCACACCTAGAGCCCAAGACTGCAGGCCCGGGAGTGGGAGAGGGAGAACGAGGAGAATAAACGTGCCTTTTGAAGGCCTTTACCATGGAAAGAGTGGTGACTGGGACTTCCTGAGCACAATTCCACTCATCGGAAAGACACACGGAAAAATCCTCTATCTGATCCCTGGGATCGGCCGAGTCAGCGGTGGTGAAGTGGTGACCCTGCAGGTGACAAGCAGCCTTGCACGCACTCCTCAGGACACCTCGGGCCGGGCGTTAGGTTAACCATGAGCAAACAAGCTCAGAGAACTGGGGCAGCCGACCCAGGCTGGGGCCACACCACGCTTCGGGTTCTTTCCGTCACACCGACGGGATCATTAACTGCCAGTTGCTCTGAGTGAACCCGCACGGAGCCAGGCTCCTGTGGCAGTCTCCAGACACCCCGAATGTGTGGCCGGAGAGGAAACAGCACAGGTAGGAGAGCGTGGGAAGACGGGGATTCGGTCCTGGAGCTCGACCACGCGTGCTCCCTGGGGTGGCGGCTCAGGTACCTCCCGTGATAACACTCCATAACTGTCCTTCCAGGTCTTCCTTCTGCTTCCCAACACCACGCCAGGGTTTTGCGGTGTCCTTGCCAGGCACGTGCGACAACTTCCTGCCGGGGCCCCGCGGGCTCACAGCTGAACCACCCCACGCTGGGGGCAGCGCCTTCCCCCTGAGCTGGGAGAGTTAAGAGTTGGGGCCCCTCCAAGGTCACGGCTCTGATGGCTTCTGGAGAAGCTGCGACAGGGCATGAAGGGCCCCTGGGACACCTCCCGGCTCGGACACAAGCCCACCTGCTGGAGGCTGCTCTCAGGCTCAGTGGTGCGTTCCTTTCCTTTTAAATCCATCTGAGATCATCTCGTGTGCTCTTGGGACAAACGAGAACTTTGTTAAAATCCAAACCAAGACACGTCGGTGTCTTTTGGAAGGAACGGGTTGGGAACAAGGCACAGGCGGGAAGAAGCCTGCCCGTTTTGGTAAACAGACGTGAATGTTTCCAAGGTTCAGCAGGGTGGAGTTTCCAGGGAATCCATGAAGGGCTCAGGCAGCCCAAAGAGCGGGCAGAAGACCCAGAGGGACCTGGCGGACAAGGCTCTCTCCTTCAGGTCAGCTGTACGGCTTGGTTTCTGAAGCCACTTGCTAACTCACTCACTCGCTCATCACACACGCGTTAATAGCATTCGGCATGGGAAGCCACCGGGCTAGCGGCTGGCCGTTCCAAAAGGAGAGGTAGCTGAGAGTTTGCGTCATACCTGTACTGAGGAGGTGGGACAGAGACACCAGCGGGGGCCACGGGAAAGGCCTTAAGTACAGAGTAGGCAGTTTGACCTTTGACAATGGACATGCGCCGGGGAGTCTTGAAAAGCAGGGTCGTGAGATGAATACCCAGATTTCTAAAATGGTCACTCGGGTGGCAGCCCAGAGGGGCCCCTGGAGGGTGCCAGAGTCAGACGGCGCGACAGGAGATGGAACAGAGGCAGGAAAGTGGAAACAGATCGGAAACCTTCAGATGCAAATTCCACAGACGTCTGGGCTGAAACGAGGGGGTGAGAGGAGGTGCCCATGCCGTCTCTCCAGTTTCTGGCATGAAGTGCTCAGCGACTGGGAGAGGACACAGAGGACGTTCAGGGACACAGACAACTGCTTGGTTCTGGACTCACAGCTTGAAGGCCTGGTTGGGGGGAGGGGGTCCGTGAGAAGGACGGACAGCCGAATGTGGAGCTCCCCAGAAAGGTGAGGATGTGTTGGCGAACCCACAGGACAAGGATAAGGAGGTCCAGGGACCGCCAACAGGGAGCGGTCATTCCCAAGCGTGGAGGAGCAAGATGCGTGGCAGGGAGATGGGATATTTCATCTGCTCCCTGGCCCTCGCATCTCTGTCCTCCCCACCAAACACGTGCAGCTTGGGCAAGCAAATGAGGCCTGCATACAGAGGCCTACGTGGAGAGGTGCCATCTGGAAACTGAACCCCCACCCTGCTGACCTAGAATCAGGTGAGCATTTGAGACTGAGAACCTTCAGGAAGGGCAGCGATGGAGGAAACATCAGAATTGTCTCAGGAGGACACCAAGAAAGGCTGTCTGACCACAAGTAAGTATTTGGACCCCCTAGGCGGCTGAGACGCCACCCTGAACCTGGTCGCCTGCGAGCAGGACCCCAGGCAGGCAGGGGTCACGGGCAGCAGATCAGAGTAGACAGCCGGTTCTCATGCTGGGCCAAGGCCAGATGTCCGCTCTGGGCTCGGTGGCTCCAGAGAGAAGGGAAGGCTTCTGTGGATGCCCCCAAAGAAGTCGTCCGAAGGCTTGCGGGAGGAATCTCCCCAATCCCATGAGTCCTCTGAGGCCTCCTCCTGGCACGGCACTGGGTGGCGCTGAGTGCAGTGCCTTAGCCTTAGGTCCCCTCCTAGGCTCACCATCCCATTAGGTTCTCACTGATGCGTGATCCCCAGCTGGGTGACCCCGGCCAGGTCATTCAGCCTTTGGGCTCCTGGTTCCTCCCCTGGACAACACCAAACCCAAGGAGCAGACACACAAACCCAGCCGGCACAAAAGGAAGGGGCTCTACCCGGTGATTCCAGTGGGTCCCAGACTTGCAGGCCGGCTGCTTAGGTTCCTGGGGAGTTTGTCACAAATGCAGTGCTAAAGGTACAGTGTGCAGATGTTTGACCCTGAGCCCGGGGCAGGACAAGTGCACGGGACCTTTAATGAAGATTCTGATGAACAGCCAGAGTTGGGAACCACTGGCTTGAATGATGACTGAAGTTGCTTCCAGCTCTTACAACGTACAACTCAATGCAAAGCTTTAACAAATGTCCACAACCAATTCAGTGAGTGTGCCCCAAAACCCATGCAGACACCGTTTATGCTTGCTGACCAGTAACTCTCCTGCCTCAAAGAAAACAGAACAAGACAAATTGGTCAGGGGACCTAAAATAGACCCATCGCCTACTCCTTGAATCAGTCTGCTAAAACCGAAACAGACACCCCACGCCCCCGCACCTAGAAGAGGGCTGGCCCAGGGCCACAGCCTCTAATTCCATCTGGGCCAGGGGTTTGCAACTGGGACCAGGGCAGCAGGGTTCCCCCTTGTCTCTTTTCTTCTGCTCTGCTGATGGAAATCACCACGGCATGCTGGGAGAACTCACATGGGGTATGCTCCCGCTGACACTGGGGGGTCAGGGCACAGGGGACGAGCGTCACCTGCACCACCATTGGACCCCCACGTGCCTGCACCAAGATGAACTCAAACGCTCGAAGGGAAAGGGTTCCCAGACCAAGTGTTCCCAAAAGGAGCACGGGGGAGGAGCACGTGTTTTGCTTCCAGACCTAAGGCGAGTCCAGCTTGTCAGCATCAAGAGCTATCTATCTTATCTGCCCCGGCCGGCGCTGGGGGCGGAGGCAGTCCACACCACCGGTCAGCAGTTGCAACTTCCTTTAGCTAAACCTGCTGGCACTCGGGCCTGACAGCAAGCAGGGTCAGAGCGATGGAAAGAATGACAGGGTGTCCTTCCACCTTCCTGAGGCCTGCTGATACGGAAACCGGCTGGCGCGGGCGGCGCTGGAAACTCTGAATCCCTCCCCGCTCGGGCTGGATGACCGAGGAATAATGAGAGCGGGGCGCGTGCTGAAATATCACGGCGGCTCACTGGACTGCAGCACGTCCTGCGGCCTCCAGGCTGCTGTAGCCTGCGGCAGCTTGCAAAGACAAGCCCGGGACTGGCTTCTTAGGAGAACTGTGTCTGGGGACTTCCACAAGCGTGCCCAGGCCGGCTCCTCGCCTTGGTGCCCACACACCGTGACCCTTAGAGGTGTGTAGTCTTCACCTCCCTCTGTGGGTGAGGGTGTCTGTTCAGCACCAGGGAGCCAACCACCAGGTCCTTCGAGTCTGACTCCTGGTGACCTGCACACTGCTTACCACTGGGGCTACGTTCCATGCACCTTGCATACGCACACGCTGGAAGTCAGGAGGAAACGCAGGGAGGCAAGCCATGCGGGGGAGGCTTGTGAACAGGGACTGGGAAGCGGGGAGGAGGGGGAGCAGGGGGAGCAGGGGGAGCAGGGGGAGTGGGGAGGGGGAGGAGGAGGAGAGTTTTGGGGAAAAACTTCAAAAGTGTCCTTTAGACAGGCGCTGGGAGAACAGCCAGAAAAGAACCCAAGCGCTGAGCAATGAGATCGAGAACCTTCCAGACAGGGACCAGGGATGCTCTAGAGCACCTCAGTCTGTGTGGGAAGGAGCACCTGAGACCACCTTCTAGGCCAGGGCGCGTGCACCTCCCTAACGGCTGTTTTTGTTTTAGAAATGAGATCGGGGCTCATGCTAACGTACCGCTATGGCTCACTTGACTGGCCATCAGCCAGTCCCATCCCACGGGTTCCAGGTGGGACGTGCTACAGCCCCAGAGGCAGCTGGTGACCCAGGACCTGCTGGGAGGGTCACCTGTCCCAGTGTCCTGGCCAAATCAGGGTCCCAAACAATGAACGGCTGTTACTCCTCAAGACCATTTCATCTAGAAAGTCTTCCCTTGTACTTGGAAGGATTCCTCAAATCAAAGAATAGGAGTGAGAGAAAGACGTGGGGAGGGCAGGAGGAGGAACAGGGGGAGGAGGAGGAGAGGGGAGAGGAGGAAATTCCAACGTACTACCTCCAACTCTCCTTCTGCCTCTGCTAAATTGCAGTCAAATGCAAAAGCAAAACGGCTGCCATCTGAGAGGTCGAGGCCAACACACACAAGGAAGCAAATCACTAAGAAGGAGAAGCCTCTACGGCTTACAGGCAGCCTCAGTACGGGGAGTGGTGGCCTGGGGTGGGCCGAGAGGCAGGTGACGGGGTGCCTCCCGGCTCAGCTGCACTCTCGCAAAGCCCTTAGGTTGCAAAAGCAGGGGCCAGCCTGCCTGAGAGCCCCAGCTCTGAACTTGCTAGCAGGATGCCAAGAGGGCATCCCCTTTCCAGCCCAGACTGTGCACCCCTTGCAGGGAGCCTCTCCGCTCTTTACCCTGGGCAAGGTGTCTTCCGGGTCCAAGGTGAGGGGCAACGCAGACTCCTCCCCAGGACTGCTCTGGACCAGAGGAGGGGGTCTATGCATGTGAGCAAAGTCACCGCAGACCTCAGGGACTTGCCTGGGCCACGGGAAGTCACTCGTCCACTGAGCGCATGGTCAGGGGGCAGGCGCGGTTCCTGGTGCTGGGGACTCAGCGGTGAGCGGTCAGCAAGGTGACTGCCTCCTCCCAGCCAAGATTCCAGCAGACGGGAAGCAGCTGTGTACTCAGATGTCAGCAAGGGTCAGCGCTGCGGAGGCACTGAGGGGACAGAGGGCAGGGCTGCAGGGGCAGTGCTCTGTGTGTGTCCTTTCTGAGCCAACCACAGAACCCCAGGGAGGCCACAGGGAGTAAGCCATGTGTGTCTGGGGCAAGGACATTCCAGGTCTCCAGGCCCTGCGACGCGCCCACGCTCGGCACACTGGAGTGACAGCCAGAGGCCAGGGTGGTCCCTGCCGCGACCCAGGCAGAATGGAGGAGGTGGGTCTGCAGAGGCAGGCCGCCCAGCTCGGACAACTTCACTGCCTGGGCGGGCATCTGCGCTTGCACTCGGCGTGCTAGGGAGTCCCGAGCCAGAGACCCGGATACGTTTCGGAAAGCCCACCGGCTGCTCTGCCAGTGTCCGAGCCCCAGGACAGCCGTGGGGCCTGAGAATCAGCAGGCGACTTGCAAGGCTGGGTCCAGGCGGTGAGGGGCGCTGGCCGGGGCGAGACAAGTGAGACTGACAAGTAGGCAAACCTGGCACATGTTGTGGAGACACGCCCAGGACTTCACAGCCGGGCTGGAGTGGGGCGGGGGGCGGGGCCGCATGCAGAGTGGCTGGCACCACCTGGGAACATCAGCGAGACAGCCACCTGCTCTTGGTTTGGGAACAAGAGCGCTTCCTCAGGATTCCTGCAGACGCCCTCCCTGGGCCTCCCAAGGGCTGATTCCTCTGATGCTGTTGCAGGGTGCACTGCGTTTGTGACCTCTTGGCCCCTTCCGAATTCACCTGCCAAAGCCCCGGCTGCCAGAGCCATCAAATGTGGCTATATTTGGCGTTAGGGCCTTGAAAGAGGCAATCAAGTGAAAATGAGGTCAGTAGGGTGGGCACTGACCCAAGCTGACTGCTGGCTCCGAGGAAAGCTGGCCCACAAAGGGACACTGGACACGTGCACACCCGGAGGGACCACTCCGTGAGGGCACGGGGAGAAACCGCCAGCCGCCAGCCACGGGGAAGGGCTCAGGAGAGACCAAGCCTGCTGACCCCTGCCCCTGGCCTTCCAGCCTCGGGGACTGTGGTCTTCTGTTTCGGCAGTGGGAGCAGACAGACACAGCCACCAGCAGTGTCTGGCTTTAATCTCTCCAGGGGGACAAAATAAACCGCAATTTCCATAGACCCCATGACCACAGTGGCTGTCACAGAGACCTGAGGCTTATCACTGAAAAGACAAACTATGCCTTCCCATCTCTCTCTCTCTCTCTCTCTCTCTCTCTCTCTCTCTCTCTCTCTCACACACACACACACACACACACACACACACTTATTACCAATTACCCACTACCTCAGGACAACTTCTCGCTCTTTCCTAATTTTCAAAAAATTTCTTCCTTTTCTTTATTTGAAAGGCAGACAGACAGACAGGGAGATGGATCTCCCATTTGCTAGGTCACTCCCCAGATGCCCGCAGCAGCCCAGGCTGGGGCAGGCCAATGCCAGGAGCGTGGAACTCTACCTGGTCTGCTGTGTGGGCGGCAGGGACCTGGGTCCGTGAGGCATCACCGGCCACCCCCAAGGGTGTGTATTAGCAGGAAGCTGGACTGGAGGGCAGAGCTGGGACTAGAACCTAAGGACTGTGGTTCAGGACGTAGGCATCCCTCAAGTGGCTTCTCCCATCCAAGTGCTATCAGGCCCGACCCCACTTCACTTCCGTGATAGGCAACAGCAGGTGCACGCTGGGTGGTATGGCCGTAGACTCAAGGGCCTTCTCCATCACTGCCAGGATGCCTGCCCTCACCTCTCTTTGGCCCTCTTGCTGCTGCACCCTACTGGACTCCAGAGGACAGTGTGGACCGGAGACCAGGTGTGGACACCTCCAGGACCCCCAGCCTTCTGGTTGTCTTCCTGCAGCCACTGGGTGATCTTAACATTTCCCTCCCATGTTCTAAGGGCAGAAAAATCTCACGCCCTCTTTCAAGTCACCCCCATCAAAGCCCTGACCTGGTCCTCAGAAGATCATGAATGCAGAGGGAAATCAGGAACTCAGTGATGCTGGGAATACCCAAACTGCCTCCTCTGGAATGAGCTACCAGGAAAAACACGCCTTCCAAGAGCAGAGAGCAGGAAAAACACGCCTTCCAAGAGCAGAGCGTGTCTCTTTCTGAATGTCTCCACCTAAGCTAAGAAGACAGATGTTATCATGGCTAAAAAAAAAAGTACCATGTAAAAATCAAACTTGGTAATGACTGTTCTTGTGAATGCCTCCTTAAATACATCCTCCGTACACGAGGTTTTCTCTTCCCCACCATGGCTGACTGCAGGGGAAAATGACACTCCGCCATGGACTACAAGCCGGCTGATATACACATCTACTGAGGCCCTCGCCAAATTGCCAGGTGAGGTGGCGTTAATTAGGGCCGGCCAGCAGGAAAATGACAGAGGATGCAGACGACCGCAGTCCAGGGGAGGTAAACACGACAAGATTACAAGCGCGTTCTCACACCAGGCCGGGTGCTGACAAACTAAAGAGAGCGGGCGGGCGGGGCTCTGCAAACCCCCGCAGTGCAGGTGCCCCTCGCCTGGTGACAGTCTGTGTGCTCCTCCCTCAGGCTGGCTCCCAGCCCGGGAGGCACGTGGATCACACAGTGATACGCACCCCCATCCCGGGTCGCAGGGAGCCACAGGTGCACGGGGGCCAAGCGGGGTGTCGGGTCCCCTTGTGGTTGCACCCTTCTGTGTGCTGCAAGGACAGTGCTTTGGTGCTGTACCCCAACTGTGCCTTCATGATGAAAATACTCCATAGACTATCCTTTCTAAAACAAATGTTCTCTTTTTCTAGGGAGATTAATAACAGAATTATAAAAAGTCGAATAATTTCCAAGAATTACCAGAGTTTAGCTGCACCCTTTTAACTCACTGTGGTGACTATTTAGAACATCAACAGCTCTAAGGTGCCTCAGGGACCCTACAGAAAAACATAAAAGAAGGAAATGTATAGGCTACAGAAGCAGCACCTACCGGGACACCATTCCCACTTTGCATTCATATTAGGTCTTACTAAGTCAAGGACATGTATTATAATTACTATAATGACCAGGCCGGCGCCGCGGCTCACTAGGCTAATCCTCCGCCTAGCGGCGCCGGCACACCGGGTTCTAGTCCCGGTCGGGGCGCCGGATTCTGTCCCGGTTGTCCCTCTTCCAGGCCAGCTCTCTGCTGTGGCCAGGGAGTGCAGTGGAGGATGGCCCAGGTGCTTGGGCCCTGCACCCCATGGGAGACCAGGAGAAGCACCTGGCTCCTGGCTCCTGCCATCGGATCAGCGCGGTGCGCCGGCCGTAGCGTGCCGGCCGCGGCGGCCATTGGAGGGTGAACCAACGGCAAAGGAAGACCTTTCTCTCTGTCTCTCTCTCTCACTGTCCACTCTGCCTGTCAAAAAAAAATTACTATAATGACCACTAAAGAAAGGGTAAAGGGATATCTGACGGACAAGTTAGTGGACGGGGGTAATAATTCTTAAAAACACACAATTGATTCAAAAAGAGACAGAAAAGGAAACAAAAGGGAATAGAGAGTAAGTGGAACAAGCGGTACTGGTGCGGGCCCCACAAGTCTACTCAGAAGAGAGCTGGCACAGCTATTCTCTTATCAAGCATGACTTTAAGACAAGAAGCACTTGGTGCATCAGTTAAGACCCCACTTGGGACCCTCACACACTCACATCCCATGTCGGAGTGCCTGGGCTGGAGGCCCCGCTCTGCTTTCAGGCCAGCTTCCTGCTAACACACACCCTGGGAGGCAGCAGGTGATGGCTCAAGTAGTTGGGTCCCTGCTACCCACGTGGGAGACCTGGATGGAGTTCTGGGCTCCTGGTTTTATTCTGGGCCAGCCCCTGCTTTTGTGTGTATTTAGGAAGCAAACCAATGATGGAAGAGCCTCTAACAAAAAACAAATAAAAGACAGGATTCCAGAGTTGTCCCTCAGTACCCACAAGGGGTGGGTTTCAAGACCCCCTGTGGAAACCAAGATCCATGGATGTTCAAGTCCCTTATATGCAACAGCGTGGTGTTTGCACAGAGCTCACACGCATTCTCCCATGCACAGTAAGTCATCTCCAGATTACTTACAATACCTAATGCAGCACCTATGCTGTGCAGTTACACTGTGCCGTTCAGGGATAACAAGAAAAAGGTTCTACACGTGCTCAGTGCGGATGCAACATTTTATGCTGTGTTTTCGAACTGCAGTTGGTTGAATTCTCAACACGGAACCCATGGATAAGGACAGCCAGCTGTGCCTGAGAAGCTTGGAATCTCGCGGGGACGGAAAACTATGTCACTGTTGAAGCACAAAGTCTATCTACACCAACGACAGGTGAATACTGGAGTGAGCAGAGGACTAGATTTGGATGCTCTGGAAGCTTCTTGGGCACAGTAATCGTCCATGTCTTGAATGGGAGGTCACGGCCAGGGCTCGTTGCCTGAATAAAGACACAGCAATGCCTGTGGTCTCAGAGGAAGAAGGCTGCAGGGGCACAGAGAGGCCACTTTCCTTACGAGGAGCACGGGACCGAGACAGAGCCCGGATCCAGCCCTCGCTTCTGGACACAGCACAGCCTCCGCCAAAGATGTATTTATGCACTTACTGTATACCAGGAGTACTTTTAGGAGCCAGGATGTACAAAATGAAACACGCTGGCCTCCAGCTACTCATATCCTGGTAGGAAGAGACGGGCAGCAAACAACACAGAAAACACGCGGTGTGCCATGGAGTGAGCAGCACAGAGCCTAAGTGTGGGGGAGGGGGTTCCAGCTGAGGTACAACGGCCGGGGCCGGTCCCCCTGCAAGGGTCACACTTGGGCCAAGACCAGAGGGAGGTGGTCTGCTCCCTAGGAGGCAGGAGGCGGGACCTGGGTGTATTCGAGGAGCAACACAATAGGACATCCCTGGGAGGGGCAGGATGAAGTGAGGGGCCCTACTGCTGAGCTTCAAGAAGCACAGCTGTCTTAAGACCAGGGGAGCTTAAGCCTTTAACCTGAATTGCACTGCATTCCAGCTCAACTAATCCCTCTACCTAGATAAAGGGCTTGGAGATGTCACACAGCGGAGACTACAACTGTTGTGCTAACAGCCAATGCCCACAATTGTGTGCAGGTCCACAGAACCTATACGCCATCTAATTCAACTCATCCTCCCTTCCTGGCCCGACTACAGCGGAAAGTGGCTGCACGGCAAATCGCAATGCGCCTGGAGTTCAGGAAGTAAGCAGTACCACCGAGATGGTGCCAACCAATCCCCAGCGTCCGCACATCTCACGTGTCTGCAGTCTAAGGTGTCAGGTGCGCTCTCACGAGGCGAGGCGGAGAGAACAGCGCCAGCAGGTGTAAGAGGACGGGAAGCCCCTCCTCGCACTCCCCCAGACCTTCAGCTCTGTCTTTTTCCCCCCTTCCTCTGCCATGTTTAGATAGATCAGGGCAAATCACCCAGTCTGGTCCTGCCAAGGCAACTTCAGGAGGGACTCAAAATTTCACAAATCTACAGCTGGCTAATTTTTAAGTTGAGAATTTCATACACCCTGCTAATGGTGTGATAAATATCCAAATAGCCCTTGGCAGAAAAAAAGGCATCCCACTCCTGAAATAGGTGAAAGACAAGTATGAGTGACCCAGAAAAATCTGGGAAAACCCCCCAAATTCACCCAAAGGTCTGAACTTCCATTCTGGAGAGAGGCTGTGGAGGCGCAGGCTAGCCCTGCGGGCACATGGGCTGCTGGGAGCCAGGACCATGCTTCCGCTGGTGCCCCTGCTCCCATCGTTAGCTCCTGGAGATGCTGTCCAACCACATGCCCATGTACTTTGGACACTGTCCTCTGATGGACAGGGTTAAAAAAAAAGTCTGACAAAATGCAAGGCTTGGTTCTGGGCTGCCGCTACTCTGCATAGAGATGCTGGTCAGGCGGTGACTGGGTTCAGGGTGCGCGTCCCATCCTCCCCGTGTGAGGAGGACAACACCACGATGGGACAATCCGTGCCGTCACACCGGCATAAAGACTCCTGAGGCTTCTTCATGCAAGCCAGCTCCCTGGGGCCACCCAGGTGCCTACTGTTAGCCACACCAGGGCTCCAGTCCATAATCACTCCCAAGCCCTCACCTACAGAAGTGAGCAGGGCTCAGTCATCTGCTCCTGGTGATGTTTTCTGTCTCTTGGCCAAGGCTGTCTTGTCCCTGACCAGGTTTTCCTACAGAGCGTCTGTGTCCTTTCTCAATCCACAATGGCAGGAAAACATCAACGGCTGGACTCAGCTGGAGCGCTGAGGGGCCAGGGTAAAGGATGGCCGTGCTGGTGCTTCCAGGGGCCTCTGGGGACAAGCGGGCAGAGGCTGGGGCAGGTTCCCGGCACTCACGGAGGCTCTAGAACGTAGAGGACCCGAGGGCACGGTGGTCATGGCCGAGGCCAAGGCCCGTCCCCTTCACTCCGAAACGAGCTCAGCCTCCCTGCACCCAGGCGGCTGTGAGACGCGACGCCCACTCTACAGTGACGGCGTCTCGGTCCAGCCTCGTAACCAAGATGCCCCTTCTGAGATGATCTCCGGTGAGATCAGGGACAGGCCTAGCAGACAGGCCTGAAGCTCGACCGCTGGCCATTTCAGGTTGCAGCATCGCATTCCTCACCTGACTGCCACACGGCCACACAGTGCTAGGGACTGTCGGGGCAGCAGGCACAACTACTTCCTCAGGATTACAACACACTCTTGTCTTCTTGAGTCTTTAGGAACAAGCTAGGGCTGTGCCACTGGCAGAGGTGCCAGCCTGGACCACAGCAAGCTGCCAAGAAAGGCTGCCATCCCTGCTCTCTGCCGTGACCAACAAAATACCCAGAGCTGTGCCCCCGTGCAGGCCAGAGGAGAGCCCAGGGCAGTCTGAACTGCACAACTGGGCCTGCTCTGGATGGAGGGGGAGGCAGCTAGGAGGCCAAGGACCCAGAGCCTTCACAGGTGGGGTTGGGGGCTGCGGAGAAAGGACCTGGCCCCACAGAGGAGGAAACAGGCTCAGTAAATACGCACATGGCAAACTGAGCCAGAATCAGTCCCTGCCTGATGCGTGAGTGTTCAAAGCCGAGGGAGACTAAGAATTCCAGATCATGTGGGAGAAAAAAACCTGCTGGTTTTCACCTTTTTCTTTTCCCACTCTGGGGCTGGAGGAGTGGGGCAGGCACGAACTTGGTCTCACTGTCCTGTTGAGCGTAACCATGTGAGCGTTTTCAGAGTTTCTGCGAAACAGAAAAGGGACACAGATGCTCACTCCTGGTGGATACTGTTAGAGGGGTTCCCGTCCCGACACCTGTGTTGGTCGGAAAGCAGACGGATATAAAACACACGGTCCCATCGCTGAACGGGCAAGGGGGGTGAACCGCGGCCCACAGGAGGAAGCGGAAGCAGCAAAGGGCACAGTGAGGACAGAGCGATCCTGGAGTCAGGGACAGCCACAAACACGAGAATGCAAGGCGCCCCTTTAGTGAGCCCCGAGCCCCTGTGGCCAGCAAGCTGTCTGCGCCGGGCATACCGTGAGGGTAGGGGCTGAGACCCAGGCAGGTGCTTGGAAGTAGGTGAGAACAGTATTCAGGGTCAGACCCACAGTGCTGTGTCTGACTCCCAGGCAGGCCCTAGTGTCCTCACTGTAACACAGAAGACGCCCCAGGAGCACAGCTCACGGGGAGCCTGGGTGTCCAGGCAATCGAGGGAGCAGAGGGGGAGGCGGTGGGGTGGAGGTGGGGGGTGGACAAGAACATGGACTCTGGAACAAGGTAGCAGGGCCCATATCCCATTCTACCCCTTCCCCAACCTAGCCCTGAGACACTGAGCGAGTGACGTCACCTTGGCATGCCTCGGTCACTCCATCCGGGAAATGGGGCCACTAACAGTCTTCCCCTCTCAGGAGGATGAGGCACAGTCACTGGCACACAACACACACTACAGGAGCACTTACAGCATGGGTGCCTAGTGGTGCTGAGGACACGACTTGGGATGCCCGTATCCCAGTGCCTGGGTTCGAGTCCTCGCTGCTCCATTTTCAATTCAGTTTCCTCTCAGGTGAAGCCTGGGAGGTAGCAGGTCATGGCTCAAGTACTTGGACCCCCACACCCACATGGGAGACCTGTGGAGTTCTGGGCTTCTGGCTTCAACCTGGCCCAGCTCAAGCTGTTGCAGGCGTTTGAGGAATGAACCAGCAGATGAGAGTCCTAGCTGTCTAGCTGTTGTGCCTCTCAAGTAAATAAAATAAAATAAATTTCAATGTGTTTACTTAAGCACATTCCCGGCCGGAAGCCACTTGCTGTAGTGACTGGCACAGAACAGGCACTCAGTCAGTGGCTGGAGAACTTCCGTGTGGCCATTTGGCTTCTGGGCTGGGCTGGGAGGCAGGAAGCAAGCATCATCAGAGAGCGAAGACAGATGGCCTTGTTTCAGCCCTAAGCCGCTGCTTCAAGGCTTCTCCGTGACTGTGAAAATAAAGGGGTGTGGCGGTGGGGATGGGCAACACCTGCAGAAAGATTACAATCCTGCCCACCTGGGTTCTGATGGGCTGGGCGAGACTTCTCAGCGAACCACGGCCTCCACGATGTACACAGCCATCCATTATCACAAGCCCCAGCACGCGGATCCTGTGGCCCAGGCGCTGTCGGTGCTGGCTGCTGGCTCAGCTGCCACGGAAGTGGGTGCCGGGGCAGGGAAAATGTGGGGTCCCCATCCCACCCAAGGAGCCACTTGTCCGTCGGCAGACAGGCAGACGCGCCGGCAGCCTTGGCTGGCTGCGGGAGTGAGCGAGCGGCCTTGCTCCCCAGCCCTCGCCTACTCACTGCCTGGACAGCTTCAGGAGCCCCAGGGCGAGATGGGCTGCAGGAGGATCTTGGTACCTGATGTGGCACAGAGACCAGCCACCGCTCTGCAGAGCCGGGACACACGCGTGGTCCCTGCCACGAATGCGAGGACTCAGGAATGCGGGGACTCTGGGAGCTCCCAATGCCCTCACTCCATGCACACACGTGAGCAAGGCTCCCCAGACACACCTGGGTCAAGGACTATCGCTTAGGGGTGGGGGACCCAGCCTGGAGGTCACCCCTCAGGTGGCCAAGCCCTCTCCAAGCAGGCCCCACCTACGGCTCAGGCAACCTTGCTAGCCCCATCTTACAGGTGGACAAACTGAGCACCAGAGCTGGGACGAAGCCCAGGTGACCTGCGCTCTCAACCTCTGTGCTCTGACATGAGTGCAGGCCTCCCTGCCGGAAAACGCCATGGTTTCTTAGAGTCCTTCTCTCCTGCTTCCTCCGAACCACTGGCTGGAGGGGACCCCACAGTCCCGGGTGGTTCCGGGTGAATGACGCGGGAAACCCCTGGTGAAGAGAGAGCAGGCTGAAGTAGGGAGACCCCCAAAGTGACCGGAGAGCAGGGCTGTGACTTCTTCGTGAGGGTGAGACCCTGCAGAGAGACTTCCAGAAAGCTCTCCCATCTTTGCTCTCCTCTGACCCCCGACTCCAGCAGCCGGGTTCCCGGATGGCTCAGACTGGTCACAGTGACAGGAGTAAGCTCCTGCTGCCTTGCATGGAGACCGGAGACCGGGAATCTTCTAGAAAAAGGACTGAAAAGAGTCACTGAGACCAAAAGGGCACACGGCTGCTACTCCCTGAGGGTGCTGGCACCCAGGCACCCAAGCCCAGAGTGTGGGGGGCTTCCAGTCCCATCCCCAGCGAGGTGGGCGTGGGACCCTGACCAACAGCCAGGGGACTTATCTCAGGTAAACCCCTGCACCCCAGGACAAAGCGACTTGGTGGAAAACTCAGTCACTCTCATCGTTGATTACCCTTCGAATCACCCATCGACGCGGGGACAAGCGGGATCGTCGGAGCCAGTGCTCAGCAGACCAGCTCTGCAGGCGTTTCTCCGGGCGTGTGGACTAGCCTCACAGGGTGCAGAGGGGACCTCTTGCTGAAGTCAGCCTGTGACAGCCGTGCTCCAGGGCTGGAAGGGTGGGTAGGGATGAGCCTGAACAGAAGGCACGGAGAACTGGCCCCCAGGACCTTGGTCACAGGATGCAAAAGCTTCCCTTCCCCTCCCCAACACCGATACCTTCCTGTAACGTCACCTCCCAGTACTGGGGGCCAGGCTCCGGGTGACAGCTGCTGCAGGGCTAAGAATGGGGTTTTCAAAGATTGGTTCATTTAATTAAAAGCACAGCAGGGTAGCGCATCCTAAGCAGACAGCAGGCATTTGATGAAGGAAGGTCGGCTTCCCAGGGCCCCATCTCGTGGAAAACAGGGCAGCGTCTGAGATGAGAAGGCTGATTTTGCCTGCTAAGGAGGAGATCTGGCAAAGGATGGGAGGCCGGCGGGGGCCCAGGGGGAGAGCAGCAGGCGGTGATGTGATTCGGAACAGCTCTGTTCCCTGAAGACTCTCTAAGAACCTGGGAAGAAAAAGGGAAGGGGGAGAAGCTTTGCCGCCAAACGTGACCGCTTGCTTCCTTCCTTCCGAATCGCAACTTAGCGTTTTAATTAAGCGAGGACGTAGGCCTAGGATTTCTTGTCATCATCAGGAGTGAGTTGATGCCTCATGGCCTATGGGAGTTTTCATATTCATTATGTTGTCCTGAGATTTATTTTTTTCAAAGAGTGTTTAGGTTAGCAAATTCTCAACTTTGTGGCAAAGCATCCTTCTGACAAAGTCCAACCATCCTGCGGTGGCATTACGGCTTCTGCTACACAGTCCCCAGGGGTGGAGATCCACGCTAGCCTGCTGGTGCGATGCATCCCACTGCCGCATTCAAATTATCAGCATCGCCCCAGGCTGCTCATTTTATACACACACACACACACACACACACACGCTGTGATCATTTTAAAGCTGCAGGCCCGACTGGTGTAAAACTATTTATACAAGTTTTCCTTTTTTTTTTAAAAGACTTATTTATGTATTTGAAAGCGAGAGTTAGAGAGAGTGAGATGGGGGGGGGAGGGAGGGAGGGAGGGAGAGAGAGAGAGAGAGAGAGAGAGAGATTCCATCTGCTCTGCTGGTTCACTCCTTAAATGGCTACAATGGCCAGGGCTGGGCCAGGCCAAAGCCAGGAGCCTGGAATTCCATCCAGGTCTCCCATGTGGATGCTGGGGACCAAGGACTTCAGCCATCTTCCACTGCCTTCCCAGGTGCCTTAGCAGGGAGCTGGATTGGAAGTGGAGCAGCCAGGGCATGAACCAGAGTCCATATAGAATGCCCAAATCCCAGACAGTGGTTTAACCCATTGTATCGCAACACTGGTCCCCCACCCCCCATTTATGCAATTTCTGTACGTGCCTAAGTTACTCCTGGAAATAATGCTTACTATTAAAGGGCGTGAAAGGGCAATATTTTCATTTTTTTAGGTGGTGCTTTATTTCCTCTGTACCACAAGTGTTTACTAAGTGTCTACTATAGGGGCAGACCCTGCACAGGGGGAAACAAGCAGCACACCACGGACATGGTAATCTTTGTATTTTTTTTTTTTTTGACAGGCAGAGTGGACAGTGAGAGAGAGAGACAGAGAGAAAGGTCTTCCTTTGCCGTTGGTTCACCCTCCAATGGCCACCGCGGCTGGTGCGCTGCGGCCGGCGCACCGCGCTGATCCGATGGCAGGAGCCAGGTACTTCTCCTGGTCTCCCATGGGGTGCAGGGCCCAAGGACTTGGGCCATCCTCCACTGCACTCCCTGGCCACAGCAGAGAGCTGGCCTGGAAGAGGGGCAACCAGGACAGAATCCGGTGCCCCGACCGGGACTAGAACCCGGTGTGCCGGCATCGCAAGGTGGAGGATTAGCCTAGTGAGCCACGGCGCCGGCCAATCTTTGTATCTTAATGACAATTTTAATAAATCCCTAACTCCTCCCAAGCCCTTTCACCCTTACAACGCCACCACGAGACAGATACATTTATTATCCCACTTCCCTAACCAGGAGACCGAAGCGCAGGGAAGTTAGGATCCCGCAGCCCCTGGCTGGCAGAGCTGGCGTTTGAATCCAGGCTGACACGACTTGTGCGGCTGCTCCTAACGCCTGGGTGGCATCTCCTTAAGGAAGGCGGCGCTGTCTGTGAGGAAGCGTCGGCAAGCACAGCTGTGTGTACACGAGGGTCGTCAAAAAATTCACAGCAAATGCAAATCCACGACAAAACTGTGCATGGTCTTCCAACACTGTCCTTGCACAAAAGCAAGCTTATCTTCTCCTTTTATGCTTCCATGGACTTTCTTACACACACGTCCTCTCTCAGGGGGCCGTGGAAACCAGCAGGAGCAGTACCAAGCGACCAGGAGCCCTGGGAGCGGTGGTCCCGCCAGTGTGACCCCCTGTGCTCTCAAGTAGAGGAGACAAACAATGAACAGAAGGTAAACGGCGACCCAGTATAAAACCTCCAACCACCGACACAGAAATGAGATCCCTGAGGAAGACGGATCATTTTCTGAGTCGTCCCTGTCTTCAGACACTGTTGCCGACACAGCCAGGCCACGTGCAACTCTGACAGGGTCCCGGGGAGGGAGAGGCACCCAAGCTGCACACCCCTGACCTGAACATCTGAAATCTGACACTCGTTGAGCACGGCCATGAGTCTGGAGCATTTCTCATTTCAGCTTTGTGGATGAGGGGTGCCTAACTGGTACAGTGTGCGCCAATTCCCCCAAATCCAAAGAACTCTGACATCTGAAGGACTTCTGGTCCCCAGCATTTCGATCGCAGACTCCTGACTTGTACAGAGAACGGCAGGCACAGCTCTGGAGTTGGCAGGTGCATCTGCTTCATTCCAAGCCACCAGGGGGGCACGGGGTGCTCTGAGCTGGGGTCTGCACAGCCGGCTCCTCCTCCAAACGCAGGGAGTCACCCCCAACACATGCCCCCTACATCCAGCACCGATGCCTCCTCTGAAAGCAACAGCTTGGATTTGGCCACCCTGAAAGAGAGACCCTGACACGAATGACCGCAATGCCCTTTGCAAACACCAGCAAAGGGCTGGTGAACTGTGACCCCGGGGAATCCTGCGGCAAGCAGCCTGTGCGTCGGCGCTGCAGGGGGAGTCCTGACTGCTGGCCCAGACCCGCAGGCGAGGATACACAAGTGGAACTCGTAGATTGCGGCTCCAGCAGAGCACTGCCAGTCCATGGGAACCTACCCGGGGCGGGGACTCTCACGTGGGAGAACAATTCCTACCACACAGGTCCTGAGACCTAGGATCTGGGGCCCACGGGGAAAATCCCTACCATCTCTGTTTCGGGGGACTGGGTTCTCTCTTTGGAGTCCTTGATGTTGCTAATCTGAGTCAATGCCAAGGAAATGGGGGTGAGGCATAGCTGGGGCAGCAGGGCCACTTGTCCAAGGGTCCCCTCTTGCAGACCTGGGGACTTCCCACTCTGTCCCAAGAGGGCACTTGCATGGTTTCCCACCAGGAGCTGGGAGGTCTCTCTCCACTCCCAAGTGTCAACGATAAACGCATCTTTGTGGCAGTTTCTTGGAAGCAAGAGGTGCGACTTCTCCCTTCTGAAAACCCTCTTTCAGTCTCTGATGCCTGGAGTGAGGTCCCAGGCAAGAGGCAGCAACCACTCCGCAGACAGGAAGTGACCTCCCCCTGGTGGTGACCGCTGGTGTCTGCACGGCATCAGACCTGCTCAGGGCAGGGAGCCCCTAAGGGTAGCTGGACTGCTCCCGGCCTTTCTTGTCCTGGCTGGCTTTGTCGACAAAGGTCTCCCCAGTCCTGCGCCTGCTCTGAGTCCTCGTGGGTGGGATGGGAGGGGGGAAGGGCATGATCTGACATGGAATTCAGCAACACGAGAAAAAACCAGCCTGCAGCAGAGACCTGCGTTCAGGTTCCCCATCCGCTGCTATCTATCGACGCTGCCTGAGAACATCCCATAGGCCCTGAGCCCAATTCCTCCTGGGGGACAGGAATGGCAGAGTCCTAGGCCCTTCCTGCTGTGGGACGTTGAGAATCCCAGAGCAGGAACCCAGGAATCATGGGATGCCAGGGTGCTAAGTCTCCCCCACCTGCAGTGTTTATCTTACCAGGCCTAAGAGGGGATGAGGGAGGTGACGAGAAAAAGTCTGGCATGGGGGTTAAGTGCTCCGTACGTAAGCTGGGTACGCGTGATTAATTTCATGGTTACTGATTATCACCCAGACCTAAGAGCAGGGTGAGGGAGTGGGGTGGGATGGGGTGGGGTCCTGCCAACAATGTCGCTGAAATGACAGCACAAACCAGCAGCACACGCCGGGACCTGCCGCCACCCTATCGGTAAGCAAGGGCTGGATAAGATTCGGGAACGTTTCCAACAATCGACAGACTTTTTAAAAGACAGGTCATTCAAGCGTTCTGGCATGGCCAGGCTCTCTCTGGCAAACCTGTGACTGGGAACGGACAGCATCAGTCGCTCTGATGTAGGGGTCAGCTCAGAGCTGGCGCACGTAAATCCCTGAGACCAGTTAAGTACCCCGGGGTGGGTGTTGGGTGCAGTGGTTAGGACGCCGACGGTGGCATCGGAGCAGTGAGGTTCGAGGCCTGCCTCCGCTTCCTGCTAACGTGCACCCCGGGAAGACAGCAGACGGTGGCTCGAGCACTTGGGCCCCTGCCTTCCATGTGGGAAACCTGGATGGAGTCCCTGGCTCCTGGCCTTGGCCTGGCCCAGCCCCAGCTGCTGCAGGAGTTTGGGGAGTGAAGCAGTGGATGGAAGATCTCAGTCTGTCTCTCTGCCTTTCAAGTAAAATGAAAATAAATAGACAAAATTTTTTAAAAATTACAGATCCAAGGCTAAGGTGACTGAAATGTACCTCCTCTCTGGGCACCAGCCAGCAGAGGGGCCACTGCAGACCCAAGCAGGGCTGTGGTGTGGCTGGAAGGCCACGGAGTAGGGTGGAAGGGAACCAGGATTGCACTGCAGAAATTCCCTTTTGGAGCAAACTCCGACTCGGAAAAGTCTGATGGCACCTGAAGGCGCAGGGGAGCAGGCGACACACGTGGCCCTCTGGCCACACACGTGGGGAGCCAAAAATAACGCCCGGGGATTATCCAACACAACCTGCTCGTTTGCAGATGAAGTACTAACAGATCCGGGCAGGCGCACTGGCTTGCCCGAGGACATACGGCTAACTATTGATCTGTTAGGCTCCTCAGTTCTATCTATACAATGCATGCAATACCCAGAATTTTAATTGTGTGTCTTCCTTGCCGGCTTGGCGTCTGTCATTCACCAGGACCTCCCTGGCTGCCCTCTCTACACCACTCCCCCCACAACGATTACGCAGTGGGCATCATTGCTCCTGGAGCAACTCGGGAGGCTGGGGCTTGGGGAGGCTGACTTATTTGCTGGGGGTCCTGTGCTGGTCTTGCAACCAGAACGGTGCTCAGAACGTAGCTGGCACCTGATAAATATTTGCTGAGAAGAAAGAAGGAAGGGAGGAGGGGAGAATGGAAGGAAGGAAAGAAGGAGGGAAGGGAGGGAGGGAGGGAGGGAATGAGCCAGGATTCACACCCAGGCCTGCCTGGCTTCAGTGTGCAGGCACTGACTTGAAGTGAACACCAGAACGTCAGTGTGGGGTCATGGTGTCCGGCACACCAAAGTCCCTGGAGAGGAAGACAAAGAGCTGGAGCTTCCTGTGGATAAAACGCTTCCTTCACAGCTGTGCTAGGGCCGAAGCGAGGTGTGGCGGGGCTCTGGGGCCTCCGCGGGCAATGCTGTCACCCCCACCGTGGGCGGAGCAGCAGCACAGCCTTGGAGACACGGCACCAACACTTCCTGGCCGGGTGACCTGGGCCACACTGGACCTCAGCTGCCATTGCAGCAGAACGGGGCTGGCCATGGTACCTACTTCACAGGGTCCTTGGGAGAGGAAGTGACAGATGCCACACAGGTGGGATACTTAAATGCTTAAGCTAGCGCTCCACGTTAGTGAACAGAGGCTAGTTTACTATCCTTAAAATAAAGCACAGAGATTAACAAAAAATACAGAATAAATACGGATTGAACATCTGCGTTCCCCCCAAATTCACAGGCTGGGGCTCTAACCCCAGCACGGCCGGTGGGGTCTCTAAGGAAGTCATAAGGTTAAATAAGGTCATAAGGGCCAGGGCCTGCCCCAGCCAGGACTCTTGTCCTCAGAAGACACACCTGAGAGCTCGCTCCCTCCCTCCACACACGCTGAGCACACAGGGAAAATGAAGCCAGTGCAAGCCAGGAGAGGGCTCACCAAACCCTGAGCGCGCTGGCCCCCCACCTCAGCCCTCCAGCCTCCACGACAGCGAGAAAAATCCACTTCGGTTGCCTAAGCCACCACGTCTGCGGTATTGTTATGACGGCCCAGGCTGACTAATGCAGTGATAAAGTGAGACAAGCTATTATTATGTTGAGGGAAAAAATCCAAAATTAGCTACCCGAATTAAATAACATTTTTGTCTTTTAATTCTGAATCCAGGCCAAGCTGAAATCTCTCTGTGTGGTGTGCGTTACAATTGCACATGGGAATTTCGGAGTGCACCTGCTGAAATTAGCGAGGAAAGGAAAAGTACTGGCCTTCCCAGGTTACACAGGGCTTAGCTTCCTGAGCTCTTCTCTCAGAAATGGAGTAACAGCTTTTGAAAAACCAGAAACCTAATAACCCAGCCATAATCCCATGTAGGAAGTATTTGATGTTAAACTGTGGCGGCTTCGACTGTATTGTTTTACAGAGTTGAAGATGAGAAAAGAACCTCAACGCACATTTCTGAACCTGCGGTGTTCCACAAAGGAATAGAAATTTACAAAGAAAAGAGGCAGTGATCATGCTGGACCATGGGCACCTGTGAGCTGGCCCCAGGACCCCAACCCCTCCTCTGTGATCTCTTTGCCTTGAGAGGGAGGGGCCGGCACTGGGGGGTGAGGGGGGGTCACAAAGACTGTGGATCACACCCTGCTGGCTCCCAGGAACAAAGTGCCCTGCTATGGAGAGGCCACGGGGAGGCTGCCAGCCCCCAGCCAGCCGGGCGTGGAGACCGCAGGCCCAGCAATGCCCCCAGCGCAGCCTCCAGCCGAGACGGCAGCCGGTGCTCTACCACAGCCACAGGACGCTTAGAGGCACAGGTGCCAGGCTCGGCTGGCCTGGAACTCCTGCCCGCGGATGCCAGGAGGGCTGTCGGGCTGCGGCACAGCAGTAGGTGACCAACACACTCAGCCACACGCTGTAGGTGTATCACATCCCCGTCAGGCATCTGAAGACCATCCTCAGACGGAAGGTGCTATTAGCAGGCCCGTGTCACAGGCAGAGAAACTGAGGCAGGGGTCGGGTGAGTAGCAACTCGGGGTCACACTGCCAAAGCGGCAAAGGTACAAGGGTACTTCAGAAAGTTCATGGGAAAATGAGATTAAAAGTTAGGCTCATCTTGGCACACACACACACACACAAAAAGGTGAAAGTCATGCATAGTTTTTTTCACAATGTGCATTTTCCATGAAATTTTCGCAGGCCCTGTACAAGCTGAAGACGCTCGCTCCTAACCAGTCTGCTGCACTGCCTCCTCACCGGGGAATGTACGTACATCAAGCACAGTGAACCTTTACAGGGAAAAACACAGAAAACACCAGGCCCAACGAAAGCAAAGGCAGAGGAGTTCTGCAGCGACAGGAACCACGGCCCAGCCACCCCCAGCCTTGCCAGTGTCAACGTGTCAGATGCGGCGCTCGGGATTCTGCTGCTGCTTCACTCTGACACCTGCACCTGTTCCCCAGGACAGGCGGAAGGGCCCTCTGTCTTCCTAAGGCCGCAGGATAGCCTCTCAGTGCTCAGAAACACGGCTATCTGTCGCACCTCTGTCTGTGCAGTGGCTGGCATTTACAATGGGAAAATGCTCTCACAACCCAAGTGCCTTTCAATGGACTGGCATCCCACTGTCCCCCAGTCCTTGAGATGGGCCCTAATGACTGTGCCCAGAACGTGAGCACACGCACACACACACACACACACGCATGTACACACACCTACCTACACACGCGCGCACACACACGCTGCAGGCAGTCAGCATTGCCGCAGGGAAGCGGTGTGGCCCCTCAGTGAGGCTCTGGAGAAAGGGGGCTCGTGTGTCGGGTTACATTTTCTAAAAGCAAAGGGACAAAGCGTGCAGCCTGCAATACACACACTGATCCGCAGCCTCCGCCCCAGCTCTCTGCTCTACCCTAAGCCTACTTCGGCCTTTGGGTCCTTTCTGCCCTTGCCCCAAGGCTTGCAAAGGCTGCACTTGCAGGTGGTGACGGGTGAAGCCATGGACGCTCAGGGCAAGTGCGCTGAGCAATGTGTGGTAGCGGCAGATGGAGGCCAGAGGGGCCCAAATACTTGCTAGGGAGTAGACGATGAGGAGAAAAGAAACTATGAATGAAAACAACAGCAGAAAACCCCAAACCCACTGATTGAAGCCAGAAATTCTAAAATTAGGGAAATAGCGGAGAACCTCTAAAACAAACATTGCACATATGTAACATGTAATTTTAAAAAACACAACATGCTGAACATTCTCAAACGTTTAATCCACTGTGCTGGAGCTAAGACAGTGCAAGAGGGAATGGTATCCATGATGTGCATCCGAGAAACGGCGTGCCAGCCCCTCACACCAGGGTGGCAGAACCCCACTGTCACTCTCCCGTGAGGACGTCACAGTTCACGGCACGCCGCATGGACTGACTTGGATCCGGGACGGGCGGAAGTGCAGCCTGGGCCCACAGCCTGCGGGGCAGAAGCCCTGAGCTGCCGCTGGGCCTCCCTGGGGGGCTCAGAAACCTTCCAGTCCCCAGATCACCACTGAATGATGTGCACCATGGGGCGCGCGAGCACGGGAGACCAGGGGCGCCATCTGCCACCTGGGTAATGGGGCGGGTGTTAGAGCGCCCGGTCTGATCTCCCCTGTCACTGGCAGCAATCCTGCACGCGGGCTGTGAGGGCAAACCAACACTGCAGGAGCAGCCCGACTCCCACGCAGGCTCAAGGGGATGGAGGCACTGGGAGGACCCGTTGTCCCCCAGACGCGGAATCCAACGGCCAGTGATCCAGTTGCCCTTTCAAGAATGTCAAACGATGTCACCTACACTCCGAATGCCAATCGGAGTATCTGGCCGTTAAAAGAAGGTCCCCCAAGTACCCATCACACATCTCCAGTGGGCGTTCCGTTAGAGAAAGCTGATTCACTAGTTAATTCTATGGTTTGCTGGCTTACCATTCAGGCAAAGCTCTCTCCACCAAATGCGCGCTCACGTTTCAGACGGCTGCAGAAAGCGCGCTCGTCTCCATTGTTGAATAGGGCCCTATTTACAGAATGTCATTTGCAAACTCTGAAATTCCTGGTTAGATTGGTAAGGACGGAATCAATTCCTACTCCGGGGAAGTGACTAACGGTTGCCAGCACTGTGTAATTACTCAGTGGGTGCTGAGTGGGTCAGAGCACCAACGGGGGGAAAAAACACCAGAATGGAATGCACTGAGCAAATATAGACACAAACAAAAATAAGCCTGTTCTGCTATGAGTTGTAATTCATTTGTAATGGAGCAAATTTCTCCAATGCTGCTATTTTAAGATAAATGACACAGTTTCGGTGACTTTCTAGATACGTCTACTTCACATTTTCATTATAAATTATCTACCCCACTGATGATAACCTGGCCAACACAAACGGTCATGAAACAGCTACCAACGACAATCCCCAAAGGAACAGGCACTCAGGTCAGTCACTCTTTCCATTAGGAGGAAGTTAGGGAATTATGTGAACATTTGTAGGGAGTTTCGCCACAGCCTCTTCTCTGCACAGGCACTCCAGGGAGGCCTCCCACAGACTGGCCTAGGAGAGGGCTTGGCCAGCTCGCCAGGACTTTTTATTTTTAACTGACACATGGTAAGTGTGCCTATTTATGGGGTACACTGTAACACTTCAATCCATACATGCACGGGTAAGGACCAGCCCAGGGTAACTGGTATACCTGTCATCTCAGTAACGGATCATGTCTGTGTTGGGACCCCCGGGATTCTGAATGAATGATCTTGTTACTGAAGGGCAGACCCCACCAAGCTAGGCACTCAGCCTTAGGGAGAGGTTGTCTTTAAAGTAACAAAGTGGGGGGCCGGCACTGTGGCACAGCAGGTAAGGCTGCTGCCTACAGGGCTGGCCTCCCATATGGGCACTGGTTTGAGTCCCGGCTGCTCCTCTGACGATCTAGCTCTCTGCTATGGCCTGGAAAAGTACTAGAAGATGGCCCAAGTGCTTAGGCCCCTGCACCCACGTGGGAGACCAGGAAGAGGCTCCTGGCTTTGGATTGGCCCAGCTCTGGCCGTTGCAGCCATCTGGGGAATAGAGCAGCCAATGGAGGACCTCTCTGTCTGCCTCTGCCTCTCTGTAATTCTGCCTTTCAAATAAATAAATAAAATCTCTAAAGAAATAAAGAAACAAAGCTAACTTCCAGGGACGCAGTGCCACCTATATCCCAGCCTGGCCAAGGACGTCAGATCTCACTGTCATCATCTTATAGCCACCGCTCCCAACAAAAATAAATAAATAAAACAATAAAGTGGGCAGGCTGGCACACAGCAGCCACCTCTCTACCCCAGAGAGGGCTGTAGCTAAACGAGTGCCCTCACACTGGCTAGAAGGCTGGCCCAGGCGGGCTGAGATTCAGCTCCCAGGCTGACAAAACCACCCGCGTTGTGGGACGGGAATCCCTTAGCCCAGGGCAGCTTTGCGTCTTCCCCCACTGCACATCTCACGGGACCTCTGCAGCTTCCCTGCCTCCCCTGGACTAAGGAAGCCGTCTCCCAGCCAGCTCCCCTGCCTCCTTTCCTGCCCACCCACCTGCTCCCTGCAGACCAGCTCTGCTACTGGAATGACCTCCGTGCCACACTCCTGCCTGTGTGTCCCCTGTCCCCACACTCTCAAGGGCCATTGCCTGCCCCTGTCCAGCCCTGGAAGGCTGGCCTCACCCAGGGACCTCCTTGCTTGAGCTTCCCAGCCCTCTGACTTGGGCCGAGCTCTGCCAACAGGAGCGGAGGGCTGGGGCGTTTGTCCCCTGCCTGCTCCTGCCTTCCCACCTCAACTCCACCCCTCGTGCCTACACTGCCAGGCACTTTCTCCCGGTCGATTCTTGCTTCCGGCTGCTGCTCGTGGCTGTAGACTGCACCTCCCTGGGGGTTCCCTCAGGCCTGCCCCAGTCTACCAGCTCCTGAACCACCTCTCTGGGCTCCGAGCTCTGCGTTGTCCCTGTCCGGAGCTGACCGCCCTTGTCACTCTGTCACGTGACGGGGTTTCCTGTTCACCACTGCACCTCTCCCAGCCGGAAGGCGCCTTCCTGTGGTCTGTCTCCCCACCCACCAAAATCTATTACATTCCCCACTCCTTCCTGTGGGCCTAACTCAGTGGCTGGACCTCAGCCGTCAATCAAGCCGGTGGACGAATGAGCACCCGGTTATCTGAGGGGGTCCTCCAGGAAACCGAAGCCTCCCCAAACGCCCCCGGACCACCATTCCCAGCTCGCCGGCCATGTGAGTCTTCCACCACCTTCGGAGAGATTCCGTATGCTGGTGCTTATGGTCTGTTTCCCCCAACACAAATGAACGCTGCTTCGTTCACTGCTGAACCGTCAGCGACACGGCGGGACCTGGCTCACAGCACAGCCTCACCACACACCTGTTAAGCCGGCACGGTTTCACACAAGGCAAATTCAGGGTGGATCGCCACACCTGGAAGAACGCGAGCGGCGCCAGGTGTGCAGGCAAGCAAGCTCCGTCTCAGCGCTCGGAGCTGGCTCCTGCAGACAGCCTGGGGCCCCTAAGGCAGACGCCTCCACGGGTTTGGGACGGTGGGGGAGACCCTGAGGGTCCTGCCCGCTAGTGCCCAGAAACTTCCCCGAGCCCGCGGCCCCGTGCGAATGCCGGGCGTCAATGGGATTGCAAACAGTGGCGACTTGGGCGCACCCCTAACTCCCTGCTCCACGGCGGTGCGCCTCCTGGCTGCAGCCTGCAAGTTCATAGACAGCATTCGGGGCCCCACAGCCCAGCACCGAAAACGCTGCTTTGGGGAAGTTGGGGGTGCGGCGGCGGGGAGCGGGGCGGGGGGGCGGGGAGACAGCAGCTCTCAGAGACTGGCTTCATGCTGCGACGCCTACATCGCCCAAATTTCATTCTGCACAATGATTGCAGCTTTGGAATAAATTCCTCCTCCCCACGGCCATCCATTACTCATCCCTGTCCCCTCAGCCTCCCAAGTGTCAAAAAAAAATTAGCCGGTGCGGATGGGGGCGGGAGGATCCACTCCCCTAGGGCATCAGGTCCCTCCTTCCAGGGACCTCCCCGCAGGCCTGGAGAGCCGGCCCCGTCCGTTCTCGACCCAAGCTGGCCGCGCAGTCGCACGGCAAACAGCCGTCGCCGGTCCGCGCCCAGCACAGGCAGACCGTCGACCCCCCAGGATCTGGCGCCTGGGGTCCCCCCCAACCCCATTACCATCCCAGGCGCAGGGGCTTCGCTGGGAAGCGGGGTGGATCCCGGGTCACGGGCCGCTCCGGAGAGCCGTGCGCGCCCCGCAGGTGCTCCCGGAGCGCGGACCCCGGGCGCAGCCTCCACCGACCGACCCCTGCCCCCTGAGGAGGGGTCGCCTCGCCGCGCCGCCGCCGGCTCCCGCAACAGGTGTCTGCCCCTCCGCCCGACGGCCTCACCCGGCACAGGCCGTCCACGAACACGCGCGGGTCCAGGTGGCAGGCGATGGTGGCGCTGGGCAGGTCCTGCAGGTCCACCTCCTCCATCTCGCAGTCGATGAAGCTCCAGTCGCCGCCGCCCTCGTCGCTCTCGGCGGCCGCCGAGAAGGGCGCGAAGGGCCGCAGCGTCACCCCGGGCTGCGCCCGCGCCTCGGCCGCCTCCGCCGCCACCCCAAGCCGGGGCCCGGCCAAGCCGTCCTCCATCCCCGCGCTCGCGCCCGCGCGCCCCCGTGCGCCCTCCCGTCCGCGCCGCGGCCGCCGGCTCGGCGGTTAACCCCCTCTGGGCCGCGCGGCTGCCCGCGCCAGGCGGTCTCCACGGCTCCCGGAGACGCGGCCTCGCCGCGCCCGCCCCGCCCGCCTCCGTCCCGCGCGGGAGGGGCCGAAACTCCGCGCAGCGCCCCCCGCCCGTCCAGCCCCGGAGGCGGGGCTGCGGCAGATTTAGCCCTGGTCCCTTTAAGGCCCATCCCCAGCTTCGTCATTCTTCCCCGCCCCTCCCGGAGAGGAGGCCAATAAAGAAACAGGATTCTCTTCACGTGGTCCCCGTTCTGCCGCCCGAAGCCTGAAGCCTCGCAGCCGCCATGTTGGTTAGGGGCAAAGGCCTCTTCAGCCAGTTCCGCTTTTCTGACAGCTGGTACCTGCTGTAGGGCGCCAGGCAGGGTCTTGGGCTCTGGGCCTCTGGGGCCCTTGGGATGATAGCTGGGGAGGCAAATCTTCCGTGGTTCCCGGGCAGTGACGTTTGGAGAGACAGGGGCCCACCGTGGGAGGATTTAAGCGAGATAGTCCTGGTTATGGCTGTCACTGCGGCCATTGGCAAGCGATGAGATGCTTACCGGATGTTATCCCGTGCAGTCGCAACAAGGGCTGAGCTGGACCACGATGTCAATAACTTACAGTTCAGCTTCTTAGTCATTGTCCAAAATGTGTATAATTGGAAGTCATTTGCCGACGTACGTGTTCTGTACAACAAGAGATAAGGAAAGAAGCGAGACCTTAGTCTTACCCTTTGAGGGGTTCACCGAGGGGAGCCGAGAACCTCACATGAGCGCCCACGAGTATCCTTCTCTTCCGGCCAGGCTACTCGCTCGCAGTGAAGGACGTTGGGACACAGTACAAACGCGGGCCTGGATTTTAGCTTTGTTGCTCGTTACTTGGACAGATACCCTGCCTCTCAGAATCCTCATTTTAAAAAATAAAAAGGTCAAGGATGCTAAGAATCCAGCCAATGCCCGATAAATGATAGCTCTGTATGTGCTAGGTTCTTTGGAGGACGTGAAACGAGAGATGAGTGTTCTCCCGGGTAAGCTTGCCTTCCAGCGAGCAAGCAGATCCCAGCCCACCCCTGAGATTTCCCCCGCGGAACCTGCTGGCCATGCGGTCTGACCACTGGGCCTGTGGAAGGTTCTGCGAGGGCATGCGAGCGCCGTGCCCCGGTCCCATACCTCCTCCCGCGCCCCTCCTCCTCTGTGTGCCTTGTAACGCCCTTGAAAACAACCCGGGAAAGCTGCAGGTGGACCCCGAGCATCGGCAGTCACTCTGAGATCTCACAGAGCCTTCAGTGACTGGGTTGGGAGACGCTGGAGCCAGCCAAGTGTGTGCAGAAACCCGGGACCTGACGAGGAGGTGGTGACGGGGATGGGACGCTCTCTTCTGCCAGCCGTGTCCTCCAAATGGGAGGAGAAGCCTTGTTGCTTTCAAATGGCCTCAGAGCCTTCCAGCTGCGGGGTAGCACCGGCGTCGGCCAGACACCCAAAGATGAGGTTCAGCGGCTGCCTCCGCCCCTGGGGAAATCTTTTGGTATCGCTCTCCCTGAGGGCAATGCCACCGTCTTTGCATCTCTCCCTTAGGCAAACACTGCACAGTCCTCGCGAGAGCTTAAAAAAGGAAGGCTCTCAAAGCTTTAGCCAAACTTCTCCTTGCCTTGTTACATTCTGAACAGCACAAGTCGCATGGCCGAATTATGGAGTCTGGGTTTCTGAAAGCCAGCAAAGCCAGTGGCTGCACTGGGGGTGGGGGGGTGGGGGGATGGTGGTGTTCTCTCCAAATCATGCAGCCCCTGCAGAGCTCAGGGTAAGCTTATAAAGGCAAAAACCACATCCTGTTGGGAGTTAATCCAAAGCCAAGCATTGGTTACAGAAGCCAGAACAAGCAAGGTTACGCTTATCTCTGAGGGGGCACTGAATACATTTTCCCAGCACTTAATGTGAACGATGCTTATGGATAACATTCTTACAAGGCTAGTTTTTGAGTACATGGTAGTGTGCAACAGGTAAAAAAAATTAGAGGACAAACAGAGAGACTAGACATCATCCAGAGGCAAAATAGAGTGACTTGGATCAGGCCAAAGCTCACTCAGCCTTAAAATTCTGTTCGAGTGGAATTTTTCCATTAGCTGAAACTTGGCCTACACACCTTTGCCAGAAGGTCTGTGCTTCAATTAACTTCTTCTGGAAGATCTTGGTCTTAGTGTTCTTTACAAATCTGAAAAGCCGCTCTGCAACTCACCGTACAAGTCAGAGCCTATTGTTTGTTTTTGGTAAGCGGGTAAGATTTGCTTAGTGTGCAGTTGTATTTGAGTAAATCCCATGAAGACAGGTGTGTGGCGTTCCCTGAAGATAATTGTCACATATTAAAACAAGTGGATATGTAATTCCTGCAACATTCCTATAAAAATTCTTTCTGTTCGAAACTGTCTGCTTACCATTTGTGAAGTTTATTTATGTGTTTATTTGAAAGGTAGAGCAACAGAGAAAGAGAGCGAGATCTTCCATCTGCTGCTTCATTCCCCAAATAGCCCCAAGAGGCAAAGCCAGGCCAGGCCAAAGCCAGGGGCCTGGAGCTTCATCTGGCTCTCCGGTGTGGGTGGCAGGGACTCAAATACTTGAGCCCACCCCTGGTTCTTAGGTGTGTCTAGAGCAGGACGGGCCAATGAAACTTCCTGTGATGACAAAATAGTTTGCTGTGTCCAAGAGTCTACCATGGTTGCTATTGAGATCATCTCAGGGCAATTTGTGTCCTTAAAGGGCTTAAATTCCAGAGGAGTGGTAAAAGCCAGTGCAGAGATAACCCATCAGGGGCTCAGTGACCACGTGCGATGCCAACATCCCATATGGGAGTGCCACTTGGAGCCCCATTTACACCGTTTCCTATCCAGCTTCCTGCCATTGCATGCTGGGAGGAAACAGGTGATGCCTGGGTACACGTACTTGTAGGAGAACCAAATTAAGGTCTAGGCTCCTGGCTTCTGCCTGGTATGGTCCTTGCTGTTGTAGCCATTTGGAAAGTGAATCAACAATTGGGAGATCTGAGTTTCTTTCTCTCTTTTTCTTTATTTCTTTTTTTTCCTTCTTTCTTTTCTCTCTCTCTGTCTCTCCTTCTCTCTTGTGTTATTCTGGCTTTTGAATAAATATTTTTTGAAAGATAAGCTGTACATGAAGGTCCGTATGTTATTACTCATAATAGGCCAGAAGAGGAAACAGCTCACATGTTCATCACCTGACCAATGGATCTGCACACTGGAATCATATTCACCTGTAAGAAAGAATTACAGGGGCTGGTGCGGTGGCACAGCAGGTTAAAGCCCTGGCCTGCAGTGCCGGCATCCCATATAAGCTCCGATTCGAGTCTCAGCTGCTACACTTCCAATCCAAGCTCTCTGCTATGGCCTGAGAAAGCAGTGGAAGATGGCCCAAGTGCTTGGGCCCCTGCACCCACGTGGGAGACCTGGAAGAAGCTCCAGGCTCCTGGCTTTGGATTGGCACAGCTCTGGCTATTGTGGCCATTTGGGGAGTGAACCAGCAGATGGACAATCTCTCTCTCTCTGTGTCTCTCTCTCCTTCCCTCTCTCCCTCTCTCCCTCTCTCCCTCTGTGTAATTCTTTCAAATAAATAAAATAAATCTTAAAAAATATTTTAAAAAATGTACTGATTGAGACCACAACATGCATGGGCCTTGAAAACCTTATGCTAAGTAAAAGAAGCCAGTCACGAACGGCCACATCTTATCCCATTTATGTGGAATGACCAGGATAGGCAAATCCATAGAGACAGAAGCAGAGTAGGGCCTGGGGAGAGAGAACTAGGGAGTGGCAGCAGAGGAGGTAGGTGTCTCTTTCTAAAATTGATTGTGGTGGTGTTTGCACAGCTCTGTGAATACACTCTAAGTATGATGGTGTATGGGTCTCATCTCAATAAAGCCATCACTGTAAGAAAAGAGAAAAAGACCCAAGACATGAGATGACCATGACAGGATGGATGACGCTGCAGAGCCAGACACCCTGTGTGAACCCACAGAACATTCTGGAAAGACTGACAGAGGGGATGAGGCACATGTTTGGGAAAAACAATGGCCAGCCAGCTGGTTGCTGGGTGGGTCTGTGTTGTCGCCATCCTCAAGACAGCATTCTCTTGTAGGGCTGGCTTCTCGTGAGCCGTGCACAGCATGCAAACTGGGCCCGAGGGACAAACTGGTCAAGTAAAAGGAATGCGCCAACCAAACAGAAACCCCGAACGCACCCAGAGTGAACCCTCCCAGCTGGCACGTGGCGCTGCCCAGGGAGCAGAAGTGGGTGCAACTGAGGGAAGCAGGAAAGACCAAGTCACCTGTAGCTAGCTTTGACATGCAACCCATCACTGCTCACACAGGCCACATCCAACATTGCCTCGTGGCTGTGGATTTGCCCCTCTCTCACCCTCCCAAAGCAGCAAAGAGGGTGACATTTCTTAATTGACCATTCAGATCAATTACTTGTCTATGTGACCCCAGGTGTGATATCGGTTTCTTTGGCATAACTCTTTTTTTTTTTCTTGACAGGCAGACTGGACAATGAGAGAGAGAGACAGAGAGAAAGGTCTTCCCTTTTCCGTTGGTTCACCCCGCAATGGCCCCTGCGGCCAGTGTGCTGTGGCTGGCGCACTGCACTGATCCGAAGCCAGGAGCCAGGTGCCTCCTCCTGATCTCCCATGCAGATGCAGGGCCCAAGCACTTGGGCCATCCTCCACTGCACTCCCGGGCCACAGCAGAGAGCTGGACAGGAAGAGGAGCAACCGGGACAGAATCCAGCACCCCGACCAGGACTAGAACCCCATGTGCCGGTGCCGCAGGTGGAGGATTAGCCTATGAGCCATGGCGCTGGCCTTGGCATAACTCTTAGTAGGTGGGGTAGACACATCACCACCTTTCTCCTGTCACGCTCACCCATGGGTTATGACTTCAGATTCTAAGAACTGAGGCTCAAGGGAATCGAATGATCTTCCCACCAGTAACAGGCAGTGAATGGCA